TTGGCAGTCTCGACATGGCGTGACTTTGACTCGAGGGTTGCATGTGCTAGCCCGCTCCCTACTAGAAGAGCCCGACTGCTCCGACGTCTGTGTCCAAAGCTTTGGTGCCGCATCAGCAAGGCAGCGAGTCACACCCAATATGTGATAAAGGGTCCTTCATAGGCATCCGGGCACGCAGCAACAGCAATGCCACGGGATCGAACGTTCTTGATATCCCCCGCTGGACACTGACAGCACAATCTCGTCCAGAACCGGTCGCATAGACGGGAAGTTCGACAAAGATGATCTGTTCGTCTCGTGTTGAGGCCTCTGTAGAACGACGGCACCAATGCCTTACGAGCCGTCAGGCCAGTAAGTAGAACCCATATCCGCAAGGAAATTGAATGCTTCCCATCGAATGCTGAACGCGGGGAACGAATTTACTCGCGGGATCGACAGGGTTTAACTCCAATGGCCTCGCATTAACGGATGAAGTTTGTCCTCTGCGCTGACTGGCGACGTGCCTGGTTGCGCCGAAACAATCCCGTGTCGTGTGAAGCCAGCCGCGTGGGAAATCCGAGGGCGTCTAGACCGATTTCCCGCGTCGGGGAGTTGACTTCCTCCAACTCCAAAAGTAGCAATCCGAGGAGGTGAGGGAGATCCGGAAATTGGCGCGGCGCTGACTGGGGACGAAGGTTTACCAGGGCCGCCGGGGCCTTTGGAAGGACTGGGCAGCGATGAGGATTCATTCAACACCAGCCTGGCGTGCAGATAAGCCTACCCTGGCCGATCGTTGGCGTCGTGGCTTTGTGAGGATGTGCTTCTTCTCCCACGGAATGTCGCCGCTGCGCTTCACATTCGGTCTATCGAAACGACCCCCGAACAATGGCGATGAATCGAGGATACACACCAATTGTGGCTTAGGGTTGCGGCAAACGATGCCTAGCAGTTAGCTGAGGTATCCAGGTGATATTATGATGCACCATTATCATAGTAGCCCGATGATAAGTGTCCGGGTATTTTGCGACTCTTCATTTTGAGGCCAGCAGAACTTTCGTAATATTTGTGTTGCGGTCTCGGTATCTGCCGAGTTACAGTGACCTGATCGGGAACGTTCTTTCTGGGCCATCCTGCACAGAGTACGGATACTGCACATCACTCGAAGATCTGGAAGCTCCAGAATACGAAGTCGCAGAGTCAAGAGGCATGTCTTTGACAGGCTCTGTGACCTTTCTGGGGCTGCTTAGATTGCATCCAATGGCAAGCCAAGGTTGAATCCGATGCCACGGTGCCAGATTGTCCGGCCAGATTAACAGCAGGCCCGCCCGTCATACCACGCAGCTGTCAGTTATCAGAATCGTCAAACTGAGTAGGTACAGCACGAAGCGTTCGTTCTGGAACCCTGATGCAGTGGCTTCAGAAGTTTCCCCACAAGCTCTGGATCCTCAGTTGAGAAGAGCCCAGGGTTCTGCCAGCCTGCCTTGGAAGCGTTGAAAACTCGGCTGGCGGTGTGAGAGGCTCGGCCATCATCCAGCTTGATCCATCATGAAGCCTCCGCGTTCTGATTTCCGATCAGGCCATTACCGTCGCGCCGAGCCTCAAGCGCACCGGTCAGGACGGCAGAAGTCTGGTGTTGTAACAGGCATTTCAGATGGCCAGTCAGGAGCGGATAAGAGTGGGAAACCACAGCTTGGTTGCTAGAATAGCCTTCATAGCCAGCTGTAACGTTGACGTTCAGGCCTCAGCGAGCCGGGAAGTCAACTGGTCTTGCGTCGATTTTCCCGAGGTGCACTTGGGGCTCTCGCATGGCGTCTAAACTTCGGAGAGAACGCCAACCACGGGAGGGGAAGCACCGCGACGGGAGCGGAGCGTCTCGAACCTCAGAATAGCAACCGCATTCTGGCCGGTCCTTGACGGTGTGCGCAATTGATTCGAGAGCCATCAAGCAAAAGTCGCACCAAGGCGTGCAGCCACGTGGAGCTTGCGCATCGTTTGAAAAAGTTTTGCTCCGAAGTCAGAGGGTCCACGGCAGCTGGAAATCACCGCAGGGAGCTCCATGCTTTCTTGATTTTTCAGCTTTTGTTCAGGAGATGTGCCGAGGGGCAACCAATCGAGTGAGCTCTGAGAGAACGAAGGAAGACTACTCGGTTTCCGCGCCGAGTGCTCTAGAAGGTTGGAACGCCGTTCGATCCCCACGACACTAGGAGAGTCGCCGCCTAATCAAAGGGATGAAACCCGCCGTCGCCGTGGATTCTAGAAAGCGACCATTTCAAGCTCCACGTCGGTAGCGAGCCAGTGTTGTCGGTGAGGACCGGCGATAGGACGTGGTGATTGCGCTGGCTGATGTCAATTAACGACGGATGCTGGCAGATCCAGGACGACTGGCGTACGGATCGCGATGTTGCCCTGCCGGTAATTGCACACCACCGGATCTCCGTCCGCTCCCAAACGGTTCCTAGAGGTAACTTGGCGTGGACGCGATGACTCGAGCTTCGGCGTCTCGCCGATATTCAGTGGACTCTGCCGAAGGTCGCCGTGCCCTTTGGTCTTGGGACCTACCCAACATGCCTTTTGCTAGCAGAACGCCACATTCCGAGAACTTTTCCATGTTCAGTCATCGCTCCGAGAGCGCAGTGCTCAACATCGCAACATTGTACCGTTGCATTCCAGGTCACATGACCAAAACGACACCGAAACTGTGTAACCGGCCCATGCAAATCGCGTGGCCCCCAAGGATGAATCCAAACTTGAATACAGGCCTGATGCCTGAATATCGCGAAAAGGGATGGACAATGCCCTCAATTGTCCCAGGTTTTGCGCGCGCGAGGGCTGTCAAGCGGTCAGTGCGGGTTGCACATGGTTAGACAAACTTTCGTCGCAAGGTCGTCAAACGTTGATCTCGATGCCCAACTGCAACGGCGACCCCGATTGTTGTATCGGGCGGCGGCACAATGCCTTGTTCTGATGCTGAACCCCTAGATTTCCCCGCCGTGGTTACTTGACGATGGGTGCCATTCATGGCGAAAAGGGGCTTCACTCAGTGCCTCGCTGCACAAGATGACACGGAAATACAGCCGGGTTGTGGCGCAAGTGCTGTCGGTGAGTGTGGCGCCTTGAAGGTACCTGTTGTTATCTTCCCGTTCTGACGATGGTCTTGGGGTCAGCTCTTGTTGTCGTTTGCTAGAAACATTGGCTGAAGTTGCACTGTAGTCGTGGCCACAGAAGATTACATGTGATGCCCTCGTCCTGAGCTGGGGGCCGGTGTCCGACTCCGATAATCTGCTTTGTTGATCGTTTGCTGAAAAGTTCGTTCGTCCTGGCATTCTTTGAGGCTCAAATTGATGATGCCGGAACAAGCAACGGCCGGGACGAGTACCGAATGAAACCCCCACAACGGTCATCGGAGCATGTGTATCCACCTTCCGGTCCGGAACGTCAGCCGCGACCCAACTATCAGATGAAGTCGATAACAGCCAGGAACAATAGTTTACGCTCCTGAAAGCTTCGGGATTCCATCGGATGTAAGAACGATGCGCGAAGACTTCGCAACAGCTGGAGAGAAATTGAAAGTGTCACATTCCATTCGTAGCGTAACAGGTCGACAAAGATAAAAACGCGAAGGGAGTGCTTGCCCAATCGAAACCAAGTAATTCCGATTGGTCTAGTTACAGGCATAAGTCGGTCGGCCAGCCGGCTCCAGTTGGTTCTTTGGTTACAACCTCGCCGCCGTTATCACCGCCGATGCGGCAGGCCGACAAACTAGTTACCCCACTTTCATCGGAGCCGGGCTCTGTCGCCGAAACGATGGAGTTCCCATCACGACAAGCAGAATGTAGGATTTGCAAATCAATTTACTTCTCATTTAACCCTTGTACTCGGAGTTTCTCTGTGGGAAATTAGGTACCAGTCCTCGCCAACAGCAGCAAGTGTTCGATCCCCAGTTGCGCGGGTGACTTACTGAATCCAGATACTGGTGATTTTCGTCACCTTTGACGATGCCAATGTCCATCGGTACCTTTGTGCTTGCGAGGACTCCGCTCTCCTCGTGTGCTTGTCAATAATTGGCATGAGGTGCCTTTCTGCAAGGCTCTGTCACAACATCGCCGCTCGGTTGTGCGATCAGAGCTGGGCAAGTGCGGAGTTTGTGTAATCAATGTCTATTAATGTTCTGGTGCGTGTGTATCCGATCTCAATCTCCTCTTTCTGAGATATCATTTCTCGACGACTCGAAACTGGATTTCTTCTCGGCCATGTGATGAATTCAGTAATGGTCGGTTGTGCGAGGAATCGTTCTTCGCCTAAGCGCCCTGATAACTGGTTAAGGCATCATAACGACTGACGGTTAGCGACATGCTGGGCCGTCCATGGTCGACGCGCAAACAGGTGGGGGCGAAATGGCTCCCTAGAACCTGTCACAGACGAGATCCCAGATTCGACTCGAGCCTGCGTGGCGTTTGTGTGACAGTGACATTTTCGTGCAGCTTGACCTCTAAGCGAGTGGTGCAGGGCCTTGTCTTCTTTGGTCATCATTCCGTTACTCTCCATGAGGCAACAGAGTTAAATCAAGAGTCGAAGTCTAGTCAACGTGTATCGCATGCCGAATACGCTATGTTCGGGTTGCTAGCCAGGCTAATGCGGATTGAGACAGAGCCTTGGAAAGAAGTCTGCAAATCGAAATGAGTTGATGGTTGGTTTCTGATTGGTTCTGCTGCATATGGAGGGTGCAGTTTCGTCAGCGATAGTCGTCGTCCATTGTTTGCTAGCCTAGGTAGTTGGCAGCAAACACAATCCCCGGTAAATGGATAGCCGAGTTGGACGTGTCGCAGTACCAACGAGTACATAATGACCTGTCACTGGTGTTTATCAACCCCAGATTGCTTGATCCATTCTTTTCCCGGGTAGTTGGCAACTGTCCACCAACGGTAAAAGGTCCGAAAACGGCTCAGTCGCCAGGGAGGGGTGGCATGATGCGTAGGAAGTTTGGAGCCAACAGACCGGGCAGGTTGAGATCCAGAGCAGTCTCAGATGTCGTCGGGATCGGTCACTTTCCGCCTCTTTTGTGGCCTTTTCCAAGAGCCAGGATCGGCAAAGCCAACCGATGTTGGAGGGCGCAACGTATTAACAGTCAAAGTCTGGCTTGGCATGTTGTCAGTCGTGAGGCGGCCTTCCGATGCTGCGTCGATATCTGCGGAGTCATCCAGGCCTTCAGTGAAGACCATGTCTCCTTTGCTGCCCAGAACGTCTCGGCCAGCTTCCTCAAGCAGGATTCCAAAGGCCAGCAAGGCGGACTCGTCCATGCTCCTCTCGTCAATATTCCGCGACCCGATCTGGTAGAGTGCACCACGCTGTTGGCCACCAAGGGCAGAGTAAAAGTGGCTCGCATAGGTGTGTACAGCCTTGAGAAGGTCGCTATCTGGCAAGGATTCGCGGCCGCCGTCCGGTAGATTCCGGTCGTGTGCCATGTAAATGTCGAATTCCTGAAAGCGTTCTGGCGCAGCCTTGCGACGAAAGAGCACCTCTTCAGGCGGTAGGGTAGTGGCGCGGACGGAGTGCCTGCCCGGCCTGGAGTGATTGGCTCTGGCTGTTGTTTTCTCATTGCTGGTAGCGGCACCCAGACTTGTGTCATAGGTTATCCTCCCTGACAGGGTGTTAGTAACAGTGTTGGTGGACAAACATTGGGTGCTCACCTGCAACGGCATCGTAGAGGTTGGCAAGCCGCTGTGTGCGCTTGGCTTCTTGTGTTTGAGGAAGTGTCGGCTCCGACTTCCTCGAACCATGCCTGTCCAACACGGTTCGCTCGTCATCGTGTCGTTCCATCTTCCCTCTTGGGAATAGCCAGGGCAAGGTAAGACTGGGTTTGGACGATCAGCCCGTCCTTTTCGTAGATGGTCAAAAAGAGGTGTGAAGGTTGCAGATGCTCGATAATAGCCTGAGGGCTAAAGTGTAGTCTAGGAATGGCGTGAAGGAGATCCCGACAGGAGGTGTTGTTGAAGCTGACGGGAAGGTTCTGAGAAAATAGGTGGCAGCCTCAAGGATGCTCAGCTCCCGGGAATTTGGAATGGAAAGAACGGTCGACTTTGCTTGAGTGAGTCCTTCCTGCCTTCACCAGTTCTTTGTGAGGGAAGGAGCTTCCTCAGTTTGGGCAGCAAGAGACTTTTGATAAGTGGGACCATCTCCATTATGACCAATGAAATCCAATTATCCCCCAGCCCTTAGGCACCTACAGTGCTGAGGCTCACTGTAACTTCAGGAGAAGCCCGACAAATGTCGCCCTTCTGGTGACATGCCAGCTGACATCATCACACCTCAACACCAGAACAACATCACCATCTCCAAGTTTCACAATTATCACCAATTCAAGTCAACTGCCATACGCTCCGCATCTACCGTTCTTCAGCTGTCACAACTGCGCAACTTGCATCCAGATGAATGCAGGCCAATCTGTTTGCGCGCTCAACGGGGGAGCTGGGCCCTGAGGCATTCGAGCGAACCATCACCTCCCGCCTCGTCCGATCCTTTGCTGCAGCTCCCCAGCACAGATTCAATGGCGAGGGTGCTGAAATCGAAGATTATGGAAGACATGTTGATCTATGGGCGCATAGAATTGGTGTAAACGCCTTGGCCTTGGACAAATTTGATGGCCGATTGTAAGATCATCCTATTTCTTGTCAGAAGCTGGGAACTAACACATCACACAGATTGCTCTCGGGAGGTGCTGATGGCTCTGTGAAGCTTTGGGACCTCGATCACGCCAGCAATGCCAATTCATCCCACGTCTTCCAGCCCATCGCTGATGTTGCGCGTTCAATTGGGGCCAAGAGCAACATTCATTCTCACGGCATCACTCATCTGGACTTCTATCCTTTTGACTCAAATGCCTTCCTTTCAAGCTCCTTTGACCGCTCGCTCAAGCTGTGGTCTACTGAAAACATGACTGTTTCTGGAAGCTTCGATCTCGAAGACCGCATATACACCCACGCCATAAGCCCAGTGGCCAACCATCTCCTGGTTGCCTGCGCTACTCAGCATCCGTCCGTCCGCCTCGTTGACCTCAAGTCGGGCTCTTCAGTCCAGTCTCTGGTAGCCGACGGCGGTGCTGTCCTCTCTGTTGCCTGGAGCCCTCGCCACGAACACGTCGTTGCCACGGGACACTACGATGGGAGAGTCAGGATATGGGACATCCGGCGCGCTTCCGGCCTCATTGGCCAGCTCGACCAGGAGGACAGTCTGGGCGTCGTCCACCGTTTCAAACACGCCACGGCATCCGGCATGGACTGGAAGAATATGCGTCACTTTCGCAGCTCGGCCAGGGCTCACAACGAGGGCGTCAACGGACTGACTTGGACCGACGACGGCAAATACATCATCTCCGCTGGTCTTGATCGCCGGATACGCGTCTGGGACGCTGCCACTGGCGCGAACACGCTGGCTAGCTTCGGCTCACTGATACAGAATCAACAGCCCAAGACGGTCAACATGTTCGTCACCCCTGCAAGGCTCACACCTGCCAGACGAGATCTCCTGTTCTGGCCCAACGAGCATGAGATATTGGTCATGGATCTGCATGAAGGCACTCTGGTATCTCGTCTGCGCGTGCCAGGGCCGAAAGTACTGCCCGAAAGTCAAGGCGTTCGAGGACTGAACGTCAAAAATCGCACGATGAGTATGGTATGGCGCGGTCACGGAGGCTATAGACTCCAGAAAGGACCGATCATGGGTGGAGGAAGTGCGTGTGGTGCTGTCTACACAGCTCACTTGGATGGCCAGATTCGGGCTTGGATGCCACGCTTGCCGGGACCAGATGTCGACGATGATACCCCAGATCCTCTAGACAGGGACGAACAGGAGCAGAACCGGAAAAGGAAGGCCCTGGACGATGCGTACAAGAGCCTGATGGGCAAGCAAATCACGTTTAGATGATGTGTTCGATTTGCCCATCGAGACTCTTCCCTTACTGTATAATATAATACCAGACAAATGCGGAAGCAGGTCAACGAGATCAACTGATGATCATCCAGAGTTTGGTAGCAGAGCCAACCCATTCATAGACATTCGGTACGCTGTGATTTCATCCGTATCGCTGTTAGATCCAGGATTCATCATTTTGCCTTAAGATGCTAATTACTTGCTTCATCAGTAGATCACTTCTTGCCCCTCCATTCAAGCATGATAGCCCCCCCGCGGAAGCATCGCACATACGACGGTAACATTCCCTAGCCCTGCGGTTCAGCCGGAAGCCAAACCACTTGGCATCCGTCCCTGACGCGAAACTCGTCGCGGCAATATCAAAAAGACAAGATCGACGAAGAGGACAAAGCAACTACCACCGAGTCTCCAGAAGTTCCCTACTTTCTCAACACAAATCACTGCCAACTTAGTCTCTCTCCCCTCTCATACTTCTCAGCGTCACATCTTTCGATAACAAATCACCAAATCCGCCGGATCACCACCGCTCAGATGCCCATGCATCGATAGCCATCTCTCCGCCGCGTCGCCTCCAGCCAATCCACAGCCCACGAGAACACCCCCTCGCATAGCGCCGTTACATCGCCCGCCTACCAAAGAGCAGCTGTCGTCCAGCTACAGGGCTGGAACAGGCCTCTCTCCGCCACCCGGCTTTAAGCACTCCCGGGGGGGAGAGGGGGAGGTGGGATGGGAATTGGGACGGTCCACCCCCGGACGCGCGCCAGCCGCACCGGAACGCTTCCCCGCCGCCCTTTTCTGACCTCCTGCATTAGCTCCCGCGCCGTCCCAGCATCATGGTTCATGAAAGATACGCGCCGCCCGCTTCGTCAAAGCCGTCACCACCCATCCAGCCCTGCAATTGAGTTACTCGCTATGCTGACGGCATCGAGATGCGCAGAGTAGGGAAACACGGCAGGGGCCGGAAGCCGGGGTCGGCGTGGTCGAAGACCGATCCAGAACACCACAACCTTGGTCGGATCGGACCTTGGGGTGGAAGACGGGGGGGTGGTCGACTAAGATCAGATGCATCAAAATGGGTAACCCGATGATTCCCAGCAAAAGCCAGGGCGACGTCCACGACGCCAGCGACATTGGGATGACGGCAGTTCGCGCGATACTGGTGGAATACGCGATAGGCATGCTAGTGGCGAATGGAAGCACGTCCGCTCAGACTTCCACGCCGGTCCTCATAGAAACCGCGGGATGAAGTCAGGGTCCCGTCTTCCGCGAGGCCGATCCAGCCGGAATTCACTGTCCCGGATCCAATTATCCCAATAAACATCTCAGCCTAGCAAGCCTGACTCCGCGAAGAATAGACGGCGTATCGCGCTATGACACCCAAGCAGACATGTTCTCCCAACCCTAGACTGAACTGATATCATGGCAAGAGCCAGCCCTTCCAAACTCATGGCAACATCGTGTGCGCCACATAATTCGCATATAACACCGGATCTTATCGCGCTGTGACGCAGGGGTTGACGAGAGCGGTATGGTTCTCCCCGGCTCGATGCCGAAGATGGAGATCTTCGACGGCGAGGGATATCATTCTTCGGAGCCGCCCAGCCCGTTTGTCAGGCGGGGTAAATGACCATAGACTTTTGCGCCAAATGTTCAACATTTGACACGCAGGTAGAGTTTCCTGTTGTGCCATTGGATCCCTCGGACTCGCCAAGGAGGTCTGACACTTCATCAGACATCGACGGCGAGACGTCGTCATATCGGAAGAATGCCGTGTGTACTTCCGTCCAGATGTTAGGACCTGAAGAGCTTCCCTAGCTCAGAAACTACGCGCGTCCTGAAGAGACTATCGACGACGATGCGTTCAGCTTCCCGTCTGCGCATTAGTACTGATTCAGGGGTTGGTAAGACGGCAGATGGGGGCAAATTACGGCATAGGAGACCGCGGTAGCCGCGGTCAGGTTGTTTTCACGCCAACGCGGCGGAGGAGACGCCGTAAACTCCTCCGTGGCGGAGCGGCTTCGACAAACCTCTCCTCTCGGAGACACGGCACCTGGGTCCGCGCGTCTCCGGTCCGACTACTTGGAGCTCCGAGTCTGTGGTGTTTTGGTAATGCTCCGTTGACCTACAGCTCATGCGGTCGAGGCTGTTTAAGCTTATCTTCAACGTTGTTTTCGAGAGGAAAGCCGCTACTTCGAGGGTCAAGTAAATCACTGTGACACGCCGGTATTGAAAGAAACACATTCCATCATTCTTACCTAACTGGGTTAAGAAAGGAACACAGTTTGAATGAAGAAAAGATGATAACATGAGCCTTCTATACACGTCTTTCCTATGAACGCTAGCTTCGGCTCCCGGCTACAGACAGAGTAAAGTCAGTTACAAGATTGAACCTCACTGTATGAAGCAAAACCAGCGTTGACTTCTGCAACCGGCCATTGAACCCATCGTTGCTTGGCGCCACTTTTGATATATATGAAAGCATGCTTTCGTCTCCAGCAGCTAAAGCTCTCGGACTTCAGTTCCACTCGTACAAGATGGCCTTCAGAAATGAGGCTTGGGTGAGTATCGACTTGAGGATGAGTCGGAAAGCAGCAACCTACAAAGCCAAAACATCATTCAGAGCTGCATAAATCCAATATTTGCTGATCATTTCTACGCCGCCAGAACAGCCGGGTTCCTCAACCCCTATAACTCGCTCTGAAACATGTCTCCCTCAGCCCTCTAGTCGTGTGATAGACCACAACAAATAACTCATCAGATCACACCATCTTTGACGAAAGTTTCAGGAATATTAGACCTATCCAACCACAACAACACGACTTCCCGTCGACTTCTGACAGTGGGAGACAAAGACGCTAGGATCATCGCACTGGGCCTCGGTCCCGTTCGCTGGCCCTTCTTGTCTCTTGTACAATATCGAAAGCAACCGAGTGAAGACGATTTGCTAGTCGTTTTTCAAAGATTTACACATAGATCTCGCAGGGCGTAAAAAGACCGCTGGCCCCGGGTCCAATAATCATGCCCGACATGGAACATGATATCAAACAGAGTTGCGGGACCAAATCCTGACTGGCTTCCGTAAAGTTTCTCATCCCACTACGTATGGACTCTGGATTGAAAAGCAAGTGAGTAGTACGTGGCTCACGTAACTTCGTTCCTCGTCTCCCTATGTTTGATCTGTCAAGATAATAACCGAAGAACGATGAACGATGGCAGAAAGGCGTAGCGGAAACGTATGTGAGTACTCAACTACGGATTAGTATGATACGGCTTCGTCGAGTACGCATGCAATCCCAGATCAACAGCTCACGTCAGTGGCACGGCACGCCGTACGAGGTAGGTCACATCCCATTGCTTGAAGAAACCGAGAAAACCAAATATCCGAGAATTTTCTGGCTTTATACTCATTCTCCGTCCCCAAATTTCCGGATAGATCTCAACCAAGCCTCGTAACAAGGCTCTCCAGCCACTCCCTCCGTCACGTCCAAGAAACCACCACAACAACCACCCCCAAACATCTCAAACAAGCCACTCATCCCCCCTCAAAACCACACTCCAAACACCTCCCTCACCCCTCTCGAACCCCCTCGCGTCCTCCACGTCCGCGGCCCCGAAGTTGCGCCCGTAGAGGTGCGGGAAACACCCGTCGCCGGAGGGCAGGTCGTCCCACCGGATGCCCGCCTCCAGCGACGCGTACGGGAGCTTGAGCAGGTACAGCTTGCTGGCGGACGCGAAGAAGCGGTCCGCCGTGCCGAGGACCTGTCCGACGAGGTTAGCGAATTTCCGATTTCGTTTCGTGCTGACGATGGTATCCGACGAAGACAGGCAGAGAGAGGTTGAGGGATTGAGTGAACTGGACGACGGCGAGATCGATGGTGTCAAAAACCCACGCCATTTTGCGTGCATAAAAAGAAGTTTTCAACAGAAAGAGAAACTGCGTACCTGCTCGGCCGTGCTCAGATGGATGAAGCCGTCGTCGCGGTCGAGGTCGGAGAGGGGATACTCGGCCGGCAGCGGCGAAGGCGGGGCGTCGGGGACGATTTTGTAGAGGTACTGCGGAAGGGTGGACGGGGCGGGCATGTTTGGCGTTTATTTTCCGTCTTGGACGTCAGGACGTGTGCTTGTGTGAGAGGCAGAAGGAGGGTTTGTTACCAACGAAGTCTCGAATTGCAGGATTTCGCGTCGAGTCGAATATGAGGTTTGAGAGGTTTGTTTCTGTGTGCCTCTCACATCTCGCGCAAAACCCCACTTTCATGTTAGGTGCGCACGGCGGCTTACCAAACGACGATTCGTCGTTTACCTACACGGCCATCACATCACATTACAACACGTCGGTACCATGTTCATCAAAGACTTTTGATTTTTACAGGGACGTATCTAGTCCATGTCCTATCGCCGATTCCCTCCAACTCTCATCCCCAGATCATCACCAGATCATCACCCCGCTGATGGGGCCCTCCTCGTAGCCCGCCCCGGAACACCTACTCCCCGGTTCAAAACCGCCGATAGTTCATAAAAACCTCCCCACAAGCAGATGACTCTTCAACCTTTCCCTTCTCAGAGAAAAGTCGAACCCCTTCGACCAGGTCGCAGGATATGGTCAAAGGAGTTGCGGCACCGTTGATGCCAAGGGTCCCTCCACGTTTCTCTCTTTGGCTGCGTCCTTCTGATTTGCAATCTCTGGCGCCTGGGTTGTTTGAAGCGTTGAAGCGCCGATTTCTCCTCGTACGTCCCTGCATGCGCCATCATGCTCCTCGCTGCTACGTAGGCATACGCCTGAGATTTGTTTTCCGCCCAGCTTTCTCTTCCTCTTCAGACGCGCTGGTAGAACAACAGGTAGGCGACCTTGTTGTCCTTGATGTTGTCTTTAGCCGGCTTGCCCTTGGGCGCGGTCCCGGCACCGTTGCCGTTCGCGACCGCGCTCCACTTCTTCTCATTCTTGTCTCCGCCCTTCGCAGAGGTGGTGACTTCTTTCCAGCCATCTCCCTCATCCTCGTCAGCCATGGCGCCAAATCGGTTAGCCGACGCATCCCGCGAAGAAGCTCCTTGACGGGAGCTATCTTTCACCTCCTCCTCAGCGCCAGCTTCAGCCACGTCCTCGCTGCGGACACGACGAATGACGGTATCATCAAGACGAATCCACTCATTCTCGTCTTGACGTCTGACATCCACCGTGTAGTGACCACCGTTGGCTTGCTTTCCGTGGTGGTAGACGACGCCGATGAGCTTGTACTTTGGCAAGCCCGCGCCCTCTGCGAGGATCGCGTTACGGTGCCTTTTGGACAGAACCTCTGCCGGAAGCTGCAGGTCGAGGGGATAGCCGACCTTCTTTCCAATCTTGGTAGTTCCCTCGGTGTCGAACTTGAAGCGCTTGAGATGAAGAATTAGAATGGGAGGAAGCGTCTCAATCAGAAGCTGCTTGGTCATCGGACCAGCATCGCCTTGGAGTCTCTCAGGCAGCGTCAAGCCCTTGATAGCATCAAGGACGTTATTGATGTACGGGGCCCCGATGTCCAGCTGGAGAGACTGGAAGGGCTCCATGTTGACGGAATCCTTAACGCCAGGACGGCGAAGTTCTGACCGGTACTGTCCGTTGAAAAGCCGAGTAATGGGAGTCGTCTGGCTCGCCCCAGAAGAACGAGTCTCGACCGCCCGCTGCCTCGAACCGACCTCGAACCATCCGTCCGCGCCATCCTGAGACTCGGCCACGCTGGCTGCTGAGGAGACAGGCTGTACATCGGGAGCAGCGTTTGTCGATCCGCCAGACGACATCACTTGCGCACACTCTTCGCCGATGGCGGTTAGGATCAGACCGAGGAACTCCTGAGCGTCTTGTTGGTGTCCGCGCTGCAAGATCTGTTAGCGAGGCCGGCAAAAGAAGGAAACAACTGCATACCCTCATGCTCGCAAATGCAGGAAGAGGCTGGATAGCCTTGTATACGAACTCCGGGATGAAGGAATCGCCATACTGTTCCAGCTGCTCGTTCTTGAGTTTCTTGCGGAGCTTGTCAACGGAGTCCGTCGACTCAATGACACGGAACTCCCTCATAAACATGATCCTGATAGCGAATTAGTCTCTATATTTGCAGGTGTTTGAGCGGGCCACTCACATGGCGTCCGTGACGGGCGTGCTGCTCTTGAACTTGTGAACAGCCTTCTTGCTGACCTGGTCTAAGAAGTCGTAGAATGGTCCGCAGAAAAGAAGAACTTGCAAAACCTAATCTCGTTAGATAAGCTGCTACGTAGTTTTGGTCAGGGCAACTCACTGAATTCATATAACACATATTTCCCGTGTTGATCAAGCCCCTCGGCTCAATGAACTGGACCTTGGAGAGGCTACCGACGCGGAAGTCCTGGATGGCAGCAGCCAAAGAGTTCGCATTCGTGGGGAAGTTAGAGGCGCCACCGTTTACCGCCCCAGCCCCATTTGCAATCGCACCGTTAGCTGGCGCCGCAGTCGTAGGACCGTTGGCATTAGGCTGAGCTTTGTTGGCAGCGGCAGCTGCAGCTGAGAAAAGTCCGCTCCAGGTCTTAGGTGCCACCTTGACGGGGGCCGCAGGCTGTGCCTCAACCTTTGGCTCTGTACCAGCCGCATCCGCTGTCTCGGAGACGTCGGCGGGCTTTTCCTCGGTAGTGGGTTCCTTCACCTCCTCTGGCTTGCTGATGCTGGCGGGCTTTGCTTCCTTAGGGCTGCTCTTGGGAATGACAGGGACAACGGGAACGACGGGCACGGCAGGCCGAGAAGTGTTGGAACTGCTGGTCGTGGGTCTCGCGCTCTCTTTTGGGGCCTCGGCCTTGGGACTGCTTTCGTTTGAGACGCTGGTCGCGGATCTGTCACTGGGAGCAGGCTTCGCCGAGGTGTCTTCCGTTTCGTTGTCCGCGTTCTTTGCGCCAGTCTTCTCGACATCGGTTTCAGCTTTATCAGCAGTAACCAGCACAGGTAACGTGATGTCAATCGCATTTGAACTCAAAAGTCTTCTCCGGCGTCTTGACTTTGCAGTCCTCTTGGGGAAAGGACCTTGCGTGGGCGGCGTCCAAGGCAGCTACCCATTGTCAGCAAAATGATCGATACTTGACGAGACAACGCTACTTACAGGAGCCCGGAAGGGTTTGAACGGAAGCTCTTGGCTCTGAGGGGTCAGAGGAGTCTCGGGAGCAGGTGTCGAGGGTTGCGCCTCAGCAACAGGCTCGAACGGCTCAGCCGCGGGCTGGAAGGGTTCGGCCGAGGGCTGGAAAGGTTCGGCAACTGGCGTCATGACGGAGGGCTCTGCTGGAGTTTGGTGAACAGGCTGAGGTTGAGGAGGCGGGGGCGACTGAACATGCAACGCGGCAGGAACGGGAGGCGGCTGATAAGGGTTCGACAAAGCAGGTGACGGCTGAGAAGGTTGAGAGTACGGCTGGGGAACGCTGACGCCGGCCATGGGAACATACTGCGGCTGGGGCATCGCCTGTGGTGACCTGACATACGGCTGCTGTTGCGGGTAGTGCATGTAGCCAGACGGCATGCCACCGTTCTGGTACTGATGCGGCAGCTGGTGATAGTACGGGGCGGCGGCAGCGTAAGGGTTCCAGCTGGTAGGATACATGGGCATCTGCTGGTATTGCTGCTGATAATGCGCATACGGCTGTTGCTGCATCCTCCGTCTGTTGCCTCCTCCAGGCCCGCCCATATCACCAACGCCAGCTCCCGGCCCACCACCCCCCGGCATGGCTTGCCCAGCCGGCAGATGACGATTGTTCATCCTGCCGGCTTGGGAGTTGTATGTTTGCAGTGATCGTCCACGGCTGGAACTATCACTGCGAGTTGGTTCTGCGACTTTCTTCGAAGCGGGTGTCGGCGCGTTCGCAATGGAGGCGTCGACAGACTCGGCGGGAATCGAGAATCGCAGTTATTCGATTAGGTTGCGTGGTTTGAATCGCGTGGGTTGCGCGAGGATGTGAGGAGGAGCTCGCGAATTGTTGGAGCTGTCGTGTGTCGCCTCCTCTTTTCGGATTGACGTTCTCGAAGCCGGAAAAGTACACAATTGCCCTGACTCAAAAGTGGATCAGGATTGAGATGCCGTCCAGTGTCGCTGGAGCAGCTATGCAGTGCGCCGGCGAAGAGAAGACCACAGAAGATGAGGGCAACGGTGAATCAGCAACGACCGGGCGCTGCTGTGCAGCTATATGGACAGTTGCTTCGATTTCGGAGATGACAAAAAAATTACGCTGCGCGCAGGAAAGGTTGACCTGGAGCTAGCAGGCTGCGGGATCCGGGCTTTGTTGGCGCAATGCGATTGCCTGACCCGAAAGCCTTGCGCACAGATCGGAAAGTGATCCCAGCTGCTAGACCTCAAGTCTCTTCTGCCGTAATTTGCCCGAAATCGGCCCCACTCGGGCTCTTAGGCTGGTACGAAGCTTCAAGGTGAGCTCTGTGAAGCTATCCGTACTACGAAGCTAGCTTTAACGTTTTCGTTGGGAGGTTGGACCAGATAGCAAAATGACAATCAATCATATTGTCGACTCCATCTATGTACCTAGGTATACCATGCGCCGCGCTGGAAGACTCGCTGAATGAATACGCAAACAATACCTCCCTCACACAACTCACTCATCCCTGAACAACCATCGACCCCCTCCCCTTATGGCATCTCTGTGCCTTTCTCGGATCATCTCCCTCTCTCGCTGCTCGTATTCCGCTTTTTCGGCTTCCACTTCTTGTGTGCTGGGAAAATCCGCGTTCCAAAACCCTGGCGGAGTTGATCGCCGAGCGTACCGGTGGCGATGCTTGCCCAGTTCATTGGCGAGCTGCCATGTCTTGGCCTTCACCCAGAGCTCTTCTTTTTCAGCTTTCGACATTCCCAGTATTGAACTGATCCTGTCTCCCAGATAATCTTCGAACAGCTTGCTGTCCGATGCCGAAGTACGGTCAGGGCTATTCTTCTGAGCGAGAGCCATGGCACGGAATTTTGGACCACAGCAGTTCATGTCGGTGCAGCCTGGCAGTCCCGCCCTGTCATGACCTCTCACCACTTCTGAATATGCGTAGTCAGAGCCGTCGTTGAACTTTGGATTGACCTTGAAATCGTCCAGACGCAGAGCGGACACGGGTTTTGACCGGAGAGGAGCCTTTGCAGGTGTCAGCGGTTTCTCAATGGCGGCTCGGCTCTTAGACGAACCGCGCATTGGACTAGCCCCTGCTTCTTCTTCCTCTCCGTCGTCAACCCTTCGGTTGAGAGAGCTCTCCTTGGACTTGTCCCGGCGGTCTTTGTTGAATGGCAACTGCCGCCGGTCGGGGAACGCAAGTTCGTCCGCAACTAGCGGGTTTGGATCACGGAGCCGTGGCGCCGACCTTACTATAGCCGGCGCCTTGTCTGGTGATGGGTTGTTCAGGAGAGTCTCAAGCCGACGCGGGGCTTGTGGTGTTCGAAAAGGCGCTCCACGACCAGACGTGCTGTAGGGAAGACCATCCTCGGCCAGACTTCCTATGCCCTGGGCGAGTCCTTTCTTAGGAGGCTTATCGACAGTCATCTTCTCGTACGGGCGCACGGGTCGCACATTAGGATTGACGGGTGTCAACACCGTAGAGCTGTTGGAGGGTCTCACGACCGGCGTGCTGATGTTATCAGGCCTGACGAAAACCGGCTCGGTGGTCTTAGCTCTTCCGACGTCCACGTGCCTGTTTCTCTTTGGCGTGGTGACTCTGGGACCGATTTCGTCCAAGTCCATGCTCTCTTGTATTTGCGTGGGAGGCAGGCTAGTCGACATATCGGAGCTCTCGATCTTGATTCTCTGCCGTCCTATGCCATCCGTGGCATCACCAGCGTGCTTTCTTTTGCCGACGTAGCGTTCGGAAACAACTTCTACGCCATCGGATGACAACTCGGCCTTGATGTGCACATCGGCCGTTTCGACGTTTCGCTTCAACGGTGGGAGAGTCGGCATCTCAGCGTCCTTACCACTCTCTGTCGAGTCTCCTTCGGTCGAGTCCGGGACAGAAAGAGCGCGGGTCTCTTTGTGCGGGGCCAGACTCGCTCTCGGCCCGTTACGTGCAGCTCCTAGACCTTCGGCAGGCTCATCTGTCTCGCGAAGTTCTGCCCCAAGACCTGCCGTGAAGCCTGGTGATACCGTCGAACGAGGCCTGGGAGGCTCAGGGGCGGACTCTGTAGAATGTGTTGATTCAGCCGACTTTCCGCTCCGGCCCTCGAGTCTTTTCAACTTTGACTCCAGGCTTTTCGCATATTCTTCCCATTTTTTCTTGTCGTCCTTCTCCTTCTTGTAACTGGCCATCAAGGTCTTGAAGTTCTTATCCAGAGCGATGTATTTCTTAAGAACCTTCTGGCTTTCGCGGAGAATAGTCTCCCTGTCGTCGCCTTCTGTTCCAGTCACACCGGTCGCTTCAGGATCTGTGTTGGTGGCATTATCGCACGTTGGAGGCTTCGGGGCAGGAGTGGCCCTTGGCGATTCGGTGGTTCGGCCTTGTTGGTTGAGACGCAAGAATTTAGCTCTCAAACTCCGATTATCCTCTTCGAGACGGTCCGCCTCCGCAGAACGAGACCTCAGGATCTCGAGCTCGTCGTTCAAATACTCGCGCGATTCGGCGTCTTTCTGTAACTTCTTCTTAAGCTCTGTCGTACAGGGGTCAGCATTAGACCATTACGTCAGGGCCATCGACATACCGTTTTCAAGCTCCCTGCCAATCGTGTGGCGCAAGGTATTGAAAGCTTCCTGCACCGCAGAGCGGCTTTCCGACGAGAAGCTATCCATGACACCCGAGAGAGGCTTCGTGATCTAGCTATAATATCTAAACATACAGGTCGTACTTGATGCGCGGGTTGAAGTGCTTACTAGGCACCCGCGTGTGCTTCACGCGAAGGATGCAGGGAAGGCGCGTCAAGGTTGCGCCGGGGCACGTGCACCATGCCGAACAGTGCGATCTTCACGCACACTGTAACTATGTCTGCCTGCCTACGAACCAAACTGCACCGTGGCTAGACCTCGTCCTCGTCAACATCAAATCTAAATGTGTTCCAGAGCATCAGAGAAAGCATCAACCAAATCAGGATACCACCAAACACCAATCAACACCGAGATACGGAACTCGACCCGATCATTGTCGTCGGCTCTCACATGTCTTGGAAAGCATCGGAGCCACTTCCGCAGTGGGAGGAGCTTGGCGGGGCGCATCCGTCTTGAAAGTCGAGTCAACACCATCAGTTGGCACGGTTGGAGTTGCCTGCAACGCCAGTGGACCTACGGATACTCTTACGCGGTACGGGTACAGACGACAGATAACACAGAAGTGCAGGGCCGAGATTGAAGACTTCTTCTTCTCGGTGGGCCAAGCCCCCGAGCTCCCCACGGATTACGGTCCTCCGGCCCGGCACCTTTTCAACGTCCACTAAACCCTGCGGATTGATCGCCATGGTACTCTTTTCACGCCATCAAACTCGCCCTCATCGTTTGACCGTCACAGTTGCATATCCGTTCCTCTTTCAAGCCGGGCTATTTCTCCCTCGCTTCGGTATCCACGACGTCAATGGCTGAATACTCGCAGCGTCTGTTGCGGCACGTCTGCTGAAAGTCAAATACAGGGACGCAACTTCAAGTCTCTCCCCTCAGAAGTGGACAGATCATTTCCGGATGGGAAGCCCGCCGGGCACTAGACAAGGATTCATGTCTGCTTCCCATTTCGTTTTAGCCGGGCATTTCGTGCCGCCTTTGCGAAGGAAGCTTCATGTGATTCCTTCGTTTGGGAACATCTGGCTTCAAGCCAAGCTTCGAGAAGTATTCCGCACGTGGCGGGCAGGTTTTCCCGATCACGCCGATTGGCCTTGACGACAGCTCCGGAGCGACTGACCTCCTGAATGATTTCTAACACGATTTTTTCATCGACGTAAGATGGTCAACACGATGCGCGTATGCGACGTGTGCGCCTGGAAGAGTTCAGGGTGGCACTTCCTAGCGAGCCAATCGCCGTTTCGACACGCTGGTATTTGCTGCTTCTTGCATTCTCGAGAAGCTGCGGCCTCTAGTGCACCACGATCACTGCGGTATGTGGTTACATGCCGTTCTAGTGCGCCTTGGGCTGCACCTGCGGCCAAAATGTGGCCACATTGGCCGGCATATTCCCCATGGCGGGAATCCAGACCATGCTGGCCGGCGGAGGCACGATATCATCCAGCAGGCCCAGCGTCGGTTTATGCTGACAACAGGGGCGGTGGATAATACCAGACTGCTCGGGATTACTGCACCTACCACGGAACATGAAAAACAGGAATCCGTGGTCGACGATATCTTCATCTGTCGAGTCCGATGTGTGTATGCGGAGTCGTGCAGCGCCTTTTGCCCCTGCATGCTCGTTGCGTAATGCCAGGCAAGCGAGACCAAGGAACATTCGATGGAATATTATCGTCGACCAACGATTGCCGCAATATACCGGCCACAAAACAATTGAAAGGAAACAAGCCAACCTCCCCGGGGCCAGGAGTTGTTTCTAGACGATTATGCGTGCGTGCATGCGGTGCGGACTGATAGCCGTTTGAGGTGATGGCCGGGTTCATCCGGTGTGGTCGACTGCTAAGCTTACCACCAACCCGAAATGGAAGAGTGGCCGAGATTGAGCACGGCAGATCTGGCCGGGTCGGAAGCGCATCTCGATGGAACGAGCCAATCCTCGAGCAGGGCTCGGTCGAGGGCGTAGGTGGCCGGGGAATGCGAAACCTGAATGATGAGTGGAATGAAACTCTTGGGATTTGTGCGTTAATTCCTCCAGTGAGATATCGCAGATTGAGTTCCAGGCAGGAAGGAGGTTGAAAAAGACGGAGCCGACGTCAAAAACATACATGGGGTTCAGTGAGGGGATGGTGTGTCCGGCGTCGATCTGGAGGGGCCGTCCAAGCCTCGGCCCAAACCTTTATCAAGCAAAGAGTCCGTGAGGTTGGTTATCCGGGGGTTTGTGAGCGACTTTGCTTCCACGACTGCCGAAGGCGAGTGTCATTGTGCACAGGATGAGATCCTTCATCTGGCGCAGAGTGCAGAATTGCCTTCGCGATGTCGACTCAGCATCATCCAGACGGGGCCGCGCAGTCGGCATGTGTTTATCATCCCACCGACACAGCAACAGCAGCAACCGGACCGGCAAAACAAATGTGTAGCCGAGACCAATTCAAACGAAATACGCGCAGGCGGGACAAATTGATGGGATACCTGAGGTTCACCATGAGACATGGAGGCATCTGCACAGTGTGAACCAAAGTTGATGGGCAGAAAAAAATCCTGCATGATGGAGGGGCAAACTGCATATGGAAATCAGCATCCGTTTGGTGATTTCGTGCCCGTTCTTGCTCTGGTTTTCTTGCAGAGCAGCCGGCTGATAATGCTCTAGTGGTATCAGAGGTAAATCCCCCAAGTACATGATATCTTCTGGTTTCAAGAGGAAGCAAAGTGCGGTTAGTACGAATTGGCTGGGTTTTCCGTCAACAACCAAGATGAGGGGCTATCGAAGGCTTGTGAGACAGACTGGACTGGGTACCTCAGCATCAGAGCTTGCAGACCCCTCAGCCCGTGAATGAGGGGCCTTCAGGAATCAGACAGGGAGGGATGCAAGGGACGAGCCCCTCGTAGGGATGGAAAAGGGTTTAGCGAAGGCTGGGGCATCACATTTCACAGTGCCAGGCCTGCCACGGAGCCACTTGCCTTGCCTTTCGGCGATTTAAATTAGTACTAAGCGCAGGGGGGGCCCTAGCTTCCAACCGCCAATGCTGATTTTTTTTTCCTCATGAAAAAAAAATTCGAGAGAGAGGGGAGGGGGAAATAGCAAAAAACCGAGGGGCCACAGAAATGGGAAAATGTAACAGCGACTGTGAAAAAAGTTCAACTGCGCGGGAAAAAAAAAGTACCGTGCGCGTGGCCTGATGTTTTTTGATAGCTTCGCCAGCGGGCTTTGCTCCAATATACGCGGCAATAGCAAGTCCTGATGGAGAGAGGATAGACCCTTTTCTTGATCTCAAAAGTCAGATGCCTTTGAGTTCTCCGTCCCTGGTGTTGAACACCCCCCCGTCGCACAAACCAGCTCACCTTGTCGGGCTTCCGTCCACGTCAAAAAGGAAACGAAAAAGCCTGAATCTGGTGCCTTTCCCGTCCTATCCGCCTTATCGGAAGGTTCGAGTCTGAGCAGACGTGCGGGCAAGCTTCGTCCCAGGTCATCTGAAGTTTTGCGAACCTTCTTTTCGTGCTGACACCGGGTTACCGATGTTGTTCAATTGCCTTTCCGTCGTCGACCTTGATCTTTGCGTACTATGTTATGGAGACATGCCTGGGTAGTTGAACGCAGGTTGCTTCCGGCGCGGTGCAAGCTCCAAGCTTCGACGGCCCTTTTTTCTTCTTCAGAAGAGGCTGCTCTTGCCTAATCTGTCTAGGCTGGTTCGTGGTCTGGAGACTTGAGGTGGGATACCTGTGAAGGAAGCAGCGCATTGTAGGTAAAAGCGGTCGCGTAGTCTCATCATCGGCTCCGGCTTTTGAAGCTGAAGGCACACTTCGGGCAACGGGGACCGCCTCAGCTCAAAGCATCGCTTCCTAAGGTATCCGTCCGGTAGTCACCTCAGCCCAGCCAAGCCCAGCCAACTCAACTTGATAGCGCGCCGGAGGACAGCCAGTAAACCTTGGATCGGGTCGGGCCAGGCCAGTGGAAGACAAGCTCGAGCTGGGGAAAGGAGTGGGAGTGGTAGGTGTTGCACGCGAGTGTCTTATGTCTGATGCCGGTATACATCCTGCCACGACGATGGGAAGTGAACCCCGCCAAGATGACCTGCTTCTGCCTCTTGTAGTCCATATCTACCTACGTCAGGCAAGGAAGGAAGGCGACAGAGACAGAAAGAGAGACAGGAAAGGGCTAGACGCTCACGTTGGTCTGCGGCTATTCTTCTCCCTCGCCTTCACTTTAACAACCTTGGATCGACAAGTCTTCTTCCCCTCGACTAGCTACATATCTACTTTACGGATTACCATCTGATACCAACTACCTTAGGTAGGTACCAACCAAACAAACACCACAGCAACAAAGTGCCACTGCCACTGCGACTGCAACTGCTGCTATCGGGCCAGGTTGCTAAGTAAGGTAAGAGAGTAGGTACCACGAGCCGACGGGACTGCGACAGGCTCTTCCTCGAAAAGCCTCTTTCCTCTTTGATTGGACGCTACAGGCCATTTTTCACACGGCTCCACATCCAGCTAAGGCGGTGGACATCCAAAAAAATTCACTGAAAAAGACCAATCCCTTCCGCAAGACAACCACTTCCTTCCCCCTTCTTCCCACAACCACCTCGCCATCGCAAACAAACCTTGCAACCCTTTTTTTTCGCGACCCCTCCACGACCCGAACTGAGATTTTTGCACTCGGTTCTTCCTTTACCAGACTGTGAGTAAACAGGTCTTCCTCGTCGTCTCTTTACGTCCTTCCGTTGCCCTCAAGTGGCAATGGCCGCCGCCGTCGTCATCAAGGGGACATTGCCATCACCCGCTGCCATGTCGCTGCCGCTGCTGCGCAAACAGGCCAGCCCAGCACGCAGATTTACACTTATCCATCTCCAACTTTCCCCACATGGCGCGCGCACACATGCCACTTGCCACTCTCAGTGTCCTCCCCCCCACCTCAACCACTTCCCATCGCGACAAACCTTTCGCAATCCAGATCTCCCATTTCCCACCAAAGCTTGGCTTGATCGCACCACGACGACATCTCCTCAGATTCCAACCGTCGCCCTTCTAACTTCTTTCCGTCAGCTCAATCGACATCTCTTGCACCGTCACCTACCAAAGACCTTCGCCATGGACTTCCAGGGATCCGCTCCTCCTCAGGCCCGCACCTGCTTCACCTGTGAGTTACCCTGAACTTTTTCCTGTCTTCGCACGCGAATCCCCCCGCCACACACGACAATTTCTACGCTCTGTCGCCTTTTTGCGTTTCTGTGCGGGTGGCTTATGGCATTCGGGACCGTCTGGTACTTGATCCCGACGTCTTGTTGCCATTGGCTCACCGAGTTCTCACCGCTTGAGACGCATCCTTTCTGAGCCTGGCCATTGGTGGCAGTTCATGCAGCGTCCCTTTTGGACTTCTGCTCGCTTCAGACGGGACTGCCTTATTGGATTGCGTACCTGGCTCATCTGTTGGCTTCGCTTTTGTTGGTCAAGTCAGTCTGAGAGCCGTGGGAAATACGACCTTTCTGGTGGCCCTGCTGGGTTCGTCGAACACGATCCAGCGGGTTGGGGAGAGGTCGTTTCAAGCGCGCAATCTTCCCCTGTTGCAACTTCACCCAAGTCTACATGGACAGTTTCGTCAAGAGCCCGCATGGAGACTACTGCGACGTCCTACTGACTTTGAGCTGGTGTGCCAGTGACACCTTCCCAAATCCCTACTCCACACACAACTTGAAGAAATGAAGCGAAGAGTCTGACCAGAGATATTTAGGCGGTGCTGCTGGACACCAGGTATGCAACAAGAGAGTCATGGCATCTAGCGTCCGACTTACTGACCAATTCAGGCCCGCGAGTGCCCCAACCGTGGCGCCGCCAAGTGGTATGTATCCCGATTTTGCTCTTGGAAGGCCGAATACTGACTTCTCGCCAGCTACAACTGCGGCAGTAAGTATCTGCATCCGACTTCAATCCCGCGAGATTACTGACAATCCTTGCTTCAGACGAGGGCCACATGAGTAAGTCCAGCGTCAAAGCCGCATCTTGTTGACCGTAGACTGACCGTTCGCAAGGCCGTGACTGCCCCGAGGGCCCTAAGGACACCAAGTCCTGCTACCGCTGCGGCCAGTCTGGCCACATCAGCCGCGACTGCCCCCAGGGTGGCAACGTCGGTGGTGGTGCCTCCAGCTCCGAGTGCTACAAGGTACGACGACTTCCGTCCACGGCCGAGCGCCAACGAAATACTAATTGGACATCAGTGCGGTGAGGTCGGCCACATTGCCCGCAACTGCCCCAAGTCCGGCGGCGGCTACGGTGGCGGCTTCGGTGGCTACAACTCCGGCGGCTACGGCGGCGCCAGCCAGAAGACCTGCTACTCTTGCGGCGGCTACGGCCACATGTCTCGTGAGTAATTTGCACCCAAACGTTGGAGCACCAACTTACACGTTCCCAGGCGACTGCACCAACGGTTCTAAGTGCTACAACTGCGGCGAGAATGGCCACTTCTCCCGCGACTGCCCCAAGGAGTCTTCCGGTGGCGAGAAGATCTGCTACAAGTGCCAGCAGCCCGGCCACGTCCAGTCCCAGTGCCCCAACTAAGCACCTGCTCACGACTGCGATTGCGATGGATAATTGGTGACGACTTCTCTTGCCCCTCGGCGGCAAATCGATGATTCAGACGGCCTCGGGGCAAACGGCACACTATTATGATCGACGTTGGCATTGCGGATGCTTTGTACACACATTGGAACCGGCTTTTTTCTCCTTTTTATCATTTTCTCTCCTTTTTTCTTCGCTCACGGCAAACACTGGGAAACTCGGCCCGCGGAAAAGTTTTACACGGAACAAACGGCATATGAAGTCACGGCTTTTTCTATTACGCACCATGATACACCTTTTCGCATTTGGTCGTCGACAAGCTTCGGCATCTTGCGGGGTTGGTCGGATCGCTTGGATGACTGCAACAAAAAGAAAGACAAAAGCTTGCGCTGTCTTTTTTCTCTCTCTCCACGGAGTTATGATATGAGAGAGAGGGAGAGCGAGAGAGCGGGCAGGACAGAGTGATAGGAGACAGACGGGGCTCTTTTGGGCGGAGGATGTCCACGCCCCTTCGGCCTCGATAGATGTTTTGGTCGTCTCTTTTTCGAGACGCCCGGATCGCTGCGACCCTTGGGCAGTATGGGTTGTCTCGGGCGGCTGCTTCTGCTGCTGCCGTTAGTCAGGACAGGGAATGGAAAGTTTACGTCGTACGCTAAGCGTTTGTGTATTGTGATGTTGTGCATGTTCCTGATTCGACGGCCCGTCCTGTCGGTGTCGTCCTGGTATTCTTTGGAACATTCACTCACGGCGATCTAGCATCTGACTGGCGTAGCCAAGTACTCAGCCGTTCGTTTGATCTCGACCCAAGAAGCAAACTCCTCAGTTCCCATCCATCTAACTCTGCCTGATCACCGGCCTACTCTCCAACAGCAACACCAGCAACGCCGTCCCATGGCGGGACTTCTCCCCGCTGTCTCCCCGCTGGAGGTCATTTAGACTTTGCGTTTACCCGGTGGACATATCCGGTTTATACCATCCCACGTACCACCCCCCCAAAGCGGCTGCTTGAAACGAATTAGAATTTTCGCTCTGCACCCGTTTTGGTGACGGCCCCCCCCCCTGGCCCCCCTCCCGCGCAGGAGCCCCTGACGTGGTATCTCTGAACTTTGACGGGTGAGATGCGCCGATGCCAAGAATTCTCGGGAGGGAGGGAGAGAAGTGGGATGTAAAAGAATAGGTGGTTTGGATGAGTGGGGTTTTTTTTTTTTGGCATCGTCATTTCCCTCTGGTCAACTGCTGTACTTTGAATAGCAGTGGTGTTTGAAGTCACAACAGTGAGTGATGGAGAACAGCATTGGCAACGACAACGACAGTCATACAGCTTCTAGGTAGGTAGGCATCGACCGGTGGCAGACTCCGCGGATAAAAAGAAGTCGTGCGATCGGACGTCCCGTCCGATCGGTTGCCGGGTTCAGGGGTCGCGGCGACGGGGCATACTCCGCGGAGCAAACGCGAGTCGGGGACGGACGCACGTCGTCGGTGCGAAGGCACATGTCCTGACTCTTGTGTGAAATACACACTATCCAAATCGGTTTCTCTAAAACGTACACATGTTTGTCTCCTCCGCGACTCTTTGTCTCTACGCTGTAAAAATGCGTCTGACTCCTGTACAATATCCGGCTGTATCCCCCGCTCGGTCCTGATTCCCCAGCCTCGGAATTTACAGCCTCGACCTGGGCATGAAGCGCATGGCCTGCCTGACGCCGAGGTCGCCGAGGACCTCCTCGGCGCCGCCGAGGATGGCGTCGAACTTGTAGGTGCGGTTGAACATCTCGACGACGCGGCCCATGCCGGTGCGGGTGAGGCCGCGGCCGCCCCAGATCTGGACGGACTCGTCGGCGATCTCGTGGGCGGCGCGGGTGGCGCTCATCTTGAGCAGGCCGATGGGCCCGCCGAGGTGCTTGGCCTGTTCCTTGTAGGGCATGTTGCACATCTGGTAGGTGATGGTCTCGAGCCAGGACTGGTTGGCCTCGGTGAGGGCGATCATCTTCGCGAGTCTGCGTGGGGGACATTTGTCAGTTGAGGTTTGCTTTGAAGGAAGCCTGGAGGGGGAGGGTGGGTTTACTTTTGGCGGATGACGGGCTGGTCGATGAGGCGCTTGCCGAAGACCAGGCGCTGGTGTGCCCATTTCAGGGACTCTTCGACGACGGTTCTGCATTGGCGGATCGTGGCGCCTGGGAGGTTCTCGTTAGCCTTTCTTGCTTGGTTCACACGCTCTAGGGATTCGGGATGACTTACACGCCATGACCCATCTCTCGTGGTTGAAGTTGCTCAGGATAACGTGGATGCCCTTATTCTCCTGGCCCAGAAGGTTCTCCACGGGGACCTTGACGTCGTCGAAGGTGATGTATGTCGTTCCCGCTGCCGGGGAGTAGGAGGTCTTGATAGGCTTGGTCGAGACGCCCTCGCCGCGCTCGATCAGGAGCACGCTGAGGCCCTTGTCCGTCTTGACGCCGGTGACGAAGTAGTCACACCAAACACCGTTGGTAATCCACTTCTTTTGGCCTTTGACGATCTGTTTCCAGCATTATTAGTATAGCTCATGAAATATGGACTATGGGAGCTGGTTGGAAAAGGGGGGAAGGTGATGGTAGGGCTGCGCAAACTCACATAGTGCTTGCCATCAGGGGTCTTCTCCGCGGTTGTCATCAACCCGGCGACATCACTGCCCGCGAACGCCTCGGTAATGGCCAGGCAAATTTTCTTCTTCCCGCTGAAGACCTCGTCGGACACCTTCTTCTTGAGCGCCTCCGAGTTGGCAAAGTTCAGGACGACGGGCAGGCCGATGGTCATGCCGGCCATGTTGCCGTCCTGGAACCCGCGGCAGTTGGGGCGGGAGAGCTCTTGGTTGACAATCATGTCGTGGAAGTAGTCGAACTTGTCGCCCTTGACGGCGCCGCCCAGGAGCTCGACGCCGTGCAGGTGCTTGCCGGGGCCCAGGCGCATGTGCAGCACGCCGGCCTTGGACATGCGGTCGATGAGTTCCTGGGAGATGTACTCGCCGCTCTCCTCGTGCTCGAGGGCCTCGGGGGTGACGTATTTGTCGGTAAACTCGCGCATGGCGCGCTGGAGGGCTCGGTGGGAGTCGTTGAAGTAGGGAGACTTGAACTGCGGGGTGAGCCAGAGGGGCTCGGCGTAGGGGACCTGGGACAGCTCGCCGGGTTGCTGGACGACGATCTGAGGCTTCTCGCCGGCGACGGTGCCGATCACGAGGGTCTTGTCGTACTTTGTGAGGACCTCCTGGCGGTGGAGGTTGTAGAACTGGCTGGTGGCATCTTGGCCTGCGACCTGGCGGAGGACGGCCTCGCCACCGGGGTGGGCATCGAGGAAGTCTGTGAGGTCGTAGACCTTTGAGTCGATGATGCACCAGAGGGACTCGTCGTTGTTGTTCTTGGCGACCTCGTCGCGAGAGTACGTCTTTGCGGCCATGTTGGCGGGGGTCCTTTGTTCTGAAACGGGTCTGGTTTGCGCTGAGCAAGCTGCAGAAGCTCCAATGGCTCTCTGGGTGATCTTTCAGAGGGAAGATCGAGGTCGTGTAAGGCGAGCTCGAGGTCGAGGACGAGGCGGAGATCAAATAGCGCGACGTGTTGCGAGAGTCAGGGGACAAAGTGACACCGCCGCTTTAACTGAATCGACGAAGCATGTGGTCTAGGGGGGAAACATCGGTTGACGTCGGTCGGGGGACGGCGGCCGCAGCCAGCCAGGTCTGGAAATTGTGCCGTGCCGTAGGCCTCGGCTTCTGTGGAGTGTGGAGGGAGCTCTAGCGGACGTGCTGATTTCGGAGGTGACATGATTGGTCGAGAGGAGGCTGGGGAATGAGATGGCGTCCGGGGAGGTTTGCTGGAGCGCCCGGGGGGTCGCCGAGGCATTGATGTGACATAAGCCCTGTTGATTACTCATTGGGCTTGTCTTCCTCTGTATTGGATTAGAAAACCGGATAAGATTGTTGGGTTGAAGATGGGGAAATGCGAGCTTTACTTTTGGACATACCCGAGTTCCATTAAAAGCCCAAGTTTGGGACGCTGGAAGACTGAACGGGGCCCCCTGCTGGTATTCCCCCACAGAGGGAAGATTTACCCCGCAGAGGGGCGCATCATCCCACCGTGAGCTCTACTTAATCTATTCCCGAGGCTGGAGATCCCTTTTCAGTTTAGCAGATCAGAGCTTCACGAGCTTCGAGGTCTTGGAACAAGGATGCCGGCATAATGATCAGACGGTATAAATCAGATAGGCAAGACTTTAATTGCAGTGTTGATGCCACAACCTGTGACTATGAAGGTGCCTGTTAACAGCCTCGGCCGTGTCGTTGTCGCTGATTTTGTTGGTGTCCAGATGCCGTCAAACATACAAGGCAATCCAAAGATGTAGACACCGGCAATCTTTGAAACCGGTCATTTGAGAAATCGAATTGCTTATCCCAAGAAATCTGTCCACGCTGGCTTATACGACTGGGCTGGGTCATGCGAAAACTTCAACATGAGCAGTCCGGTTCCCATATGAGTGATCGCCCACAATGACAGAAATAGCCATGTCGGCTTCGGTATCATGTGGCGATCAACTGGATAGATACTCCGTGCCATGAGGGCACACGTAAATATTGATGCCCAGCACACAAGCTTCCACATCCAGGCCTTGGAGGTCGGCTTCCCATGGAAATCAATAAGACCGTTTCCTAGAATGATTGCCATTGGGGTGCAGTTCTTGTGAAGGAGACTAATGTTGGAATGTATCAAGAAAGGCACGGATGCTCCGCAGATGGCATCCCAAAAGATCCGGTCCGTTGTGTTGCCTTTTCTGCGAGAAATGATGCCACATGCGACGGCTGACGCGTAGAGTCCAAGGAAGATTAGGAACTCAACGATGTCCACGATAACAGGCTCCTTGATGCCTATTCCCGTGATGACAGTGAGCACGAACCAGTTGATGAACATGTAAGAGACAAATAAAGCGAACTCTTGTTGGGTCGTAGGACGAGCATCTCCCGTCATGTCATGGCCGAATGCCGCAAAAGCTGACGGAGGTGGGCTTCTGATGGAACCAGATATTGCTTCGACGAGTCCGGTGACACTATTCCTGCCCTGGGTGGATCCGGTCAGCCATAGGAGACAGAGCGTAACCTCGTCGCAGAGGAAGCTCGCGAGATAAATAGTAGCCAAGAGCTGGATCCAGAAGATGCCCCTGCAGGCATAAAGCTTCGTCGCCTGCAACAGAGGACCCAGGACGAAGGCAATGACGCGAAGGAGAGTGTTGCGCTGCAAGGCACCCACGTCACTGTGAGCCGGGTCTGCGTCCGTGTCGTACTTGTACGGCGCGACGACAAGAGTCCATTCGGGGTTGCGGCGAATACCGATGCAGCGGAGAGCCTCGACGGTGTTGATGATGCAGAAGACGGGCGAGAACTTCAGCGCAGGACTCCAAGAGGAGGGGAAGCCGACAATACGACCCGAGGGCTGGAGTGCGGTGCTGAGGGCGACGGCAACAAGAGCCCAGAAGGCGGATGGCCACGAGAGCTGCGCGTCAGATGTGTCTGCCGGCGGGGGATGTTGGACGGGTTGATCACCGTCATCTTGTTCCCGCGATGTCGCAGAGGCGGCGAGTAGGAGGAGTACGAAAGCGAGGACGAGTGGAGATGATGGGTGGGTGCGCATCGTGACCCCGCGGATGAGGCTCTGGCACGTTCTGGCGTTGTTCGGGAAAGACCACAGGCGGACATCAGCCAGGGTCGGCGAATATCCATTATCGGCCAATGTGGAATGTCATGTCAGCAGACAGCTCGCTGGGCTGCTGTATCCGTACGCAGTAGTAGTACGCAGTACATGTTGGCGCAGGATGCAACCCCTGGTCGGGTCGGCAGGGTCCAATGGGGTTTATCGGGTCTTGGTGGTGATCGACATGGACGAGCGTCGCTCTATTGAAAATGGCCGGTGGGTGGTAATAATAATTATTGGCAGTAGGCGAGCAAAAGTGTGAGGGTATCGTCGGCTCCTCACCTGTCACACTCTGGGTGATGATGAGTGTCGTGGTCGAGTCATGTTTTGTTCGTGATGAGGTGTCTGGGGCAATATTTATGACGAAGGAGGTGTCACTGGTGAGGGGAAAGAATGAGGAAATAAAAAAATAAAAATAAAAAAGAAGTGAAGCAAAGGAAAGAACATGAAAGAGAAAGAGCGGAGAGGACGGGAATGGATATTTTAGTGGAGGGATGACGCTTCGGTGGGGAAACAGCAGTGAAGTGTCACCAGAGCCCCTCCACCGTTGCAGCGACCCGGCCCCTAGGTACTCCAAACACCACCCTACCTACCTAGGTACAGAGACTGAGGTGCTATTGTAGTGTGTGCGTTGTGCGGGTTCTCTTCTCGTCAGGTCCACTGCGACAGCACAACTTTGATTACCTCCGTCGGCCGCAACGGCCATTTCTTCGTCTGCTGCTACGGTCTTTGACTCGTGGTGTTGTCCGTCTTCCCGTCTCCGGTCTTCAGTCTTCACACAGCAACAACCGCAGAATTCAACACCTTCGCTCGTCCCGTCTCCCTCTCTCCCCTTCCAGCCGGACTTTTGTCCCTTATCTTGGGCATCAGCATCCTGTCCTTCGTTTGTCGACGCTAACCTGAGGCTCTTCCTCCTCCTGACGATATCCCGGATGATATCGAGGCTTAGCGCGCTCGCCAGTTCCCCCGCTCGATCGCTCCTAATAAGATAGTAAGTCCTGTTTTCTACCTTGGATGTTCATGCAGTCTGTCGCTGTTTTCTCCTTGCTCTTGCTCTCGCTCTCCTTCTTGCCCCTGCCCGTTGTCTTGTAACACAAACATCACTTCCCTACACCCTCATCCTGTCATTCGGTGCCCGGTATGCCCGAAAAGGCGATGCAGCACACGATGGCAACCTTCGCTTGTCGCCCGCCGCCAGCTTCATGGCACACACACACACACACACCGGAGCACGACAGCCCATCACCCCGGCCTATTGGCTGGTTGGTTGGTTGGAAACGCCGGCTCTATGCGACCACTCTTGCTGGCAGCCATCCATGGATCTTGACTATGATTGGGCAGTCGAGACAACAGCCAACCTGCACTGTCTCTTCTGCAATTCGACGTTTCCTTGGCCACAGAGAAAGGGATAGAGAGAAACAGACCGAGATATTGGTTGGTTGTTCGTTTATTAGTTCCTTGACTGGGCTATGAGACCGACATCCCGACTCTAACCAGTCCGGTCTGATCTCCCCTCCTATATCTTCTCGTTGTCCTCATGATCCCTTCCACTCGTTGTCGGTTAGGTAAGGTACTTTCAAATGGCAGTAGGTGGCGCACTCGTCTGGCTGCGGGCTCTACCTCACTTTGCAGATTGCACTTTCGCTGGCGGCATGACTTGCTTTGGGTGGCACTTCAGCAACCATAAGCTCACTTTCAACCCATTCTTCACTTTACCTTATCTGGACGCCTCATCCTTATCCCGGGCTGCTGCCGACGGCTGCACATGTACACCACAGCCAAAGCCAAAGCCAACGCAACCCGGACAGCTGGATTCTATATATCGACTGCAGGACCCATGATCCCCTCCGCTACTCAACCAACTATTAGCCGCTGGTAGCAAGACATTTCACCACGTTGCTCATCATCCCCACATTCGACTCTACCGCCTGACCTTCCTCAACCCCAACCCACCCCATACCATATAGCCCTTGCCTTGTCTCAGTCGTTCCTGGGTTTTGTCCATTACACTGTACCTTATCCAGGCCAACTCTTGCGACTTCACTCGTACCTCCCGCGGACTAGTGCCCCGGTGGCAGCGCTTGCCTTAGTTTGGCCTCCTTCCAGATCTACGTCCAGATCAGATCCCTCGGACTTGCTCATCCATCATACCTCATACCTCCGCTCGTCAACCGCTCTTCACAACTCTGCAACAATGGACGCTTACTCAGTCTCGTACACCAGCCCTTCCAACCGCAGTACTTCCCGTATATACCAGGACCTTGAATCCTGTCGACTTCAGAGCCTCTTTGGAATCGGCCGAGACAGACTCCTGCTCAGATCCCTCACCATGGACTCATTTGCGCGGGTAAGTCAGCTTCATGCCAACCACGTGCCTAACGTCGCTAGTGGGACGCTTCGGGCCGGGACTGCCGACTGTCTCCGTTGAGGTGATGGACGAACCCCCCGTCCAGTCCGACCCGACCCGACTTCCCCCCCTGTTCACACATGTCGAATACCGGCGTTCAGGACGTTGGCCGCTTGTCTGTTTTGTTCCCGTCAAAGGCAACCTGCTCATGACACATCACAGCGCAAGCAATCCGAGTCAGGCCCAAGACCACACATCGTCATCGTCGGCGCTGGCCTCGCCGGTTTGCGCTGTGCCGATATCCTAATCCAACATGGTCTGTTAGTGACCATCATTGAAGGCCGAACCCGCCTCGGCGGACGTGTAGTCCAGGACAAGCTGCCGAATGGATACACCGTCGACCTGGGCCCCAACTGGATCCACGGCACCGACGACAATCCCATCCTTGACCTCGCCAAGGAGACAGACACTGCCGTCGGCAGCTGGGACCAGAGGTCACATATGGTCGACGAGTCCGGAGTGCTCCTCGATCTGGACGATAGTGAAAACTATTCCAGCATCATGTGGGGCATCATCCAAGACGCCTTTCAGCACTCCAACAAGAACACTGCTAGCATTGATCCCAACGAAAGCCTCTGGGACTTTTTCCAGGAAAAAGTGGTTGAGAAGATACCCGATACGGAGGAAGACTACGAGAAGAAGCGCTCCATTGTTCTTCAAGTTGCTGAATCATGGGGCGCCTTCATCGGAACACCGGTCCAGACCCAAAGTCTCAAGTTTTTCTGGTTGGAAGAGTGTATAGACGGCGGTAAGTGTTGCCCCCTTGGCGCAGAAGCACTCGTAAGGGTGGATACCTAGTATCCTCAGAGCCAGGGTTGACTTGTTCGAAGAAAACCTCTTCTGCGCCGGCACCTACGAGAAGATTCTCGAGAGAGTGGCAGAGCCGGTAAGACACAACGCGGACATTATGTACGATGCTCGCGTTACCAAGATAGAGCTCAAGACGGCGGATCGCCCGAAACCTAGGGTTCAAACCGATACCGGCCACGTCCTGGAGTTTGACGAAGTTGTCATGACGGCCCCCCTGGGCTGGTTGAAAAAGAACCTCGGCGCATTCGACCCGCCCCTGCCGGAACGGGTCGAGCGCGGCATCAAGGCCATCGGCTACGGATGCCTCGAGAAGGTCTACATCACATTTCCTAATGCGTTCTGGCTCGTCCCCGAGGAGGAGGGCCGGGGTGTAAAGGGCTTCTGCCAGTGGCTGGCCCCGACATACTCGGCCAAGTCGAACCCGCAGCGGTGGAACCAGGAGATCGTCGAGCTGGCCTCGCTGGGGCCGGACTCGCACCCGACGCTGCTGTTCTACATCTTTGGCGACGAGTCCAAGTACATCACCGAGGAGGTGGCCAAGCTGAAGACGATACCCGAGAGGAACTACTTCCTGTACGATTTCTTCAGGCCGTACTACTCCCGGCTGCCGGGCTATGACGCGACGTCGCCCGACTGCAGGCCCACGGGCTGTCTGGCGACGGACTGGCTGCGCGACGACCTCGCCGGCAACGGCAGCTACAGTAACTTCCAGGTCGGGCTGGAGGAGGGCGATAAGGACGTCGAAGCGATGCGCGAAGGCGTGCCGGAGGGCGGACTGTGGCTGGCCGGTGAGCACACGGCGCCGTTTGTCGCGCTGGGTACGGCTACTGGCGCGTACTGGAGCGGTGAGAGCGTCGGCAGGAGGGTAGCCGAGGCGTATGGGAGGGCCAGCAGCCAGGAGGGTTGAAGATAGGCTCTTCGGACCCTGATAAGACGACCAGCCTCTTCATATGTCGTTGTTGTTAGCAGGCAGTTTTGAGACTTGGAATTCTTTGGAATGGAGGGGTTGGTGGGCATGGCGTGCCGAAAGTGCGTTAGACCGGTCATGGCACTTGTCGGTCGGGCATTTTTCCTCTTCAACATTTTAGATCAAGCCTCGGATTGACTACGCAAGATAGTCATCCCGTTTCTTCTACGTCTTTACTTCTTTGGGGGAGAACGGAGCCCGCTGGTCTTCTTGGGCAGCGGGTGTTGAAATATATACTTTACCGCAATGATGGCTGGCATGTGCGAGTATGTAAGCATGGATAACTGAAACGGAGTCTTTGGCGACAAAGCGTTGGGATTCCATGCAAGATACGAGGTACATTCAACCCACTTGAAGGAGGCTTTGTTAAGGTTCTCAATCTAAGCGCTCGGTTGGACAAAGAAGTCTTTTGATGTCCATTTGTATGGGTTGTCTCTGCGTGCTTGATCCTGGATGCCCCATTGGTGACTCTCTATGGTAAGCAGACAAAGAATCGGTATCTAGAGACATGGGGCGTAGACAAAAGCAATTACCAAGGCTAAAAAAAAAAGATGTTTCAATGCCTTGCCTACGGAAGAGATGCCCAGGGGCAGCATCGGTTGCCAGGTGTACAGCTGCAACAGAGCCAGATGAGATGCGATGCATTTGTCCATCCACGCAGGAATGACGACTTCAACCAGCTGGCAGCAGACGGGGAGGCATTGACTAAGGCAGGTGGGAATGGAGTCAAAAGGTACGTACCTGACAGTTGGAGGCCAAACTGCCCTGTGGCGGATTCTGCATTGCTCAGGTGGAACGGTGCACGGCTCACAGTCACAAGCCTCAGTTGATGCCCCCAATTCCAGCCAACAGCAAAGTGCCAACCTCCAAAAGCACCTATCGGCTCCAAGAAGCAGCATCACTCCAGACCCCCAAATTCCTTATCGATAAGGACTAGGACAGGCACACCCCAGACAGCAAGTCAACTGATGAAGACCCCTGCGCTGCGCACCTTGCCGGGTGAAGGTGACGTGAACTCAGCTAGAGAGTCACGCGCTGTTAGAGCCCAAGGTGTGGGGGGAAGCACAATCTCCAGGCCTCCATGACCGCCTTTACCCCCCTCTATCTTGCCGGTCCAGTGCAGTGCCGTCCTAACGTGTGCCTCATCATCAATAACAAGTCCGGGCCGTTCTATTTGCCTTAGGTTGTTCTTACCTATCTGAACTGTCCCAACTCTTCCTTTTTTGCCTTTCTTGCCTGTTTACCCTCAAGGCTGTTGCAGACTGAGTCCACACAAGTTGCACCAGCATAGTTTGTTGTTGCTATCAAGTCATCACATCTCGTCTCTCTACATATCCAGTCCTCCCGGGTTATCCACCCCTTTGCCCCCCTTCGCCTTGAACGGTCCTCGATCCATCTACCTCCTCTTGAGCCACCCATAGCGAAAACCTGCCCTTGAATGACGAACACACCATGAACTACGTCCCCGCCTTGGGCTGGGTGTCTTCAGATAACACGGCGACTGTAGCCTGCACCATTCAAGCTCGGTGAACCATCCCCACGATCCTAGTTGTAGCCAGCCCTTCAACAGCCACACAACTCTCTCCCCAGAAGCCTAACTCTCCTGCCGTTCGAAACCCAAGAGGTTGTAGTCCCAAGGCAGCAACTACCGGGACACCTCGAAACTTCCTTCTCCGCCCTCTCCACGATAGCCGATCTCGAATCGAAACCTACCTCCAACCAAGAGCTGCGAGGCCGGGGTTGGGCGACGACCACAACAACCCAAGATGGCGACGATATTCCAGAGCTTCCGGAGCTCGACTCTGTCGAAGCGCCTCCTCATCTACGCCCTGCGGCGGCTGGAGCTGCTGGACGAGGAGACCCTGGACATGGAGAACCTGCAGTTCGCACTGGGAAGAACCACCACGGCTGAGTTCAAGGACGTCGGGGTGCGCCTCAAGGTAGGATCCAACCACCCGGCCCAGACGCAGAGAAGACGGCGACGACGACGACCACGACGACATGTGACTGACGTGGTGTGCCTGTTACCAGAAACTCGAGCGCCTCCTCCAACTCCCGGCATCGTTCCAGATCCAGAAGGCCAAAGTCCTGAAACTGAGCGTCACGATCCCCGTCGACTTCTACACGAGCCCCATCGTAATCGAAATCGACGGCGTCGACGTCCGCTTGAAGGTGTCCGCGGGCGGCGACGATAACAAGACCAAGACGACGACGACAACCACGACCACGACGTCATCGACCGACGACTCCGAGCTGCCGAATACCGTAAACCTTGCCCAGTCGTTCCTGAACGAAGATGCCGCCCTGAAGGATGCCTCGGTAGCCGCTGAAAAGAGGAGGTTAGAGGATGCCCTGGCAGCCGAGGCGCAAGACCTCGGCGGTTCGATGGCCATGAGCGACAGCGGAATCAGCGAAGACGGAAGCCAGTTTGGGACAGGCCAGCCGCTGTCGCTACCGGGCTTTCTGGCCGGTTTTCTCCAAGGCATCGTCGATCGCATCCAGGTGCGCATCCGAGGCGTCACTTTTCAGCTGGACGTCGAGGTTCCCATCGAGCCGAACGCGACGGCCCCCGAGTTGGTCACCTTCCAGCTCGCCCTGGATCGCATAGACGTGGAGGGCGTCACCGCCGAGGCGCAGAACGACGAGGGTGCCCCGACGATTGTGCCCAAGGACGGAAAGCGCCACATCGCCCTGTCCAAGATTCGAGCGTATCTCATTTCGGAAGCGAACGTCTTTTCGCAGTTTGCGCGCTCGCCGTCGGTTTCCTCGCCTGCCGTTTCCCAGTCTCCGTCGTTTAGCGAGCGAAGCGCGCCCTCGAGACAGAGTACTTTCAAGCCCAGTATGCACGAAAGCTTTCTTTCGGACTCGGCCGATCTTTCCGAGGTAGATGATGCCCTGCTGCAAGACAGCGAGGAGGCATTCAACATTCCGTACGACTTCTCGAGCCAGCCGGAAGAGCCGGTGGAGGAGGAGGAGACGAATACGCCGCGCGCCTCTGTTTATCAAGACTTCTCTCCCCGAGGCCATGTGCCAATCTCTCACTCCACCGTCCTCGGCGATGACGACCATGCTGCCCCGTGGGCCAGTTTTCAACGGGAGGCAAGATCGGAACCATCGCTTCAGCCCACTGAAGGAATCCCCCGCATGACATCCTCCGACTCTGTAAACTTGGAGTCGTCGCAGCACTCCAGCTCCGCCAGTCACAGCTCTTTACCCGCCGAAGACGAAGATCTAGCCCAGTCACATCTCTTCACTCACGAGGAGGCTGAGAGCATGTATATGAGTGCCTTCTCCCAAACCGACGCGCAACAAGCTGGATCACGGATGCCTGGAGGTTGGGACGACCCGAGCCCTGAGTCTTCTCCGGCCTTCAAAAAGGCGAGCCCGGTTCTACGACAGCCGCCATCCCCAGTCAAATATGCCGACGCGAATGAGCCACCGAGCCCCGAATTCTCGGATGCGCCTTCAGCACCTCAACCGACGACTTCTACGGCAGCTGAGGTTTCTGACCAGGACGTGGCAAATAAGAGCAGAACTCAGGATTCATCGATAAAGACGCCCAAGGAGCAAAGCGAGTCGGATGCTCCTGCTCCTCCAGACGATGTCGCGACTCCGAGAGGCCCGACGAGACTTGTGAAGGAGATTGTATCCCTCAACAACATTTCATTATACGTTCCCTCGTTACACCAGCATGTACACGTTCCTGCCGACGCACAAGCATCTGTCCTGAGCCAAGCACCGGGTTCTCCAGGCTTGGCGAGATCTGTGGCACCTCAAGTTCCTGGAGCGTTCTCCGTATACTCGACATCACCAGGAATGAGATCAAGCATGGCGCCCCGGTCCCCTGGTCCCGTCTTGACAGAGCCCCAGAGTGATGGAGGCGTGGAGGTGAATATGTCGCCCCTGGAAGTCCGCTTCGACGCGTCTTTGGCGTATCTGCTTGCGGTAGTGGTTGGCAAATTGATGGAGGCTTTGAAGAGCAGCAGTCCGGCTGCGACCCCGAAGACGACTGCCACAGCGAAGCCTCAGCAGGAATCTTCAATGCCTGACATCAAAGTGATGTTCGAAAAGATTTCGCTCCACTTCCTCCATCAGCTTCCCGGGGTTGCTGACACCGCAGAGAGAATCTTTGGTGCTCCTGGACTGCCGATGCAGCCCGAAATTCTGCTGCGTACGGAGCTTGACAATCTCGGCGTATCCCTCAAGGCAGTCAAGCAGTCACTCGAAACGACCGTCGATCTCGAAAAGTTCCGCTTCGGCTATGCAAGAGATGATATTGTCTCCTTCGACCAAAGCCTGCAAATGCGGGCGTCTGTCATGGACAAGTTCCCCTCGGCAGGCTCGGATATCTCAGTCAAAGTGATAACGTCTCCCGACTCGACTCGAACGGAGATCACAACATTACCACTACTGGTACAACTCGACCTGCAGAGACTCGACGAGACCTTCAGCTGGTTTGGCGGGTTGAGCAGTTTTCTTAACATGAGCTCCTCAATGTCGTCGAGCGCCTCTCCTCCCGTGAAAACGCCGGTTCAGCCCCCTCCGAAGCCTCGTGGCGTTCGATTTGATGCTCCCATTAACCCAGACGATAAATCGGCAGCGTCAGAGAACAAGATTGATATGAGAATCGGGGGATTTAATCTGGAGCTCAAAGGCAGGGAGTGCAGCGTAGGTCTTGAAACGAGTGCAGTCAAGATGGTGAGCCGGGAGCTGGGTATTGGATTCGCCATCAGCAAGGTTCGACTTGCCGGTCCATACATCAGAAACTCTCGCTCAGAACCGCCCATTTCAGCCGAGGTGGGCGGTGTACGATTCGAGTATCTCGCGACGCCAAAAGACAAAGATCTCGAGAGACTTCTGGAGCTCATTATCCCATCCAAGGTTAAATTCGACCAAGGAGACGACGAGATCATGGTGGACACCCTCCTCAGACAGAGACGGAAGGGAGCCGTTCTCAGAGTTACTTTCGATCAGTTCAACGTCCGAGTTGAGCGCATGCATCAACTCAACTGCCTCCCTGCGTTGGGCGAAGAGGTCGCGCGGCTAGCGACCGTTGCCAAGTACCTCCCAGAGGACGATCGACCTGGGGTGCTCCTCCTCGCGGAGATCAAGGAGTTGGGCGCCGTTGTCGATATTGGCGGCAAAATCGGTGTGATCAATGCCAACCTCAAAGGCTTCGAGGTTGCTCAAATTACGGTCCCCTCGCTGGTTGCGTTCGGCGTGCATGGCGTCTCGGTGAACCGCAACCACCGAGAGGATCTCGTGAGTTCATCGACGACACTACCTCCCGGAACACTCACTCAGGGTCCGGTTCTCATGGTTCGCATGATTGGTGATGAGATGGAGCCAGTGATCAAGGTCAAAATGCGCGATATACTCGTCGACTACAGAGTTCCGACTATCATGGATGTTCTCGGACTCGGGGAAGATGCCACTCCCCAAGACTTTGAGGCCAGTCTTGCCGCCTCAGTTGCCAACCTGGGAGAACAAACTCACGCAGCCCTGGTTGGAAAGAAGTCCCCACCGTCTCGATCGCCAGACCCTGTTCGACCTGGTAGTAAGCCTATGATGGTTGACGTGGTTTTCCGCGATTGCTTGATTGGACTCAACCCCCTGGGACTGCCCTCAAAACTCCTCCTCGCGTTGACAGATGCCCGCCTTCAAGTGGTTCTCCCCAAGGATGTGGACACGACGGCCAAGCTTGAACTCAACAAGGCTTCAATTCTCCTCATTGATGATTTGGCTAACATAGGCTCGAACGCCTCTACCGTGAACCGTCGCCAATCAGCAGACGTGTCTTCTCAGCAAGTTTCCCGACTTGCAGCTCAAGGCTACGTCAGCATTTGCTACATCTCTTCCGCAAAGGTCAATGTGCAGGTCACCGAAAGTCGAGAAGATGGTGAGAAGCACATCGATGTCGAATTGCGTGACGATCTCTTGGTCCTGGAGACTTGTGCCGATTCCACGCAGACTCTCATTACTCTCGCGAACGCGTTGAAGCCGCCGACCCCGCCCAGCAAAGAGAGCAGGTACAGAACCAAGATCGTCCCTGTGCAAGACCTCTTGGCGTCGATCTCCGCAGACGCGTTCGGCAAGGCGGAAGGCGACTATGACTTTGATAAGGACTTTGAGCTCGCCCAAGAGCTTGGTGGTGACGACGACTATGAGATGCCGAGCGATGACAGCGAACTGCCAATTGACCCCCAATACTACGACGATGCCGGCCCTTCACATACCCTTTTCGACGCAGAGGAATCGGTCACGTCGGATGCTACAACGACGCATGGCACAAGGCGGCACGGATCCGCGCTTACAGATTTCGACGCCGTCGACTCGATCCACGTGTCAGACGACGGAAGCGATTTGGTCATCCACGACAACTTCTTCGATAAGGGGAAGGATATTGACGGTAGAGCCCAGATCTGGAACTCGTCCAAGAATGCCTACGAACCGGCTCCGAAGAGCCTCGTCAAGAAGGCCCCCCTCAGAGTGTCGGTCCGTGATGTGCACGTTATCTGGAACCTGTTCGACGGATACGACTGGGAGCGCACGCGCAATGTTATCAGCAAGGCCGTGCAGGACGTCGAGGACAAGGCTTACGAGCGCCGCCGCCGCGCGGAACGCATCACGTTCGAGGATGACGCCGAAGAAGACGAGACGGTCATTGGCGACTTCCTCTTCAACTCGATTTACATTGGTATCTCGAGCAAACAAGATCCTCGAGAGCTCGCGCAGATGGTCAACCAGGAGTTGAACGACAACGCTACCGAGACCGAGTCGCTTGCTACTACGGCCTTCACGACGGCGACGGGTCGTGCTGGCGGCGCCCACAGACCCAAGAAGAGACTGAGATTGAACCGGAGTAAGCATCACAAGATCACGTTCGAGCTTCAGGGTGTCAACGTCGACCTGATCGCGTTCCCTCCGGACTCTGGCGAGACTCAGAGCTCCATTGATATCCGGGTGCATACTCTGGACGTCTTCGACCATGTCCCGACGTCGACGTGGAAGAAGTTCCTCACATATGACCAAGACGCTGGCGAGAGGGAGATGAGCGCCAGCATGGCTCACCTGGAACTGCTCACGGTGAAGCCTCAGGCGGATCTCGCGGCATCCGATATGGTTTTGAGGGTCACGCTTTTACCTCTCAGACTTCACGTCGATCAGGATGCTCTAGACTTCATCACTAGATTCTTCGAGTTCAAGGACGACAGTGCTCCCGTGCACAGCTCGCCCAACGACATTCCCTTCCTCCAGAGAGTCGAGGTCAACGACATACCTGTCAAACTGGACTTCAAGCCCAAGCGTGTGGACTATGCCGGACTGAAGTCAGGCCGCACGACCGAGTTCATGAACTTCATCATCCTCGACGAGGCTCGTTTGACTCTGCGCCACACCATCATATACGGCGTTACTGGCTTTGACAGGATGGGCAAGATGCTCAACGACATCTGGATGCCCGATGTACAGAACACCCAACTCGCTGGTGTCCTCGCCGGTCTCGCGCCAGTACGGGGCATTGTTAATATCGGCAGCGGGTTCAAGGAGCTCATCGAGGTCCCCATCAAGGAGTACAAGAAGGACGGCCGCATCGTCCGCAGCATCGGCAAAGGCGCGACTGCATTCGCCCGGACCACCGGCACCGAGATGGTCAAGTTCGGAGCCAAGCTGGCGATCGGCACCCAGTACGCGCTGCAGGGCGCCGAGGGCCTGCTCAACAAGCCGCCGACGGACAACACGTGGGAGGACGCCGATCTCGACCCGGAGGAGAAGAAGCAGATCTCCCTGTACGCGGACCAGCCCGCCGGCGTGATCCAGGGTCTGCGAGGCGGGTACTCGAGTCTCGCGAGGGACCTGAACATGGCCCGCGACGCCATCATCGCGGTACCGGCCGAGGTCATGGACAGCCAGAACGCGCAGGGCCTCGCCAAGGCAGTTTGGAAGCGGGCGCCCACCATCATCTTCCGGCCGGCCATCGGGGCCTCCAAGGCCATCGGCCAGACCCTGATGGGAGCGACGAACAGTCTGGATCCGCAGAACAGGCGGAGAGCGGAGGAGGTGAGTGATTCCATCCATGAGTTTCCGGACGATTGCAACGAAACATAAACTGACTTGAGTACAGAAATACAAGCGGCACTAGACTTTTCGGTGCTTATAAATGCACACGCATGATTACAAGATACCACAAACGAGCCCTTTCACTTTGTTTCCTTTTTCCCCAAACGGCCCCGAGGGGTCTCACTGACCCCGATACGACGACTGCATGAGAGCTTGCATCATAGACTGGCGAAGGATGGCTTATTTTCTCTCGATTTTCTTTTTTTAAAGGACAATGGACAACAACACCAGAGAATGTCGACGCGGGCGGAAAAGAAAGCATAATCCAAATTATTAAAACGTGATTCTTTTTCGAATGGATATGTTCAACGACACCCAGAGTCTGTCTACCTTGGTCCTAGGGAGAGTAGGGGACGGGAGTGGGAAGAGGGTTCTTCTTATTTTTACGGATATTCTTCCTTTCCTTTGAGACAGTGCACCGAGACGGAGTCGTGAGGGTTGTTTTCTGCCCGAGACGGCGGCATTCGGCGTTTTTTTGTTTGCGGTTATTAGGTAGTGCAGAAATCAGAATCGATTCGGATACCTTTGCATCGATCGAGCTCTGTTCACGATGAGTGTTGCACAGCCGTCCGGAAGCTAGTCAGGGAAAATGCTCAGAATATTGGAGTACGTATGCGTCCGCGCATGGGATGGCGAGTGTGAAGTCTGACGTTGCGGTTGATGATCTAGATGGGATGTCCGGCAATCTGAACTCCAACGGCTGTCGCGAGTGTACGTCTTGGGTTAGGTTGATGCAGCTTTGATGAGTTCTGCTCTTGTTTATGTCACTTTGCTTTAGTAAGCTTCAGATAGGTTTACGAGCGATTATCACTGTGCCATTTTTGTGAGAATAAACCCAGGTGAATTATGAGAGCTGGTGTAGAGCACTCGGCGATGGTCTACGGCTTTCGGCCATGGCATCGTTTGACGTATGCCTATGCACTGACAACAGATTCGCCCAGCTGTTATCTACATGCGTCGTTTAATAAACCACCTGATGGCTCCTTCAGGGTCAGCAACAGTCAAATATCATGGCAACAGTCTACACAGACAGCGAAGAAGATAGAGCCAGAGGAGAGAGAAAAGGATGGCTGCACTGAGTCTCACGACGGACCGTTGGCCTCGTCCGCGAGCGCTGCTTATCAAGCAAACCCCGTATTGAGCGCCTTGTAGAAGAGAAGTGGATAGTGATGATGCTTTGATTTAGGTGCGCGCCGGAATGTCGGAAACCGAGCCCAGGTTGCTCTTAGGTAGACTACCCCACTCTTGGCTCCGGGTCCAGTCAGCTCGCGCGCGCGCGGCGCGTTTTCGTCGTCGTCGTCGTTTTCCATGGGTATGCCGGGGTGATCACGTCAATGACAGGCTGCAGGTTGTGTGCAGCGGTTCCTGGGGCTTGCGATTGGTTTGTGCCGAGCCCGTGGCCCCCGTCGTCCGATCTAAGGCGAGGAACAGCAAGCTATGCATTGCAGGGGTGGGGGAATTGGGGAGGGGAAGCATTGGATCTCGAAGAAGTGAGGAAGAGAGGCATTTCTGTTCCCGGCGCGAAAGATACGGATACAGGCAGTACTCGGGGCCGGCCAGCTGAGAAATGTCATTCGCCTCGTTGCCGGGGTTTAGTGCTCACGACTCAGGACACTTCAGCTCGGAAAGGGAAGGAGTTCTTGAGTTTATCTATTATGGGATATAAACTTTGATATAGTCTTGTTAATCTCGCCTATCACGTCCATCATGTCCATCACGTCTATGACTTTCATTGTCCGGGCAGCTGTTGTCAAAAGTTCCGCCGGTCTTAACCCGCGGGGACTCGTGTTGAGAAGACTCAAGACCGACTCGCGCGCGTGGAGGAAACACAGTTGTTAAGAGAACCCCTCCCATTGACAAATCGCAAATCGGCAATCTCTCTCGGAGAACGTTGTCAAAAGTCTCTTATCCATGCCCAGAGAAACATTTCCCATTTCCCATTTCCCAACCACCCGTGTCAGCCCCGCCGGCCCCATCTCTCTCAGTCTCTCTCTCTCTCTCACTTTCTTTCGCGGTTTTTTTCTCCGTCCGGTGTTGTTTCGCGGGCCTGACAGCTCCCCAGCTCCAGCCAGTCCGATTTGCCAAATAACGATGGCGTCATCGGCGTCCCGGCCGATCGGAATCCGTCGCTGGTTATCAGTCTTTCTTCCCAAATCACAACGACCCGCGCGGACCCTTTCGGTTTAGAGCGACAAGGCGAGGGGGGACGAAATTCCCCGTTCCCCTTGCCCGCCTTAGTACGGGGAGCAAGAGTGAAAGTACTTTTTGCCCATCGAGCGGATGCGGTTTAGTCCGGGTGCTACTGCGACTCGTGTGTCGCATTCCTGTGATTCTCGTGGCTTTTCGTGAAATGTGGTGTCCTCCCCTCCCTCCCTCCCCCCCGGTGCATCTCACATTCCCGCGTTTCTCACTCTTGACTTTCTTCTTGCATCTCACTTTCAGAGTTCGCGACTGAGCTTATATCGAGACTTTGCGGTGTTCACTTGGTGCTGTTTGCGCGATTCCGATCTTGCTCCCTCTCTCATCGTACCCCGCCTCCACCATCGGAACCTGCCCCGCCGTTGCGCGCAAGTCGCAATCGCAGTCGCAAAACGAAGCTCAAGTCGAAGTTGAAGCCGTGTGAAAGTCGAGATCGCATCCCCGGAGCCGTCAACCTCATAACCGCCAACATGTCGGACGGTACGCGCGCCGTTGACTCGGACAGGGGTTAGTTCTCATCTCACATTCTCACTCTCACCTTCGCGATCCCCCCCCAAATCTCATCGCGAACACACCGAGCTAACCCGTGCGCCCGCCCTCAGTCTGGACAACCCTCATCACGAACCTCGACTACCTCCCGGGCCTCCTGACCCTCGCCCACTCCCTCGTCAAGTCCGGCTCCGCCTACCCCCTCGTCGCCCTCTACACCGACACCTTCCCCGCCGAGGGCCTCGCCGCCCTCGAGCGCCGCGGCATCCCCGCCCAGCGCATCGAGTACCTCCTCCCCACAAAGGGCCGCGACTACTCCAACGACCCCCGCTTCTACGACTGCTGGAGCAAGCTCACCCCCTTCTCCCTCGACCAGTACGCCCGCGTCGTCCAGCTCGACAGCGACATGCTCGTCCTCCGCAACATGGACGACCTGATGGAGATGGACCTCGACGACGGCGACTTCGCCGCCGAGAACACCCCCGCCGGCGTCATCGGGAGCTCCAAGCGCGTCGACGCCGAGAGCGGCTACGGCTCCGGCGAGGACGGCAACGGCGAGCCGGTCCCCAGGACGACGACGACGACCAACCCCAGCGTGCGCGTCTTCGCCGCCGGCCACGCCTGCGTCTGCAACCCGCTCAGGAAGCCGCACTACCCCAAGGACTGGACGCCCGAGAACTGCGCCTTCACGACGCAGCACGACACGCCCGACGAGGCGCAGAGCGTCGGCCCGGACCCGGTGACGGCGAGTCCCTTGGGCTTCATGAACGGCGGCCTGCAGGTGGTCAACCCGTCCAAGAAGCTCTTCCAGCAGATCGTGCGGCACATGGAGGACGGGGCGATGGACATGGACTTCGCGGACCAGAGCCTGCTGTCAGAGCTGTACCGGGGCCGGTGGGTGCCGCTGCCGTACGTGTACAACGCGCTCAAGACGCTGCGGTGGGAGGGGGTGCACGACAAGATCTGGAGGGACGAGGAGGTGAGGAATATCCACTACATCCTGGCGCCGAAGCCGTGGGATGAGGTGGACGCGGAGGGGAACTGGACGGGGACCGAGGAGAGTCATCGGTGGTGGGTTGATTATAATAACGAGAGGAGGAGGGGGGAGAAGGAGATCGGGGTTGATGATGGCTTTTAGGTTATCGGTGCTTGAGAGGTGTATTCTATGCTATTTTGATGAAGGAAAAGAGGAGGTTTAATAAGAGGAGAGGGAACATGAGAGTTAGACGCATATCTCTGTTGAACGGTCTTGATGGATCGGAGATAATACCCAGGTATTAATCGTTCTGAATTGAAGATGCCTGATTTGTGGCGAATCGTGTTGAATGAGTGAGTTCTCATCTACGTCGAAGCGTCGATTCTGTTCGTTCATGATTGCCGCCTCAATACATAATCTTTCGCCCAAACACCAGGAGACGACGTGACAACGAGTGTCATGTTGAGAGTGTATGATCTTGAAGTATGAGCTGAGAAAACAATCTTGGTCTGTCATCCGGTTCAATCTCTGTCATGACCATGACCCTATCTGACTCAAGACGATCGAGGACTGACGGTGCCAGAGGCCGTCCAATCTCATTTCCACTCCCTTCACTTCCATTCTTGACTTATTCGACAACAATATGAGGCGCGGCGATTAGATCGCATCTTTCTGGGCGAGGAACCTTACGATCACCAATGATATATTTTCATCGGTCGTTTAAAGTGATATTGGGGAATCTTGCGTGGCACGCAGCTTGTCTGATTCTCGTTAGAGGGAAAGTCGCTACTATGAGAAATTATGAGAGAAGAAAATTCACATCGTGGAGGAAAGCGCCCAGCTTGCGGGTTTGCTTGAGTGACACCTTTCTCTGCTTCTTGATTCAGGCAGGAACTACAACGCTTGACCATAGAACCACACACCAACTGTGACAAAGCCAGTCTCAATATCGGGGGAGGCATAAGATGCAGTTAGAGAACTGTGCGTTAAAAGTAAGGAGTGAAAACCTAGTATAGAAACCAGTGATTATCTAAAACAGAAGAATTTGGAACCTGCCTTGGAATTGGAACTGCATTCTTAAAGCCTTTGAGTCCTGATACTTACTTGACTCAATTTCACAACATGGTTAGCTAGCTACTTAGAGGCTACCTGCTAATAAGGAGTATAATTTAAGAACTAAGCTCGATATAAATTACTTCCTTTTTAATAGCCTTTAGATTTTGTTTGTATGTGATTCATTGTTTGCTGTGAATACCTGAGCTTAGGGAATGGCATCGCTTAGGATGATTCTTTGTTCTCTATATCTACAACTTCTAGCGATGTTATCCAAATGGATAATACACGCGCTCTGTCCTCTGGGCGTCTTCCGCTGCCGTCCACTAGTTCTTCTAGGAGAGTATCAGTCGAATCATCCAGGGGTTGATGTAGCAAAGACGCTCTTGGGAGTCGTCAACAACAACCCTGATGCATTTACCCAACACGAGGCGCAGGAATAAACTCAAAGACGGTTTCATTAAAGCTGTTGATGACAAATGTCTCATTGTTTCGCGCAATACGAAGGTCTTGTTCAATGCTTATATTTATAAGTACGAAAAGAGGCTTTAAAGGCTATTTACAAAGGCCTGATGAGGTCATATTGAAGACTATCACGAGGATACGGAAAAACTCCAGAACCCAGCTTTCGAGAGAATTCCGAACGAAAATCCTAGAAACGTCCTGTATACTCTTTCAGACACCTTGGAGCAGTTTTGAGGCCCGGAGTCCACCTGTCCAAGGCTGTTCAAGTGCCATTACGATCGAGCGACCCGTCAGGTATAGAGCGGATTCAGGTAGAGAAGTGAAGGCCACCACCAGAATCAGAGTCTGGAAGATTCACGCTTTTCCCATAATCAGTCTGCGTCTTGCAGTCAGACAGCACACAGAAGCTTCCTCTGAATCTGACGAGGAGGTGTCAGCTAAGCCAACCGACCTTCCACGCCTGACTTCTGCTTCCGTCCTTAGTCTCTGGTCGATGAGTATCACCCAAGTATTCTGTAACGTGTCGAATAAGAGGTCCGAAATGCTGCTGCTGTTACTACTGCTTCAGCCGAGCGAGTTGACATTCTGATCAGCATGCGCGACTCCCAGTAGAAATGGCACGAATCACGGTGGAGAAAGATGATTGAACTGTATGAGAAGCAGTTTGCGTTGAAAGGGCAGTTACAGGAGCTAATGTTATTTAATGTGATCAATACCTCCCAAGCAGCAGCGGAAAGCCGCGCAGCTAAATCAGAGGAAACTCTTGCATCTGCGTCTGATTACGAAGTCTACATCACCTCTTTCAGTAAGGATAGGGCAAGCGTCTCTGCGGTATAAGGCCTGCTGCTTTGGGAAATCGGACAGATGAGGTAGATAACAGTTCATTTCCCATGCGAGCTTGACAATAATGAATGTATATAAACCCCAATGAAGAACCTCAAACAAGATGAAGGCGCGGGCTTAAATGGCCTTGAAGACTCGTGTCATATATCCCACACTTAAGTGAACAGTACATGTGATGAGTACTATGTGGATGTGATCTTCCTTCACATCGTCTCCCGCTCCAATATTCTCTTCTACCCTTGTCTCTCGTTTCTAGGTTGTAAGTATTACACTTGAGTATTTGGAATTCCACATATAACTTATCTTCCAGGCGCATTAATAACCCAACCTTAGGTATGCTTCATAACCTGATCGGCATACCAAGAAACAAGAACAGACTGGACATGACTGCCAGAAGAAGAGAAAGTCAGTGCGTACTGCTAGAAAGACTTAGGTACAATCACCACAACCACATCTTATAACCCCTGCGCCAGGAAACAAAGCAAGTGCTATTTAACACCTCACTATGCGGAAGCATTGAGAGATATTAAACCAGACAAACTCTCGGAAATCGCACCAGATGAGGCGGTTCATGGGTGAAAAAGTTCCAGCCATGCATCGGATCGGAGTAAGAGCAGATCCGCTGTCTACATAATCCGCAAGAATTATGCTTCAGTAATACGGCGGCGGCTAACCTATAGGGAGATTAGAGAAGGTGTTGAGAGAAATTTTAACACTCTAGGACAGCTTCTTGATTGCAGTAGCTGGAATCCTTCCAGACACGATGATAACCACTGAACCGGTGTCACATATCTGCAACCCTCCGCCGATCTTCAGCCCTCGTCGTCCCGTATCCCAGTCATCCCATGTGTATTCCAACAAGTACCGCCCACCGGGGTCACTTGAGAACAGATATAGACGACTGAGTAAAAGACGGCTCCCGGTGAAACTACCCGCCGCACGAAGCGCCCGGCTTTTGGCTCTTTTCTAATCAGGTCAGATGAAGAGTGAGTGATCTGATCTTGCCGCAAAACAGAAAAAAGCCCTCGCCTACCTTGATTCTTATACCCCCAGAGTCCAGCCACCAGTTTTCGAACAGCTTCCCAAGTGCTTCACGCCGACTTCTGAAAAGCAGGAATAGATAGGCTTTCCTGACTCGAGAGAGAATCCCGGCTGCTGTTATATTTAAACACGTCCTCTTCGCCACAATGTTGCGCTTGAAACAACTCGAATGGCGGGCATCCCGCGTCAGGCCCGGAATTCTTCACCAATACATAAGCATACTTAGGCCTAGAGGGGGAACCGCTTCTTTCAGATAATGGTCGCCTCCTAGGTTTTTCAACGCGAGCTTAGTGCCAATCAACACCCACAAGCCATTCTTTAACACCACCACTCATCATCATCCCTATCATCCACCACCTATTCACTAACTGAATCATTGGTGCCAAGCTCCAGGCAGCTTGACCCTGCTTCATGCCCAAACCCCCGGAACAAGCGTGGACTTGCTGACGCCCAAGATCATCACTTATCCAGACGACCGCAAAGCTCAACAAAAGTACTGCTCCCGGACGACTTTGGGATATTTCGCACAACACAGAGATTGGCGTTAAATAGGGACACAGGGTCTCAACCGGTATAAAAGCCACATTGATCTGCAGAAAGCGGGATTCCTCTCGAGAACAAAGCATGAAGTTGTGATAGGCTCTTTCGTCACTGGTTCGGAGACGGCATCAGCAGGCAGATCCCTCCAGCGAAGCGAGAACGCGAGAACCTAGGCACCGAGCGGCGTAGGGGTCATCATCAAAGCAGCAGTCGAGAACCTGGCATTCTTCATCTCTCTTATCCGTCCAGTATTCATAATCCTCATACCCCATACAAACGAAGTAAGTCTAGCAAAAGCGAGGCCAGAACAATAAAGACTCTGCTGAGCCAACAATGAGCTCACGCCCAATCGACGCAGGAGAAGGTTACTGTCGCTATTTGGGCTACACTTCCGACAAAGAACACATTTGTAGAACCTCTTCCCAACGTCTCTTGCCAAGTGTGTGTATATACTCGAAATTCCCTCCGCGGATCCCATGCATAGAAAGAAACACCGAGAATCTCTCACGATCCCCCACGTCCGCGACGTCGGTAGCTATATTAGGGACACTCTTACGCGGATTAAAGTACGTCCCCAAGACATTTATTCCGTCTTTGCCGGATGTCGCAGATCGTGAGGGCGAAAGCCGACTTTGGCGAGGACGGCGGCGAGGTCAAGATCCTCACAGCTATTTGAACCATGATAGTACAAGCTCAAAGTCAAGTCAGAATACACCCGGTGGCTTGCTGTTTAACAGATCCCGATACTCGAAGACCAGAGATGCCGGGTGATGAAGAGCAGCGGTTACAAACCATTTGACAACACCCGCAGCTCAAGCTTGACGGAACATTGTGCACAAAGCTGGCGGGTCGCGGAACTCTGAACTGCTATCGAACGTACAAGTGGCATCACGAAGGAAACCCTGGGCCCAGATCTAGCTGTGTAGGGACTCTTCCACCAGATCCATTCATCGCCTCGGTTATATACCCTTCCAATCCAAACAGAGCCTCCTCGCAACGAATCCTCAAGGTCAATACTCCAGAACCTCCAGCCAGTAATTACCCGATGAATTCCAGGGTATTGCGGTCAATCAGCGAAGCACGTCAAGACGAGTATCAATCTCTGGAACTTCAGTAGAGGCGCAGAAACCAGGCGGCAAAGCCAACCCCAGGATGCAATTGCTTGCTATGTTACCAACCACACACTCCTCTACGCCCCCTCCCGTCGCGAAAAACCTCTCGACCAGAACCCTCCCGAGACTCATGCTTCGTTTGCCCTTCTTCACCTCATGACGGATTCATGACGAGGCTCATCGAAACATTCAACATTCAACGTGAAAACGTCATACCCCTCTCCCATTCTCCCCGACGTCCATCCCTCCCACCACTGAGGGAAACAAAAATGAGATATGCTGTATGCCAAAGGTCGCAGGACCAACAAAGAATGGAAGTCCCTGCATTGTATACTATCTTCCCGACCTTGCGTGGGTATAACCTCGCACATGCAAAAAAATAAAAATCGGACAAATGAAATCAGCTCTGCGGCTGGCGGTATCGTACAGCGGAACTTAAGGCCACTTGACGTCGGAACTGGGAGCCCTACTCCTGCGTTTACTGCTCGTACTCGATGAGGGAGCAGGTGACGCGGCGGGAGCAGACACGGCCGACGGATTTCTACTAAAATTCTCCTTATTCGACATGGAGCTCTCCGATCTCACCAGAGGAGGCTGCCCAGATGAGCTGGAGCTCGTGGGTCGCGCAAAGGAGTGGCGCGGCAACCTGCTCTTGCCTGTGGGCCCGTTGGGCATTCCTGCCGACACGTCGCCACTGACGCGCCTGGGAATAGCCGTTACGCCATCTCTGCTGCGTGGGCGGTAGAGGATAGCTTCTCGCTCCTGTACCGCAGTCCGTCGTGGACTGGCCGCGACTTCGATAAACGCCGCTCCAGAGCCGGACGACATCTGCGAAAGGCGGGGATGACGTGACTGAGACTGTGTCGGGGTCGCCGGCATCGACATAGCGTGGTGCAGCCCCGGAGGCGTGTAGGAAGACTTCCGCCTTGGCCCGGATCCAGAGCGCCGCGACGCCACAGACCCGGACGAGCCCTTTCGTTCCGAGGCCATGTCGTAAAGCTCGCTCTCGTTGTGCGACTTGACAAGCTCTGACGCGAGGTTGCGCACCAGCACCGCGGAATCCTTCTCCGCCAAAGTCTGAATGGCGTCGAATAGGGAGCGTACTTGCTTGATATTCAGAGAACTGCTGCCATTGCCCATGCCAATGCTCTCAGGGTCACATGCGTCCATAATGTTACGAACGAGACGGAGAAGGTTGAGTCTGACGACTGCCTTCTTGTGTCCCAGTCTCTGTCCGATGCCGGCGAACATTTCAGGCTTCGCAAGGGAGCCAGCAATTGAGGGACTCAACCGCAGGAGCTTGAGCAGCGGCTCCAAAAGATTGGGGTCGAAGGAGTTGAGCTTGTTCGTATGGAAGCAGGCAACGATGGCATCTGTAAACTTCCCGTCGAGGAGATGGCTCTCCACCTTTGCTGTTTCCTCTTGGAGCCAGATGAAAATGGCATCCAGGGCTGTGACCTGCCAATATTGATCTGCCAGCAGGGAGACATAGAAGTCCAAACCCTTGTTCTGCCACAGATACCTGCGGCCTTTGCTTCCCGAATGAGCCATATCACAGAGAATAGGTAGGGCAAACTCCTTTGGTGGCCGGTCGGTCTGCATAATCTTCATCAGCAGGGGGATAATGCCACCGACGGCGGCGTCCTCTTGCCGCTCCTTGCTCAGGCGACACAGGTTAAACAGTGTGTTCAGGACCTGGTTAGAGATCTCTCGGAAGTGCTTGTGTCCCTTCTTCATACTGTAGCTGAGGACGTCGATGAGGAAATCGATGGCATCAGCCGTATGGAGGGTCTCTATCGTTGTAGAGAGCATGGAGAGGTTCTTGATGAACTTGAGCATCGTAATTTGGTGATTTGGCGTCATTCGTCGCAGGTCTTTCAAAACGCTCTTCAGCACCTGGCGATCAGCAACGACCTCCTTGACGTAGTTCTCGGCCTGTGAGAAGAGGTAGAAGATATTGACGATTCGGCCCTCGATGAGTTCGGACAGCTCGTCCTCGCCCTCCTCGTCGAGCACTCTGTGAAGCACCAACGCAAGAGGGTAGAGAATCTTGCTTCTGGAGAAGATTCTGCAGAAATCGTTCTTCGGTGTAGGCCCCTGGAGCTCGAAGACGTTCCAGATGCCGTTGACGCCAATCAGCACCAAGTCTCGAGCGTCGTCGAAATCTTCATCCAAGAACTCGACCAAGACGTTCAGACCTCCGGCACTGACAAACATCTGCAGGGTTAGTGTTGACGTCTGGTACATTTGACGAACGAAAGCGGCTGCTTCCAGTCTGATCTCGTTCGAGTACTGTCGAGCCGAGAACTTGGTGATGATTGGGATGCCGCCCACGAAGCACAGGTTCTCCTGAATCTCGACGTCGTCCAGAATGATCTTGAGAAACGTGAGTGCACGCCCATATAGCACATCATAAGCGGATAACTTACAGTATTGACGACTTTCAAGAGCGCCAGAATCATCTGCTGCTTGCTTTTGACGGTGCAGGGCTCCAAAATCTCAAGAATAGGCAACAGACCATGTGCACTGAGGATTAGATCCTTGACATCGTTGTTCTCCCATAACAACGCAAACTGTACTTTTGTTAGTAGGGTGACTTTGTGAGACGGATTTTAGTCTTACCAGGTCCTCGGAAAGCTCGCATAACCTCTCCTCGCCCTCTGATGTCTTGAGAGACCGAACCAGCTCTTCCACCTTTTCTGCAAGCCTTGCGTGTCGATCCCTGGCAATATTTGCTTCCAGGTCCATTTCATCCCAGCCGGGGTCCATAAAGGCGAACGGGTCATCTTCATCCTCGTCGTCTCCTAGCCAGGAGTTATTCGACATCTTAGACATCAGCATGAGGCCGCCATCTTCCGAGCCCCTGTCGCTTTCTTCTCTTTCTGTCACTGCATCTTCAGGGCCGAAAATGTCAGAGAAATCCTCATCACCCTCATCCTCGGCGAACTTCTGGATTTCGATCGATGACCGGGTTCTCCGCATGGGTCGGTCTGGCAATACGGATGGACGCAGCTTTTGACCGGTCGGCCGTCTTGAGCTTCCTGCCACTGGTAACTGTGTAGAGCGAGGTAGACTTGTGAGGTCTGAAGGGTGAAACAGTTGAGGAGAATCAACTTGCTGGTTCTTGTAAGCATTGATCCTAAACATATCCGCGAGAGACATACCTTCTTGACAAAGGGGTTCAACTTGTTATCGTTGAAAACGCCGTCATTGTCGAAGAAAAGATCCGAATAGTCTTCTGGGTTTTGCTCCCTGTATGCCAAATCCGGGGGAGCGGGGATTTCGAACTTGCTGGGACCGAGCTGTGGCTTGACGGGCGACTTTGGACGCGACGAATTCCTCGAGTGTTTCCGAGGGGTAGGTTTTGGAGGAGATTGCAGCTTCATGGGGTCTGCATATTTATCGCTCTTCTTACGGGGCGTAGGACGAATCGTCTGCTCCTGGTAGTCGATGTCGTTAAACCGCGGTCCCTTAATAGTCAAAAGCTCTCCCTCGAAGTCTTCGTCGTAGCTTTCAGAATCATTGCGGGCATCCGTGATCGAGGCGAAGGCCTTGAGCTTATCAGCAGACAGCAAGCCGCCAAAATTATCCTGTGGCTTCAGATGCGGCAGATGTAGCGCACTCGGTGAGATGGCTGTCGCAAAGTCGTTGTCCCAGTTGTCGTCGTCTATCCGCTCGTCAACATACGTCTCCCCATTCACCCGAGATCGATGACGCTCACCTGCGAGTTCAGGAGACCTGAATGCCTCCGGGGTCCGCCTCGGTTTCGCGAGGGCTAACGGGCCCTTCGGCTGTGTAGTCAGATTCGGTCGGAGCGGTTCGTTGGCGTTGAACCTCGACCCGGGATGTCCTTGCAGTCCTGGAACCCCGCTATCCGAACCCATCGACACCCTAAGTGAGGTCTCGGACGACTTGAGGGCCTTGTTCCACTGCTTGACTTCCTCCACAGCTTGGCTGAAATTAGCTGGCGGCTTGGACACGGGCGCGTCGCTCCTTCGGCACCCGATGATCCACGCGTGTCGTAAAAGTTTTCTCGCAGTCACTCTCAGATTTGGGTCTTTTTGGAAACATTGCATCAAAAAGTCTCGTGCGGCCTGCTCAATGTCAGAAAACCTCCACTTTGTCGCGAGACGAAGGGCCACAAACCGGAGAAATACCCTCAGGTAGTGGTGGGTGGTCATCGTTGACAATAGCAAACAGCGCGGGCATCGCTGCGAGGTTGTGGTACGGCGGTTTACCCTGCAGCAACTCAATGACCGTGCATCCCACACTCCAGATATCAGACGCAGGACTGGCCCCAGAAAGTTGGATGATTTCGGGTGCCATCCAATATGGCGTTCCGACGACCTGGGCCTCCTTGTCTTGCCCACCAGCAAGCGTACTCGTGGAGACTCCAAAATCAGCGAGCTTGACCGTCCCGTCCTTGGTGGTGAGAATGTTGGCGCCCTTGATGTCTCTGTGAATGACACCCTGGTCGTGAAGGTAATGCAGACCTTGCAAGACCTGGGTCATGTAGACGCCAACCAGATTCTCGGGAAACTTGCCGTAGGACTTGCATATCGAGTGGAGAGAGCCGTTCTCGCAGTACCTGCGCCGCCGTGTCAGCCATGTCCGGGGCGAAATGAGAAACTGGCATACTCAAGTATAATGTTGAGACAATCAGCCGACTTCACGAAGCCAATGTACTTGACAATATTGTCATGCTGCACCAAAGATCAGCCAAAGCGCCTTTACGATGCTGCTGTCCGAAACACTTACATGCAAGTTCTTCAGAAGATCGATTTCGGACTACACGGGTTAGCCACGCGCAAGGTTCAGACGGAAGATCGAACTGCAGCGTACCTCGATCATACGCAGCTCGCTTTTGGGCAGGTCAACAAGCTTGATCTGCTTGACCGCAACGGCCTCACCCGTGCCCCAATTGAAAGCCTTGTAGACGGATCCAAAAGCTCCCTTCCCGAGGCACTCTCCCAAACGCTAGCCCCGCAATGTTCGTCAGCCAAATATTCTTCAAAATTCCAATCTTGATCCTAGCAAAGGGCCCGTAGGCAAGCGCACGCACATAGTCCTTCAACCCCGGGTCCTGCAAGGCGGAGCTCTCTCTTGGCCCAGACTTCTCCTTCCGCGGTGTGCCTGGGCCCCTCTCGCGCGAAGCCACAACGGCTGCCCTGCCGTTGACATGGTACTGGCGGTCAACGGAGGAGGCGGCCGACGAGGGCGGTGACGGGTTGGGCATGGCTGGCGGATGGGAAGCCCGGTGCGGGACCAGGCCTCTCTCGCAGGATAAGTGTCAAAGGTTCGGATTCAAGGCCTGCGGCAGGCGGAGTGGATTCCGAAGGTAATGTGCGGTCCCCAGCTTTGCAAGCCGCTCGGGTCGATATCGAGGGTCGCGTGGTGATTTCAGTGGCGACGGTTACGGCGAGGATGTAAGGGCGCGGTGCACATTTGCCCAACAGCAGGACAGCATGCCAGTCGGTTCGGTATTTTCTGCAATCGTCTCGATCGTTCGGTCTCGTTACAGCGATCTCGTACAGGCCATGGAAATCTCGGTCGGGGTTCGGCGGGGGAGGAATAAAGAAACAGGTTGCTTGGGTCGAAGCAAGTCTCGAGACAAAGCGAAAGCGTGGGCGGCGCCGAAAAAATCTCCCAAATATTGACACAGGCGAAATACACCACTCTGGCCCTTCCAGGTTACAATGGCTGGCCAACTTCGGATTCTCGACGCAAGGGTACAAGGGCGAGGTCGGCAATCTCTGTCGTTTCTCTCGTTTCACGTAATGGAAGGTCGTCAACGGTCGTTCGGCTCGGTGGGCGGTCCGGCGGTGGCGGTGGAGGGGTTCGTTCGTCCAGCGTCCCAATGTGTGTGCCGTTGTCGTAAAGTAAACGAGTGGAATGGGGTGGTTTGGACGAACAACTTCAGCCGAAAGGAGCTGCGATGGGAAAAAAGGAAAAGGGAAGAAAATAATATTGAAGAGGACGTTTGTGCCCAGATCAGGACGAGGCCAGAGAACAGACTCGACTGGACTCTCCGACTAAAAGTGAGTGGACAAAAAAGATTGGCTAGCTGACGCGCGCAAGTGAGAGAGATTTGACTGCGAGGTGGACTGGCCTGCTGGGCTGAGGTCCAAGGTCCAAGGCCCTTCGCTGTCAGGTCCGCAGGGCAGCAATGACAACGATGGCACCTCCATTTGGACTTTGGAGAGGGGAGGGGCCACACTTTCGCGGCGCTTGTGCCACTCTTTGCGCTTTCCGCCATCACTATCACACCCACAACCCACTGTGGCCTACGGGGGGCCCTGGTAAAACACAGCCCTGGAGGGGCCTTTGGCCCTTGGGTCCTTCAAGGTTGGGCTCAGCTGGGCAGTCGATCGGTGCCGTGGCCGTGGACTCTGGAGAGCACCCCGAAAGCCGTCCATTGGCCCGTCAGGCGCCTGTCCGCTCCATTGCTTCAGCGCCTCAGGACGTGGACTCGACTCTTGACGATGGCCGAGCGGGGACCGTTTTCCAATCCTTCCCAAGGACACCCGGTCAAGATTTCACCATGTGGTGACCAGGCATTCGTGAGTTACTACTTTTAGTGACCACGCTAGAAGCTACTGACCTGAACTGGAAACACAAACCTCTCAAGAACAGACCTCTTCATCCATCATCACTTTGTCATTGCGAGCAGCCTTGCCTGAGGGACTAATTACGTCTTGAATGAGTACGTCTGTCAAAGTGGTTGACGGACATCTCGTGTCGCCTTACTCAAACCCATTCCACCGTCCTGAGTCTTCCCCAGACTTTCCAACTTTGGAACCCGGATCAGACACAAAACAACGTCATGCTCGGCCGAGCGCCGCGTCCTGAACATTCCAACCCCATTGACACATGAAAGAGAAGCAAAAAAACCCGGGCAGGCAAAGTCAACATCAACACTCGACCCCGGCGGTTATATCGGCCGCCGTTGCTGAGGTTGCGTGGTGACAATGTGTCTCGTCTAAAGAGGTCAACAAACCACCTCCCCCTGCCCGCCCTACCTACCCCTACCTCCCCCCCATGCCCACCGAGTGACCCTCTCATTACGTCTCTTTCGAGTCCCGAAGGACGCCGAACAAGGGGAAGAGACGCCAGGCGCAGTGATCAGCGCGGCAGAAAAAATAAGAAGCTAAAAGCCCCCGGACTATGACATGTGAGTGGCCAGCTCGGCGACCTGCATCAGTCTAAAGGAACGACGCAGATGTTCTGTCCTGACCGAGACGAACGTCGTTGGCGTGACTCTCTCACACTTGTCTCGATTGACATGCTGGCGAGTGACAAATGAATATGAATAGACTGTCGCCGTACTCTCTGAAGGAGATCTGACAGTATACCCAATTCCATTCTCCCAATTCTTACATGGTAATGGATAATAGCACTTCAGCCCATGCAAGTCCTTATTGGAAGAGAGCGATGTGAACAACAGCAAAACTATTATTGGGCTCGACCTAGCCAAGACAGACGGATTGACAAATGTATGGGAATACGAAAAGACCTATATAAGATCCTGCTCATCAACATTCCTCAGTACTGCTTATTTTGGGTACACTGCACAAGATGTCCGTCAGAACAAACATCGCGATGAAAACCGAGACATCCGTATGGGACTCTGGACTCTCACAACACTGTCACCGAGACACGCACAGAAGGCCGTCATGTTTGTATATTCGTGCTCACTCTGATCGCTCCATCTTTCACATACCGGGCACGAGACAAGTTACGGAAAATGAGGCAGATCAACTGTCAATTAGATAGCAGCCTTCGGCCGCTTTGCCGCCTCGTTCTCTCATCGCCTCTGGTCCCCCGTTGCGCCTTGCACCAAGCTGTTCTAGGTTCCGTACGAGAACTCGTCTGGTACTACCCGAACGCCTCTCTGCGAACAAATACACGTATTATACAACCCGTCCGTGCCGTGGCACAGCGTCGGTAATCCCGTCATAGTCAGCCCCGATCCCATATCCCCTTTAACTCCACCCGTCTTCGAAACCAAAGCGCCTGTCGCAGGAGCTTGCAAACCGCCTGCTGCTTTTGGTTGTCAACACATAAAATAAAACTGAAATCACAACACATGTTCCTCCTCTTCAAGATTCGTCGGGCAGGTTCCGACTGAGCCCGGCGCCTGCCCACCACTCGTCAGGAATGTCTTCCCTTCGGGCGAGGTTCCGCACAATCAACTGCATTCCGTGCAGCGCGTTATCGTTCGGCGTTTGGCTGTGGCTAGTTGGCGCCGAGTCAGCATCGGCATTCCCCTGATCAGCGTTGCCACGAGATTCCTCGCTGGAGCCTCTCACAATATGATCCAGTAGCTCGGGGAGCGGTGTCGGGTCACGCGTGGCAATTCGGTAGTGACGCAGGAGCTCGAGACGCCGACGGTGCCGCATCTCGCTGTCTTCGCGTCCCACAAACGGCCGGTCCGCCCTGACGAATGAGATTCTGCTCGGGTCGTTGGCATCCAAGTCAGACACAAATCGCCGGTGCCGGGAGGGATAGTTCATCGTCCAATGCTCCGGCCAGCCTCTGCCCATGTGCATATCTTCCTGGCCTTCGCTATCTGAGTTATCGACTCCGGATTCGCAGGGCTGCTCAAGAGTCTCTTCGGCCGTTTCAGGTCCGGTGAGAGATGTGCGAGACGAAGCTCCGGCGCTCTGAGACTGAGACGCAGAGGCAGATGCCGAGGCCGTCGCTGACGCGAATGAAGAGCCAGCACTGGGAGGCTGCGGATCAGGCGTAAGCGTGGTGAGAAGCGTATCCCAGACGCCGTCTTCGTCGGGACTCAGGCTTCTGTTTCGATCGCCGAGGCCGTCTGCGGTGGGGTTTTCGCCCAGGTGGCCGAAGGCACGATACCGACGGTCGCTTGGGCGCACACCTCGTGCCCTGTGTGATAAGTAAAAGCCCTGCGGTGACCGCGTCCGGTGTTCAACGGGAGACTGGCCACGGGACTCGGCGCGGGACTCGCCCCGAGCTGTGCGACCAGGTAGCCGGGCTGGAGCGGGATGGTCAGGGCTACGATCGAATCTAGCAGCTACAGGGGGCGCAGGCTGTTCATCGTTAGCATCGCGCATCATTGGTATTGATTTGATGAGATTACTAACCATTGACATACGAGACAGCTGGGCGCGCTGCCTTCGTCGCTCAGCCGAGCTGGTCTCTCTATCAAATCCTTGCGATCCGCGGAAGTTATCGTCGTACAGGCGCTCGATTTCTTCCCACATAGAGGGCCGCTGCTCGCCAGGCGGAGGAGGCGGGCTAGGGATTCTCTGAGACGGAGGAATGTTCTCCAGAACCCAGCGTTCGCCGAATAAAGATATCAAGCGAGCCTCGCGGGCCTCGCTGGCGTCGAAGTCGCGGTTGCGCATGTCACGTAGAGCCTCGCGGGCTTGCGGGTCAGACGGCGCCTGGCGGTCGGCATCGCTGGGCGGAGTGGTGCGCGGGGGAGGTGCACCGTAGGCCTCGGGGGGCGGGGGCGCGCCGTCCTCGATCCATGGATACCGAGGGCGCGAGTTCGGTTCGGGACCGGGAGTGGGGAAGTTATCGCGAAGGTAGGCGGCGCGCCGACGAAAGGGCCGCGATTCGACACGGCCGGCACGCCGAATGGAAGAGCGGGCGTGGCGTGTGGCAGTGGATTTATCGCCGACCTTGCACGGCAGGTCGGACTCAACAGGAGCGACGAAGAGTCTGTAAAGGCAGAAGGTTGCGAGATTAGCGGGGGATGCGAGGGCAAGATGAGACGGAGCCGCTAGGAAGGGCGACGGCAATTGACGAGCGGCTCGGCATCGATAAAATCCGAAGCGGTCATTAGGGCGGCCGGGAATTCGCAGTCAAGGAAAGGCGGATGGTACTGATGATGAACAGGACGGGACGGGATTGTATGGAGACATTGAATTGGATTGAACGACAGCGATAGGGTGACGCGACTGGGCGGGCGGCGCTGAGTTTGAGCCAACGTCCGGCAAGGCGCGACGGCGCAAAGGCAACGCAGCGCAACCGGGGCAGCACAGGGGTGGGAGGACTTACGGGAGTCCCATGTTGACTGACGGTCGCGCGCAATGGTGTCAACGGCAAATAACTTGATATTTGGGTGCAGCAACTGAGTCGCGGGGTTGATGAGAGCGACAGCAAGTGGTCGTTGATGGAAATAAGACCGAGGTCGCGATGGTTTCGCGATGCGCGATTCGGGGCCAAAATGGCTTCTTTTCGTGGGGCGGGCGGGAGGACGGAATGAGGGAACGGGGAAGGAATGGGGGATGGAGACAGAGACGACGGGGGACGGGGGACACTGGGACGGACGGGTTGAATGAAAGGAAAGAAAAAATGAAAGTTGGACGTCTTTGGGGAATAGCCGCTTTAGAAAAAGTAAGGTGAGTGGCTGGCCACCATGTCCGCCCCTGTCTTTTTGAAGCATGCAATATTGGCCAATCACGGACACTCCTTTCCTCGTTGTGGATATGAAAAAGCTTGGACCATGCATGGCCCGAGTTTGTGGCTGTGCTGCCGTAAGCAAGGTACGTACCCTCCAGCTTGGATTTCCAGGTTCGCACCTTCAGGGCTGCCGTGCCTCTCATGCGCGTGCTCCTGCTCGTGCTTTACGTCGCGTGGATTGCCCGCGCCGCATTCACGTTCAATTTGCCAGCAGGAAGGTTTGGCTGGAATGGGCCGATTCATTCGCCCAGAGCGTTGCGCCGCATGCGACATCAGGACCCTGAAAATCAGAGACCCATCCATCACCTGCGAATTCCAGTGACTCACTCTCCAGTCCCGAAAAAGAGCCACATTCGAGAATCTCGAGTCGTTGCCGGGCTACCGCCCTTGTCCACTGACGTCCCAGACCCACGATATCGGCGATTATGCCCCGCGCCTAAAGATAAGGTAACGGACTCGCGGCTGGAACGTACCGAAACCCCCAACGAGCTTCAATCCCTCGACCTCGAGGCGCACTACGACATGGCCTCCATCAAAGGCATCAGCCTCGGCCTCCACCGCATCTCGAGGGCTCTCGAGGGCGTTCCCCAGAAATGGGACGCAATCCATGTCGCCGGCACCAATGGCAAGGGCTCGACTTGCACCTACCTCTCCGCCCTATGCCGCTCCTTCGGCGTCTCCAACGGCCTGTTCACATCGCCCTACTTGGTTGAGCCTCGAGATGCCATCAAAATCAATGGCACTCCTGTTCAGCAAGACGTCTACAACGATGTGAGACGCAAAATTCTAGACGATGAGCAGACCCGATTGGCCCAGGATGCTTCCCAGGAACAGCTGTCCATCTTCGAGGTCACCACCCTGATTGCTTTCGGGGTTTTTACGCATGCCGACGTGCAGACGGGTATAGTCGAGGTCGGTCTTGGCGGCAGACTCGACTCGACCAACGTTCTCAAGCGCAAAAAGGTGACCGTCATCACCAAGATCGGTCTCGACCACCAGGGATTTCTCGGTAACACCTTGCCTGAGATCGCAAAGGAGAAGGCCGGCATCATGATGGCCGGCGTGCCGTGCGTCGTCGACGGCAGCAACCCGCCCGAGGTCCTCGAGGTTTTCCGAAAACACGCCGAAAGCCTCTCGGCGCCGCTGCACCTCACCACGAACCAGGCCGGCCTGCTGGAAACGCTCTACCGGTCCGATCTAATGCCGCACCAAGCCCAGAACATGGCATGCGCCATCGCGGCTTTCCAGATTGCTTATCCCCATCTGAACCTCTCTGCCGAGCAAGCCTTGCCCATCCTGAAGGATGTTAGTCACCTGGGGAGACTGTCATGGCTGGAAATCAGCAAGAAGCATCCTTCACGGAAGGGCAAGCCGGTCCTCATCGACGGTGCTCACAACCCGCAGTCTGCAGAGACGCTCTCTGAATATGTTGAGCGACGCCTGCGAGTTGCAGACAAGCCCGTCACTTGGATCGTGTCAGTATCCAAACAAGACGGGAAAGATGCTGGAGGCATGCTGCGCACGCTTTTGAGGCCCGGTGACAATGTCGCCTGCGTACCATTTTCGGGACGAGAGACCATGCCCTGGGTCGAGCCTCTGCCTGTGGCCACCTTGCGAGACATGGCATCTGAAGCGGGTGCGAGGAAACTATTCGATGGAGAGGAGAACCTTGAGGCCGCCATGAGATGGGCCGTTGAAAATGCCAACGATGGCCCTATTGTTGTAACAGGCAGTCTTTACTTGGTTGGAGATGCATACGGAGGTTATGGTGAGATATGAGAGGATTAGCCTACTCCGTTGACATAATAGCCAGCCAATATGATATCTATCAAATAATACCAAATGTTAAATCTCACACGAATGCGTCATGTATCTCAGCACTCGTCAACGACATCACCCAAGGCCGCGACGCATCGCATGACATTGATGGAACCAACTCCTCACCGCCACAGAATCACATGATCCACCACCGTCTCACCCACAGCGGCAATCGACACGCAAATTCACACTGCTTTTCAATTGCCCAACAGCTACCTGCCCCCTCACCCCGGCTCGGCCATGACAACCCCGTCCCATCTAATCGTCGTCTGCTGCCACGGCATCTGGACCGGCGGCCCCACCAACGGCCATGCCGAGTCGGAGTGGCTCATCGCCGACTTCCAAACCGGCGAGACGCCGACCTTCATCGAACACATCAAGGCCGGTCTAACGGCACTGCGGGACGACCCGGCCGCCGTGCTCGTGTTTTCGGGGTAAGAAAATACACCGGTGCGGCGCCGCCCGGCTTACACAAACTCCCGTCTCATCCTGTCTATCAACACCGAACGATCGCGGTTCACTCATCTCATCTCCAACTCCCATCCACCCCCTCAAATCCAACCACGAAAACTAACATCACCACCAGAGGCCCGACCCGCAAAGAAACACCCCTCTCCGAAGCCCAAAGCTACGCCGCCCTCGCCCGCTCAAACGCCTACTTCGCCATCTTCCCCGCAGACCACCAGCCCGACCTCACTACCCGCATCCTCGAGGACTCCCAGGCCCTGGACTCGTACCACAACATCCTCCACTCCCTCATCCTCTTCTGGCGCACGCACTCGGCCTGGCCCCGGAAGATGACCGTCGTAAGCCACGCCTTCAAGCGCCCGCGCATCGTCGACGGCCACTGCGCCGCCATCAGCTTCCCCCTCGACCGCGTGCACTTCCTGGGCATCGATCCGCCGGGCATGCAAGCCGCCAGCGCCACCGCCGCGGACAAGACGGACGGGCACGGCGACGGAGGCGACAAGGAGAAGACGGGCGCCGCCGCGGGCGTGCAACGCGCCGTGGATGAATGGACGGAGGATCCGCACGGCGTCGGAGCAAGCTTGGCCGGCAAGAGACGCGCGAGGAACCCCTGGGGAGTGGAGGACGGCTTATTCAAAAGCGATGAAGAAAGAAGTAGAAGTGGTGTCGTCACCAGGATAGTAAACGGCCACGAGGCGCTCGTAGAAGACGCAAAAAGGCCATGGGCTTAGGGCTATATCTCTCTACTGCAAACCTCCCTCCCTTCAAATCTTCGCCCGCCTCTCCTCCCCCTTTCCCCCATCCCTAACAGCATCCAACAAAAACCGACACGCGTCCTCGACCATCCCCTCGCTAAACGCGTGTCCGACGCCCTCGTACACGATATTCTCAAACGTGACGCCCCCGTCCGCGTACCACGTCCTCGTCGCCTCCTCGAAGAAGTTCACAAACGGCTCCGCCTTGGAATACGGCACCAACCTGTCGACCGCCCCCGAACAGACCAGGAACTTCTTCCCCCGGACGCGCGCGTCGAGAAGGCCGCGCAGACGCTGCCTCTCGCCCTCCGAGACGTCCGCCGCGGCGCTCGGCACGGCCCCGGTGCCGAAGAGGATGCCCTTCGGGTCGTTCCTCAGACACGCGGACACCAGGTCGGGAGGGAAGTCCCTGCTGCCCAGGAACGAGGCCCCGTCGTCCTCGGCGGAGTACGTCGCCAGCTTCGACCTCTGCGCGCGGTCCGTCATCAAAGCTGCAAAATCATCAGCATCACCCTTCCTTCTCATCGTCATGGCCACACTCTCAAAACTCACCCATATAATCAGGACACCCGATAATCACAACCCCGCCCACGATCCTCTCCTCCCCGAAAAGCGCCTGCCACGTACTATGCCCCCCCAGACTCACCCCGAGCGCCAGGTGCTGCTCGACCCTCCACTCCCCCTCCCCCCCCGTCTCGACCTTCAAAATCCCCTCCGCGACGTCCATCAGCCCCCGCGTGTCGCCCACCATGCCCGCGACCATGGCGTACATGTCGATGGCGTGCCTCTCGTTCCCGCCGCGCCACGACTCGTTCGCCACCTCCGACACGAGCCGCGTGCCGTGGTTGCGCTGGTCGAAGGCGAGCGCGATCAGGCCCCGCGCCGCCGGGTTCCCCGCGGCGTGCCGGGCGACGACGCGCGAGGCGAAGTCGCCCATGTCCTCCTTCCGGCGCCCGCGGCCGTGGAAGAGCCAGAGGCAAGAGACCGAGGCGGGGTTCTGCGCGGCGAGCTCGTCGAGGCCGTAGACGTCGACGAGGAGCCCGGACATGTGGATCGTGGACTTGGAGACCTGCGGGGGAGGCGAGGCGGAGGATTGCATTGGGTTTTGCTCCGGCATTTTGGCGGATTGGATGTACTTTAAACTATTGATACTTGAAACAGTTCAAAAATCGAGCGTGCTGTAATGTGTGATGTTATGAATATTCGGCTGTTGTTGAGGTGTAAGTGAAGTTGAAGATGACGAGTTGCCGAGGTCGGGCGCGCACGTAGTGCCCCTCGTCGCAAAGAGGCCCATTATTCCCGAGCCACCGGGCCTCCCCAATCAGCTGCGGGTATCCCGCCTTCCTCCGAACTTCGACGACTTGCGCCAACATGCTGTCGTCCGAACCACTAGCATATCATTTTGATTTTTCGTGATATAAGCCTGCCGAGGCCGACGCCGAGTCGGTAGGTTATTCTGAGCAGGTTGTGATGCGAAGGGTTCTCCATGTCGACGGGAGCCATATAAAGTCTCCAATGCGGTTGATTGAGTAAATGAGTTTCCTAATGTAAGATGGAAAAGCTCGAGGCAGTGAATAGTAATATGCCCCGCGGGCTGGTAAGAGTTCCTTTAAGCCCTCCCGCAGAATCCGCAGTTAAATAATTGCCAAAGGAGCATGCAGACTTCCTCCCTAAACGCCGTGTTGTGCCTTCCCTATCCCCTTGCCCATGCCCGAAACCCATGTGTCATAACGACCCTATGTACGTTGATCGATCAGCTTTTGTTGCCCTGCCCGCCCTGCTCGAACAGGCTATACTCATTAGACCCCGAGAGCTCAGAGTTTGCTGTCCCTCTTTTTTGGAGACGGTGTTGTCAGAGATCCTCTGTAGAAGAACCTCTCTTAATCCAGCTTCCAGTGATTTGTCAGACCACCGTCATGGTCTCCCTCGCCCAAGTACAGCTCAATCGCGTACAGGGCCATTGTTCCGACCACGTTTGTCCAGCGCCAGACATTACCACCGGGATCACCTCCCCTGAGAGTCCATCCATCTGGCCCGTCGCTTGTTGAGAAATGTTGCAGAAGCAAGCTTGTGTACATAGCGATGAGGATCGAGGGAGAGAAGTAAGTAATGATTCCAATCAGCCAGTTGGCGGCGTCGGTATCTTCGAGAGATGGCTCCTCCATGAGAGCCCTGGCGCCAGACTCACGGACTGCCGGGATGATGCGAGTGGCGCAGTAAAAGACAAGAAGTCTGAAGGCGAGGGAGATGATGACAGACGGAGTGATGGTCTGGAAAGCAGCGTAGAGGAGGCTGAGCGAAGAATGCACGGCGTGAGGTAGAGAGCCAAGCATGTGCAGGAGTGTCGAGTAAGATGCCATGATGATAGGTGGTAGAGGTGGGAAATCAGGTTGCGCCGATTGTTGGTGATCCGCCGTGTTTTCTGAAGGCTTGTAATCGGTAAAAATCTGGTAAACGCACAAAACGACGTATGCGAAGAGAAGAGAAGATTCGATGGGGTTTCCGCGGCCGCTTCCAATTCCGTAGGCGCAGAGGAAGAAGGCCGATGTCATGGTGACCCCAATAAGGATGGCATCGAAGTTGTCGATATAAGGGAAGTGGGCGACCCGCCAGAGGAAGTATACAGCACTAGCAAGCACACTCCCGGAGATGGCGAGAAGGATAATCTGAGGCGATGTTAGCAGGCGCGTCAGACTTTGGGACTTGTTGTAAGCAGTATATCCAGCTATTGCCAGGATATCGCTACTCCGACAGCAGATTTCGACTTACAACCCAAGTATCGCTTCGTCCTCTGTTTACCAGCCACTTTGTGATCTGGCCCGCCGCCTGGATGACGAGCAAAGTACAGAAACCCTCCAACAGCTGGAAGACCGGGCTCGAGTAGCTCAGCGTCTTATCCCAACCACCCAGTGTAATGGTCTCGATGACACCGCCCTCGCCAAAGACCCATTCGCCCCATGACGTCGACTTGGAGGTGGTGATACCCTGCAGCGTCCTCTCCACCCAGTTGGTCGCACCGGCGTCAACAGCGAAGCGGCCAAGAGCCCAGATCAAAAGACCGGGGATGACAATCCACTGCGACAGGCGGAGGATAACAGATATAGCCCAGCGGACGCGCGACTTCTCCGGGGTCACGACAGCGATGGCGGAGTAGACAAAGTAGAAACCGGAGAGGGCCAGGCTGTAGGCCAGACCGCTGTCCCTGCCGCCGACATCGAAGGCGACGGGTATGGACAGAACTATGCTCAACAGGAAGATGGCACTGGCGACGATGCGGAAGAACCACCACATCGGCGCGACGAGCTGGCGTGCTGGAGCCGCGCCGACAGAGCAGGTTATGTGTTGCGATGGGCGGCCACCTTGGATTCGCGGACCGCAGACCGACTTGAGGAGGTCGGTCGGAGGGGGAAGCACCCGGTGGTGCTCGTCGCGTTCGTTCGACGGTGGGCGCGACGTCAGGTGAGAGTCGTTGGTATAGAGAAACGGTGAGGTGAGGGGGCCGAGACCGAGATGGTGGTGAGGCAGAACAGGGAAGGGCTCGTTTCGTTCTGGGTACCTTGGGTTGGCAGGCAAGGGAGCAGCGATGCAGAGTCGGCGGAGGGAAGTTTTGCCGGGCTTGTTATTGTAGATGAAGCCGTAGTTGTGGAACGTGGGCTTTCGGTCGGAGAAAGAGAGCGAGAACTCGGCCAGTGTAGGAAGCCTTGTTGATTAAATTCAACCGGGACGGGAGATTTTTGGGCGAGGTGGCAGGAAGCGGAAGCGGACCCAGACCTAGAGGAGCTTGGGCATGCCGCGTCGTTATGGTGGAAGGCTAAGGCCGGCGTTGGTGTGTGCTGGTTCGCCTAATTGCAGGTCAAGGTAGGTAGCCCGGTAGGCACGAACCTGCCTGCCTACCTAGCCAGCCGCCTTAGCTTGTCTTCACGTGGCGCTACGGATGAATGCCTTGAGAGGCCTGTGTGGTTGGTGGTAGAACATGCAATTCTCATGCCGGGCAAGTATTTACTCTCTTTCTTACTTGTTTCTTTGACCGTTGGAGATTGATTAATAACAGCAAGAACAAGCAATTAGGTTGTGGACGCTTCTTTGATACCTACCCGGTACCTCAAAAAGGCAACAATGAGACCGATTCCCCAAGTCACCAAGCCAAAAAGACGCCAAGGCTTCTGCGTACAAGACATTGTCAAATGCCACAGGAATTCAATTGTTAGTGCGCCTGGAGCATTTAATCCAGGTCGCGTGCCCCTATCGTCCTGCTCGATTACCAGCGCAAGTCCGGTCCAGCCCATCAGGTCCAGTTCCAATGGCCGCACATATTGCAGCGGTTATTGCAGCGTTGCAGCGTTAAAGGAGCACCATCCTGCAGCTGGAGCTAAGGTCCCTGGCAGACGCTCGCTTGTCTTGTGCCATTCCACTCTGCTCTGATATCATCCCTGCCCTTGGCTGTTGGTTCGATTCTCCAAGAACTCTGCATGTGACAGCCAATCACGAGACCCTCCTTCCGTCTCTGTCAACCTCAACCTCACCTAACCCTCCCCAGGCTTCAATCGCGGGCAGTCACCTGGTCATTCGACACGCTCGTTCACCCGTCAGCCTGAACTCAAAAGGAATACTTGACGGAAATCTCGGGTTCTTGTAAAAAGTTGGTACTGCAAACTCGAATCCTCTCCTCGCATCTGTAGTCTGTCTCGATTCCTGACTTGCTGCCTACGGAACCTCATACTTGCTCCTGCCCCAAGTTGACTGATACATCAATCTTCTGTAATATTGTTCCTGTTCTTATCACCCGTCGTGGTTAGTTCGCGAATCATCTCTGCCGCGACTCGCGGCATACACAAGTTACATTCGTCTGTAGCTTGCTCCTCCTCTCCTGGCTCCAATACTTACAGTGATCCGACTCCGTTAGAGTTGACGAGATTGGGTAATAAGACGATAATGAAATACGGAAACCTCATTTTCTGCCATGTCAACATCCCAGGCTACCCAAAGTAACACTGCCTATTCTGCTTTTATCTCGCATCAGAATGTCTCGTTTCGAACTTCCTACTCCAGTTTACGCCTCGATTCATTTCCTATTTTCGACAAAGATGCGAGCATAGCACAACATGCGCATCATGTTACTTCACGGAGAATACCGTCAAGTGTCCGATATACTACTGCGCAAGCTTCTCTCGTGTTCTTCGTCATCTAGTCTGTACCAAGTTCACTCAACATCGTTACACCCCGTCCGTGATAGATGCTACATGAGAATTCTCCACCTGTTGTTCACCAGCAACACACCTACTCAGTCACATTGAATTTTTCATGATATCACCCGAGAAATAACCTAGAGTTACACAAACACTCCGGAACAAGCCTCTCATGGGGGGCCAATAAACTCGCCCCGGCTGATCGCCGAGTGGCGCCTACTCTGACAGCCAACGGTTCCCCTGTTCAATATATGCAAAGCATCAACACCACGTTCGAAAACCATGTTTTCAACGTCACACAGACAAGGCAGACACGCGTTTCTTCAGGCGCCGGCCACGCCCGAGACATGATGCTCTCTTGACGTGTATCATGTTGTTGATACGTTGCTATCTCAATGTAACGTACACATACACGTCCATCTGTCGACCATCTCCGTCTTCGCAACAACCCGGACTCTTCTGCCTAGCACAGGCATGGCAGGTGAATCGTCTGATAATTGCTGCAGGTCCTGCCGCTGGGCGCATCGCTCCCAGTCTGCAGGTACAACTGCCAGTACCCGGTATCCAGTTGACAGACCAGGAAATTAAGCTCTGGGCATCATTCAACGTCAGCATCACGAGTATCAAAAACAAAACAAAGGCCGGGCCACTCACGACGGCCCCAAGTGCTTCCCTGGGTCGTGATGATGGTGTCCCCCTCCAGCCCCCACGCCTTGGTCTCCGAAGCGTTGCCGAACCTGAGCGTCTTGTACGACGTGGCATCGCTTCCGATGTTCAGGTACGAGCTCGAGTTGGCGCTCTGGATGGACCCCGCGATGTTGAAGGACTCCGCCGACGCCTCGGGCCCCAGGACGGCGATCGTCTTGTCCTTCGCGTACGCCTGGAGGTACAAGTGGTAGACGGGGTCGCTCACGCCCCTGATCTTTTCGGGCTTGGCGAGGGCCGCGCCGGTGAATGACGCCAGGAGCGTCGAGAGCAGGACGAGGCGCATGTTGACTATTCGACTTGAGAGGCTATAGACGGTACCGAGATGTAGATTTTGCTCTGGAGGGCGTCGATTCAAGCTTCACTCATGCGACTCTTATGTCTCATCGTATTCCCCGCCCACGCGGCACTTCACCCTCCGAGGGCAATCTGCAATTAATCTCACTGCTCTGGATAACCAGGACGGATAAATCTCGCGGCAGGGACGGCACGTCGACTGCCCAATCCCCCGCGCGAGAGTGAACACTCCGATATGACACCTTAATATGTCTGTGACCGGCCCGCGGCTCACGTTGCCGACCACAACCACAGGAACCAGCAGACGTCGAAGATCGACACCCAACACCTGAGGGAGATTCACCAGCGATCCTCGAATCCGAACGATAAATGGCGTCGTCGTCCATGCCCCTCGCACGGCGTCGCGATTCGGGTAACCCGAGATACTTGATATACGATGTATTCGTACCTGATCAGACAGCTCACAGCATACGCATTGCGTCAAGCTAAGAAGCTTCCAAGACCGCCTGGGATCACCCTTTCCAAAAGCTCCGATGCAACAGGACGGCGTACAGAGCGCGTCAGGTGATGACCTGCGCTCAAATCGTCATTGGCCCTGTATAAGCGACGAAAACGATTCCAATATCGTCGTGAGACGTGAAGGAGAGGGAGGGGCAAAAAAGCCATGCGAAAGAAGAGCAATGCTCCATCTCGCATGCACGATAACTCCTGCGAGTATCCGTATTCTTCTCACCCACCCCAGACCATCGTACAGAATACCTGCAGGGGGATCATGATGGAAGTGTGGTTGTGTGGGGTTCTAGAATTTCCCCAATTCCCCAACCATCCCATCATCCATCCAGGCGGTTCAGGGGGAGGAAATAAGGCAAAAGGATCAACAGAAAAAAAAATCACCCAACGACATTTCTCGTTGTGCCCCCCTGTCCGCCTGGAAAAAGCTCGCTCGTGCGACCACGAAACGCAAAACACATGCCCCGAACGATTGGCCACAGCGGGGCAAGGGTGTCCCCTTCCCCCACTGATACCCGCTGCGCCACAGGTCCAGTACACCGCTTCGGATCCCCTAACAGCGGCATCAGGAGATTTGCCATTGTCGAAGGCATGATTCTTCTCCCACCACCGCTCGATCTTTGCGCCAAACGGGGGGCACATCTACACTTCCATCAAGGGACCTGTTCTTCATCTCTGTGCACACAGCACTATCCTTCTCTTTGACTTTGGTATAAACTCGTATATCAATGACCGGCCGCCTCACAAGGTGATCCGATCTCTCTCGTTTTCCCCCCCAATCTACATCTCGCCCCTCCTCCACTCTTCCTGTCTCCTATTCCCAGTTAGGACAGATTTTTGCCAATTTACTGCCAACACCGCGATTCGTTTCGTTCACACAGAATCTGGGGACAACACACCTACCTGCCATACAACAAAAAGTTGCCAGTCGTTTCCCGTCACGCCACAACCCCCGAATCCCGCAACAATGGCCTCGTCCGCCGCCTCGACCGTGACGAAGCCGTCAAAGCGCAAGGCCGCCTCCGCCAACGGCGCCGCCGCCGGCAAGCTCACCACCACGGAAGCCCAGCAGCAACCGACCCCGGAGACCAAGGAGCGCGACTTCTTCTGGACTTACACCGAAGAGCCGCACCGCACTCGCCGTCTGGCCATCATCAAGGCTCACCCCGAGGTAATTCACTTCCCGTGCCGACTTCACACGTCGCCAATGGCCAGGTCTTCCTCCTCAATGGGACTAACATGTGCGTCGGGAACAGGTCACCAAGCTATGCGGCCCCGAGCCCCTGACGAAATACGTCGTCGCCGGCGTCGTCGCCATGCAGGTCTTCTGGGCCTGGTTCCTCCGCGACACCCCCTTCTGGTCCTGGAAGTTCTGGGCCGTCGGCTACGTCTTCGGCGCCACCGCCAACCAGAACCTCTTCCTCGCCATCCACGAGATCTCCCACAACCTCGCCTTCCGCTCCCCGCGCGCCAACCGCCTCTTCGCCATCTTCGCGAACCTGCCCATCGGCGTGCCGTATAGCGCCTCTTTCAGGGTGAGTTCCTAAACCCAGGAGACAGGGGGGGAAAAGGGAAGATGAAGGACAAACAGCTAACCTCGAAATCCTCAAACAGCCTTACCACCTCACCCACCACAAGTCCCTCGGCGTGGACGGCCTCGACACCGACCTCCCCACCGCCCTCGAAGCCGTCTTCTTCGACTCCATCCTCGGCAAGGCCTTCTTCTGCACCTTCCAGATCTTCTTCTACGCCGTCCGCCCCATGACCGTCTACGCCATCCCCCTGACCCCGCTGCACTACCTCAACATCGCGGTCCAGCTGGCCTTCGACTACGCAATCTACTCCCTCTGGGGCGGCCACGCCGTCCTCTACTTCCTCCTCTCCTCCTTCCTCGCCGGCTCCCTGCACCCGCTGGCCGGCCACTTCATCGCCGAGCACTACGTCTACGAGACCGTCTCCCCCGCCCAGAAGGACCCGGCCAACGGCGTCCCCGTCCCCGAGACCTTCTCCTACTACGGGCCCCTGAACTTCCTGACCTACAACGTCGGCCTGCACAACGAGCACCACGACTTCCCCGCCGTCCCCTGGACCAAGCTCCACGCCCTGCGCGAGATCGCCAGCGAGTTCTACGAGGACCTCCCCTACCACCGTAGCTGGACGTACGCCATCTGGCGCTTCATCTTTGACGAGCAGGTCGGAATTACCTGCCGTGTCAAGAGGAAGCAGGGCGGACGCATGGTTGGCGGCAACGCCAAGTGGACGCGCGAGGAGATTGAGGCTTAGGAGATGGGTCTTGTCGGGGGTTAAAATATAGAAGTAAACCACGCGCCAGGTCGTAATGTGGTTTCAGTAATTTTATGATTGAGAAAATTTGCGTCGATATCAGAGATGTGTTAAGGGACTTTTGGTGATCACACCCGGGACGAGATAAAGAGGGCCACTCAGTCACTCTGGAAGCTAGCTAGACTTCAAACCATGGTCAATGGCTGGAGGCTGCGAACCAGCTCAGAACGCTGTACCGCTCACGTGTGTAAAGAAAACTTCGGTATACATATGAAAAGTTTCAGAATTGAAAACTTCGCGTCCTGGACGCCGGGCCGTTACGACAAAAAGAACAACCGTATAGTTACAAGTGTGATTTGTGACTCCCTTCCCATGTCACCACGAGGCCGTCAACAAGTCCTCCGTCTTGTCCGCTGTAAATCTCGCCTCCAAAAAGCCCGCTGGCCGTACCGTTCTCCCGTGGCTAGTGAGTGTGCTGGCGTTGATGTGCCGCACGTCTCGGCCGTGCGGGTCATGTTCGTTGGTCCTCCAACGGAAGAACCAGAGAAAAAGGGGAATATCCGAGAAAGCAGGATTAGAAAAAGAAGTAGGCGAGCAAGAAGCTGACCAAGCAAAGAATCGCGACCATCTGCACCGGGACACCCTCCGCTCCCTGTCGCACAGCCGCAGCAGCCTGCTGCGGGCTGGGCAGCTTCTCGGTCTCGGTCTTCACACGTTGGCGGAGACCGCTGGTGTCTTGGAGGCCGGCAATCTTGGCCTCGGCCTGCTGGAGCTTCTGCTTGAGTTCATCGTAGGTGACCTGGGCTGTGCTGGTGACGATGTTGCTGGCGGCGCTGACCGTCGAAACGGCCTTCTCGGAAACGGCGTCGTCCTTCACTTCGGGGCTCGTGGGCTGCCCAGCGCTAGGGCTTGCAGCTTCGGTCTCCTGGCTGGGGGAGGAGTAGACGCGCGAGACGTCGGGAGTGTGATCCTGCCATTTGTCAGCATTGAATGCGACGTCGAATGCGCTGGGTGATGGAGTAGAACATACGCCATTCACAACGGAGTGACGGTTGGGAGTGGAAGCGACGCCAGAAGCGCCCTGTCCGTTCGGCGACTGGTCCTCAGCGGCGAGCCAGTTGACACGAATCTTCCTCTCCGTCATAGACGCCTTGTCTGTCTGATCAAGCTGTTTCGAGTCAGAAACCGTGGTCCTCCGGGAAGCTGGGGCAGTGCTCACGATGTTGGCAATGCTAGCGAACTCCTTGTCGGCAGTGATGGGAACGGATTGGACCAGGAACTTGTCGCGGCACTTCGCATCCATGGGGGGTTCCGCCTTCATGGCCTGGAGGAGAACTGGTTTTGGTCAGTTGCATGTGACCACCTTGCAGTTATCCGAGGAGCGTACCAGTAACCTCCACATCTTGGCCAGGCTCAACACGACCCGAGTTGGGGCGAACGCAGTACCTGAAGGTGTCGTCAGTCGCTGTTCGAGGGGTGCACGAGGCGCATGGGATCGTACTGCTTAGGTGCGGTGGTTTTGACCTGGTAGTTCGTCGAGTTAGCAGAGGGTGACGTGACGGCAGGGGCCTGTGGCGGAGGTTGACATACCTTAAAGGCAATGGGAGATTGGTTCGGGTTCTTGATCCGCAGGATCTGAGAGACTTCGACGGTGAAGGGCCCTAGGAGATGGTGAGCATGGAGTCGATCGAAGCAGATGCGATTTGGATGTACGCTTGAAGCTCAGCTCGGTAGGCTCGATATCGACGGACATGATGGCGGTAGGGTGGGTAGCCGAGGGACGAAAAGGAGAGTCTATGGACTCCGGCGCATGCAAAACAGCTGTCGGCGTGGGTAGGAAGAAGAAATTTGCCTGGGGAGCAAGGCGTGATGCTAATGGCAAAGAGTGAAGGAATGTTGCGCGCGGGGCGAAATTAAAAGCGCTGGTTGTAAGGTAAGGGCAAGGTTTGGTGGTTGAATGGAAGGAAGGAAGGGCAAGGTCCAGACAGATTCAGGTAAATTCTAAGTACAAAAGCAGGTGTTTCGCACGGCAAGAGCCCACGACGTAATACACAGCAGCGTAACCAACAAATGGGCTACTGGGCTGAACTCGATTGGGATAGGAGGATGCGCACACAGGCCTGGCTTCAGAGCAGTCCTCCAGGCCAGGTTTCATTAAGGTAGCCCCTACTAAAATGAGGTGCCTAGGTACTTGCCCAGCGGGCGGTCAATCGGAACTCGTCGCTGGGGCCTCCACCGGGAGAGCTGCGGACACGACATGGGGGTTAATCCGGAGTTCGTCCACTAAAATTGCATCGCAGGGACCAATGGATGCATTCCATGAGGTTGCTCGGGCAGGTCTGGCGGAGATGCTGCGTAGTAGAAAGTGGCGCTGACCTGCCGGAGTTGAGCTGCCTCAGCCACAGTAGCCCCTCCATTGGACGGGATTTGTTGGATCCACGGACAGCTCCCGCTTTCCAAAGGCAGCTGCAGATGACGTCCGTTTCGCAGAAACAACGACTCAGGTCATATTGGATTTCGGAGAAACGCCAGTGCTTTCCTATCAAACAGCGTGCCTTTGCCATCTGGCCAACTGAAAACGTCCTTTGTCAACAGGCTCTGAATCACTCCTTTTTCCTTCCACAAAGGTTGTCAAGCTTTTCACTCACTTTTGAATAAGTTACCTGCCTATTTCTATTTGAGCAACAACCCCGCTACCCCCTGCCCATCAGCAAAAATGGCTCAATCCGACCTTGACCAGTTGCTCGATATGGGCTTTGAGAAGGCCCGCGCTGAGCTTGCAGTGAAGAAAACTGGAAACCGTGAGATTTCCACAAAGATTCAGATGCGCTCACATGGATTGCTCACACACACATCGCAGTGAACGGCGCCCTTGAGTGGCTTGAGAAGAACCAGGACAAGCCCCTCGATGAGCTTACTGCTGCTGCCAAGGATGATGAAGATGATGAGAATGAAGTTCAGGCCAACATTGAGGCCCTTGAGACTGGTGTTGCCAAGTCACTCGTCTGCAATGAGTGTGGCAAGCGCTTCAAGTCTCAGGACACTGCTTCCTACCATGCCACCAAGACGTGAGCTCGGAATTTCCTACCCCTCATCCCAGCTTAGTTGCTGACACATCGCAGCGACCACACCGATTTCTCCGAGTCGACAGAGGAGATTGCTCCCTTGACCGATGAGCAGAAGAAGGCCAAGCTTGAGGAGCTTCGTGCGCAGCTGAAGGAGAAGAAAGCGAAGCAGTCCGTTCAGGATCAAGAGGACGCCAAGCGCAATGAGAAAATCCGTCAGAAAGCTACCAAGGAGAGCCACGAGATGAAGGAGGAGCTGCAGCGCAAGGAGCAGATCAAGGAGGCCGCAAAGAAGCGCCAGGAGAAGCTCGACGACGCCGAGGCGAAGCGCCGCATCAAAGCCAAGATTGAGGCGGACAAGGAAGAGCGTCGCCGCAAGGCCGAGGAGGCCAAGGCCGCGAGAGAAGGCAGAGCTCCCCAGCCCGGCCCCGTTGCGCCGCCTTCCGTCCCCAAGATCACCGCGAACCACAACGAAGCTCGGCTGAGACTTCAGACCTCCGGAGGCAACGTCATGAAGACCCTGCCCGCAGAGACCACCCTCTTCGAAGTTGCTCAGATGCTGCAGTCGGAGAACGGTCTCGAGGTCACTGGCTTCACCACCACGTTCCCCAAGAAGACGTTCCAGGGTGCCACTGACTTTAGTAAGACTCTGAAGGAGGCAGGCTTGACCCCGAGTGCCGTCCTTATCGTTCAATAGATTGATTGGGAAGACTTTTCGGTTTGGAGAGGGACATGCATGGACCGGCGTTGGGGAGGTAGAAAACAGCAGTAGCAATGTTCGTCACGCATCACGTCTTTCGTAGGCAGAGGAGACCAATTTAAGGATCATAAGCCATTTCCACTCAAACTATGTTGGTGTATCGTGTCGGCGTCCAAGACTCCAGTTCAGGCGCTGCTCGTATCTGATTTGTTCAAAGCATTGCCAAATTCCACTTTCATTTTTGGATGTCCAGTGAACTCCGCGTAGAGCTGCTTCACATTATCGTATGAGAGCTACTCTGTCAAGGCAACAGGATATATCATCGTGCCTCCACCCAATCCTTTTATGATCGCGCGATTCGTAGAACCCCCGGAACCATGCAGTTGAAGTACAAAAGGGAAATCGTCGCAGGAAATCGCTTAGTCGAAGAGACCGAAGCCCATGTCCTCGTCGGACTCCTCCTTCTCTGTGGTGGGTGTTAGCAATTGCGACAGGCGAGACTCGATCGCGGGGTCGAAACGTACCCTCCTCCTTGGGAGCCTCCTCGGCAGCGGCCTCGGTGGCACCGCCGGCAGCGGCACCGCCAGCAGCGGGGGCGGCAGCACCACCACCAGAGCCGACGTTGGAGAGCAGGTCCTTGACGTCCTTGCCCTCAAGAGCCTGTGATCCTGATATCAGTCTTTGCCATTCCTCGGTTTCGCTGAATTCCTCATCGGTCGGCGCGTCGTACCTTGGCGAACAGAGAGGTCCAGATGGGCTCAACCTCGTCGATCTTGGCAGCCTTGATCAGGGTCTGGAGCTTGTCGGCCTATTGAACCACCACTGTTAGTGAATTTCGTTCATGTCGAATTTTCGAATTTTCGAGGCGGGGTGCGTCGGCGACGAACAGTGATCTCGACACCATCATCGGCGAGGATGAGGGCCGCGTAGGAAGAAGCGAGCTCGGCGGTCGACATTGTGACGGTTTTGGGGGGTTTGCGACTGAGGGTTGGTCTGGCGCGGATGGTCGTCGAGAATGAAACTTTTGTGAAGCGGTCGTAAAGAGAAAGTCGTCGTGAGTTGTGTGGATGCGATTCCTCCTCACCTAGCCCTGATGGGTCCTTCTCGCTTGAAAACAGGCTCTGATTGGGTGGGCTCTCTAGACAGACCAGGGCCCCGGCAGGTTAGGTAAGCGTCTGAAATGGGACTTCTTCGGCTGAAGCCAGCCTCCGTAGCGTCTTCTGCAGCGCGCCTGATTGGCCTGGTAGCCGAACCAATCAACAAGTACGCTGGACATGCCAGTCCCGCTGCAGTGTCACTCGGGTCGTGCTCCCCCACCTTGATGCCTCGACTCCCAGCACGGTCGTCTCATCCCCACCTCTATCACAAGCTGACGTGCTTCCATTGGGTTCCGGGCCAGCTGCGTAAACGTAGGACGATCATCCCGCTTTACTTACATATCTCGCTACGGATGCTACGGCAAGATACTCTTTGTCACGGATATCTATCTTACCAATACAACATCCACGTCTCCTCCGACCAAACTGCCTTTACTAGAAACGACATCGGCACTTGAAGTCAACGGCCGTCAACTTTGACCCTCACGAGCCCCGCCATCCTGCGTCGTTGAATGTTGGATCGTTGGCAGACCTGCAAGGGCATCGACTACCAACGCGCGAGGTGCATGCCTTGGCCGTCCATGATCGCGAACAGCCGGCAGTCTCCCATTTTCCAACTTAACAACCCTCCCAGCAACCAGCGTCCGTCTTAAATTACGTCACACGAGATGGATACCCCTACATGCCCACCGCCGCGGGACGCCCGCGAAAAGGAGATTCTCGACAAGCTCGTCTCCATCCGCGACAGACTCCAGCTCCTCAAGCAGGACCGCACCACATACATCCGCAGTCAAGATGTCATCCCACTATACGACGAGACGATTGAGCAGGTTCGCGAGCTCAACGATGTCCGGTCGACTGACCAAAGGGAGGAGAACAGAGGTAATGCGCTATCGTCTCGATGTGCGGGGTCAACGGCTAACCCGCGCTACAGTGGACAGAGTGTTGGAGAGCTGCTTCCAGCTCCTCTCACTTTTCTTCATGACGATCGGCCGAAACAACGAAGCTCCCGCTGCCTACGCCCTGACTTCTACCATTCGACGACTCCTCGACCATCTCACCGAAGTCGACCTATTTTCAGCCAAGGACCTTGAGAGCATCTCCCACACCGTTGAGAAACTCGCGTACAATGTCAAGTCCACCGAAAACGAATACTCGCCCTATTTGATCACTCTGCTGTCCAACAGGTTGGAGCGCTGCAAGAAATCGTTGGCACATCTCCAGAAGAGATTGGATCGTCTTGAGGACCCTCTGCCGAAGACGTACGAGAAGCTGATTTCAATCCTGAGGTCAATGTCCCTGGCAAACACCAGGACAAAGGTACGCATAGTCATCGTCTGTGTTTGGAATCCCACCTGACTGTCGCAGTTCTCTCCATCGGAAGTACAGAAGCTCCAGGCTCAGCTCCGCGAGCTCGATGAGAAGAGAAAGGACGGCAAATTCGTCAGCGAAGATGGAAAGGTGCCTGCTGGTAGTGAGGAGGTAGCCGAGCTTCTGGAGAAGTGCCTCAAGTGGTCAGAAGTTGTTCTTGAGAGGAAAGGAGTGATACCCGAGAACTTCAAGCCTACCTACGACATACTGGTGCGAATTCGGAATGACCTCGAAAAGCTTTCAATCACACAAGCATGGTCTCTTCGCGAGGCGGATCTGTTCGACTTCCAAAGGCAATTGGACAAGATCGACGAGAGCCGGGTCGACGGCAATTGGCTTGACGACCAAGGGAAGCCAGCAGAACTCTACGTGCAGCGTGTAAGTGACCTCGTGGGTGATCATAGAATTGACATTGACAGTTGCGGCAGACACTGTTGTACCTGATTCGAAGAAGCTACGCCTATGTCTACTCGTTGATGATTTCTTCCGAGCCCGTTTCCGAGGCATTGTTGCCGATCTACAACCAGCTGCAGACGCTGAAGAGATGCCTGATTGAGGTCAAGAACAACGGCGGTGTTCAATCGGCCAGAGACATGTACCCATACAGCATGAAGGTAAGTTACTATTGACCTGATTTGAGACTTCTAGCTGACCATCCTCAGCTTCACTCTATCGACAACATGCGCCAGGACGGAAAATTCATGATCAATGATGACATTCCGGAAGGCCAGGGCAGCGTCAACGAGCTTCTTGCCGAGTGTTTTGAGCTAAACTACGAGCTCCGTGTCGCGGCCGAGGAACAGGCCGAGGCTTAGACGTGAGCAGTCTTTGTTGTGGATTATTTTCGGCGTAAGAGGACAGGCGGCTGTATCATTATGTTGGTCTTGTGTTCTTTACTGGTCACATTGGACTGGCAGGAATCAGGATGTCAGTCTACGGTAATGGGAAAGACAAACGGGACGAGGCAAACTCTGGTGTATTCAGTTACGGACGAATGACATGCTTTTCGGTGAGCTTAACCGTGAGCGCTCGAGCTCCTGCAATGTTCAGATGGCAACTTTGACAGTGCATCTACAATGGTGTCCAGGCATGGAAATTCTTCAGTTGGAAAATGCGCATAGCCACTTCTGAGACTGACATTGACCATTGCTTCGACAAAAGTTAGGCATAGGTCAGGGCCAGGCAACGGGAATTGGCTCATTGAGTCTGCTGCTATGCTCCTCGTCGTCTCGCCGCGGAGTCCGCGGAGAGAGTGTGCGTGATGCCGTATCGTCGACTGGGCAGCGTACCTGGAACACATCACGGGAGAGAAAAAAAAGGCTCAGCTCATCATCCCGCCCCTCTGATGACTCTTTCCTTGGCTGCTCCAGCAAGTTTGCCATGTGAGCGATAATCAGACAAGAAAGAGAAGCCCGTCCGCGCCTGCTGAGCTCCCCCTGCCCATGTCCCGACTCCAGCATTCTCCAGCCCCAACACTGGGGAACCGGCGGGGCCAGCTGGCTACAGTCGGCTTTCGTCGCACCTCGCGCACTCGCTCCAGAGCTCTCAACACCGAGCCAGCTCCAGTCTCGGGAACACACGTCAGTGGCAGTCAGCGCCTTCACTCATCAATCGCGGCGCTCGCCAGCAGCTTGGTAAGGTAGCCCGCAGGCCCGCCCGCCGGTCATCGGACCCCCCGAAAGCCTGTCCCTGTGACCCGCGTGGACTCTGGATCGATCCATGTCAGGCCAGCAGCTTCCAGGAACCGCCGCGGTACCCAAGGTACACGACCGGGGATTGTGTGCGCCGGGCGGGAAGAGAGGAAAAGCGGCGGGCCTTGTACGGAGACCTTTACCTTACCAAGCTCCGAGGACTCCATCTGTCCGTGATAATCAGTCATATAATCACTCATCCATCGGATATTGCGAGATTTCGGCGTTTCTGTATACATATATATATCAAGCATTCCTGCGGCCGGGTTCGCAAGGTTTGAAGAGGTCTCGGCTCTCCCTTACATCTCTACATCTCTAAGACACTTACATACCAACCTAACCTCTTACCAAACACACCACCACCACATCATCATATCTTTCGACATCCCGTCGATCACTCGTCTCAATACAAACAAAAACACCCTCCAACACCCAAATGACAATCAAACCAATGTCCGAAGAAGACACCACCGCGCACAAGCGCACCGCGTCCTCAACCTCGGCCGTCGCGCCCGGCAACTCACCACCCCCCAAACGCCCCGCGCCCCTCCCCGTCCGCCGCGACTTCCCCCACGCGGTGGCCCTCGTCCTGTACAGGGACGGCTCCGACGAGACGTCCTCGACGTCGGTGCTGGGCGTCTACGCCGCGCTCGCGGACGCCAACGAGGAGGCCCGCCGGCTGGCGCAGGAGCAGGGCGACGCCGCCGTCGTCCACGAGTCCGCCGCCACGGAGCCCGTGAGGTGGGAGGCGCCCGACGGCGCCTCGTGCTGGGTCGAGATGCACGCCGTCACGCCCAAGAAGATCGTGCCGAGGAACGTATCTTCCGAGCAGCCGCCGAAGAAGCTGTATGACGCGGAGGAAGGGGAGGATCCTGATATCGACGATGATGATCACGACGAGGGCGCCAACTACGACTGAGCGCGGGGTCATGTTTCCGTTGGAGTGAGGACGAATGACTTTATGGGTTCGGCGTCTGGGGCCTTCTTGTTTTCTAATCGGAGGCACGGATGGATGAGCGGGTTTTGGGTCACGACGGCCATGAATTGGTTCATGGCATGGTCTTGGGACGATACCTGAGAAGCGGCTTACTTGACGAGATCGAGAGCCTAGACGATTTTACTGTGTATCATGTATGAAAATGGCGTTTATAGATATGGAAACAACCCCTCTATTCTATCCATCTAGGTATCTACAATTTTTTCTTCTTCTAATACATCTTGCTCTTTCACTCTTCCGACTCCATGATCTACAATTGCTCTTACACGGACCTGTAGGCCTCTAAGAATCTATGATAGGAAAAGTCTAAGTCAACCACAGCCAAGGGTAATCTACAACTTGGCCTTGGGCTGCTCCTGCAACAGCATCTTCTCGGCCACGATACGGCGCTGGATCTTGCCGGTGGCCGTCTTGGGCATCGTCTCGGTGAAGTAGATCTTCTTGGGCACCTTGAACTTGGCGAGCTTCTCGGCGACCCAGCCCCTCAGCTCGTCCTGGTTCAGTTGCTGCCCCGGCTTGAGCACGACGGCGACGCCAATGTCCTGGCCGTACATGTCGTCCGGGATGGCGAAGCTGACGGCCTCGGAGACGGCCGGGTGGCGCGTGAGGACGTTGTCGAGCTCGATGGGGCTGATCTTCTCGCCGCCCTTGTTGATGAGCTCCTTGATGCGGCCCGTGATGACGACGTAGCCGTCCTCGTCCTTCTTGCCCTGGTCGCCCGTGCGGAAGAAGCCGCCCTTGGTGAAGGACGACGCGTTGGCCGAGGGGTTGTTCAGGTAGCCCTTGGTCACGTTCTCGCCCCTGATGCAGATCTCGCCCTCGGCGCCCTGCGGGAGCTCGTCGCCCGCGTCGTTGAGGATGCGCACGTCGACGCCCTGGCCGAGGCCGACGGTGCCGGGCTTGCGCTTCGCGGGCGGGAGCGGGTTGGAGGTCATCTGGTGGGCGGCCTCGGTCATGGCGTAGGCTTCGAGGACGGGGGCCTTGTAGGTGGCCTCGAGCTGGGCGAAGACGGTGGGGGAGAGCGGGGAGGAGCAGGAGCGGATGAAGCGGATCTGGGGGAGGGGGTTCGGGGTCGGGTTCTTGAGGAGGATCTGGTGGATGGTGGGCACGGCGGTGTACCAGTTGGCCTTGTGGGCGATGAAGTCGGCCCAGAAGTCGGTGGCGGAGAACTTGGAGGGGACGACCATGGAGCCGCCGCAGGCCAGGGGGGCGAGGAGGCCGCAGAGGAGGCCGTGGACGTGGAAGAGAGGCATGACGAGCATGGTGCGGTCCTCCGGGGTGAGTTGGTAGGTGTTTTGGATGTTGTCTGTTGCGTGTTAGTCAAGGGGGTCGGTGAGTATGAGGTGAACGGTGAGAACTCACTCATGGTTCTTGTCAGGTTGCGGTGGGTGAGAGGCACCTTTCGCACGGTTAGTCTTATAGCTCCAACTCAAGTGAGATGTATCGCACTTACAACTTTGGGTCTGGAAGTGGTTCCGCTGGTGTGAAGAACGAGGGCGACATCATCAGCCTGCGCCTTGAGGACCTGCTCAGGCCCCTTGCCCTTCAACTGGCCCAACTCCTTCACATCAAGAGCGACCTCCTTCTTAGCCGGGTCCCAATACGTCTCAGCGACAGCAGCATTGAACCTCTGCGCGGCCTTGACGGCAGGCGCGCCAGCAGCATACGCGCCCTTGGGGACGAGAACGATGGCGGACTTGACGTCCTCGATGTAGAACTCGAACTCGTCCTGCTTGTAGGCAGGGTTCAGAGGGGCGGCGACGCCGCGCTGCCACGAGGCGGCCAGGAAGGAGACGATGAACTCATACGAGTTGACGGTGGCGATGGAGACGGGGGAGCCGTGGGTGATGCCGATGGCGGCGAGCTTGCCCTGGAAGTTGGCCGTCTCGCGGATGAGGTCGCCGTAGGTAGCGGTCAGGGCCTCCGGCTTGGAGGGGATGATGACGGCCGGGGAGTTGGCGGGGCCGTTGATGGCCGTTTGGAGTGTCAACGCCATTGCTTTAACGATTATTACCCTTTCTGCTCTTCTGCAGAGGACCTAATTGGAGGGATTCAAGGTGTGATGGGATGTGCGATGCGCGCAGACGGCAGTTCGGATTGCAACCACTACCGACCACTGGCGAAGCGAATTCGGAGAAGGTTCGGAGGTGAGACGTGTGAGGGATGGGATGAACGACAGCGAATTAGATGGCAACCTTTGGCCGAAAGGAGAGTAGATACCGTTCAACGGGATGACGAGGATCAATAGGGTTATTTCGATGTTAAAAGTACAGAGGGAGAGGTCTACGTTTGAACAGGTTTCCAAGAAAACTCCCAGGTCCCCAGAGCCATAATAATTCCTCGTCTGATAAGCCTGACTGGGAGCGATGATGTGCTCAGGACGCCAGCCCAGCCTGGGACAAGCCGGATTGCCCCGGTCCCATTGTGCCGTGTTCCATATGGCCTTCCGGGGCACGCTTCAGCCATGAGAAAAGGAAAACACCCCCGAGGAGAAGGCGATTGCGCGGCAAAGCTGGGCGCCGTGCCGCACTCCGCCAGGGGGTGGGTTCCCTGCTGGTCCTGGTGGTCCAGCGGCCTTAGGCGCTGAAACCCAGGCGCGGACGGGCCCGCAGTCGTGACAGAACTCTGCTTGGGGTGCATGTTCACCGTTCGAATTTGGGTGGGTCTTTGCAGCAGCTCCAGCCCAGCTTCAATTCCGCCTCGCGAACCAAGGCTGAGTGAGAGCTGACTGCATTTCATCTTTGCGACGATTGCGAAAGCTGCCGCCAACGCCCTTCCGCGACAACGCTGCCCACGTTCCCACCCCCAAGTCCAACTCCTGCAGCTATACGACCAGATCAATCACTCACAAATCCACGGGACCGCGCTCAATGGCAGCGCCTCCGCCGCCTCCTCCCCCCGCGAGAGGCGGGCTGTCCCTCTACGCGAACCTCCTCGACCCGGCCGCCGACTCCTCCTCCGCGACGATATCCAGCGCGCCGGTCCGTTATAATCAAGATGCCGCCGGCGCAGACGGAAAAGACGACGCGGCGACCAAGAAGCTCATAGATCCATGTACATCCACCCCTTACCGTCCTCCCGAACTCCTTCTCGAAGACTAACACCAACTCTCAACTCCCAGCCCTCCGCTTCCAACCGATCCGCAGACCACAAGCCAAATCCAACAAACCAGCGAAACCGACATTCCCCAAGACGATCCCCGGCGCGGCAGCAACAGCAGCACCATCATCAGCCCCCTCGGCACCGGCACCAGCACCGCCGCCAAAAAGCACCCTCGCCGACTGGGCCGCGACGGAAGACGACGAGTTCCGCTACGGCGCGCCCGACCGCTCCGCCCACCAACGCGGCGGCCGCCGCAAGAAGAAGAAGAAGAATCACGACCAGCACGTCGAGACCAACTGGGACGACATCTACGACCCCTCCAAGCCCACCAGCGTCGACGAGTACCTCCGCAGCGACGAGCGCATCCGCGAGGTCCAGGAGTGGAAGAGGCTGCTCTACCGCCACCGCCGCAGGAGGAGCTCGAGCGGCGGCGGCAGCAGCGACGACGAGGCGGAGCGCCGGCCCGCGATGAGTGAGTCGCCTTGCGTGTATTCGGTCGTGCGGTTGTTGGCGGTGTACTAACATGATGCGCAGACCAGTTCGCCCCGCCGGCGGAGTACTCCTTCGTGCCCCCTCCCCCGGCATCACCACCGCCTCCCCCAGCGGCCCCGATCCCCGACGATGCGACAGGCGACGACGCCTACGCCCGCCGACAAGCCCTCTCCTCCGCGCCGCCACCACCTCCTCCCGCACCAACAGACGAAGCAACCATATCCCGCGCCCCAGTCCGCTACACCCCAGCCGAACCCGAAGAACCCCCCTCCCCGCCACCGACCCTCGGCCTCGGCGCCTCACGAGACGAACCCGACCCCGACGCCCCGCGCTCCACCCGGCCCGGCCAGGCCGGCTTCGCCCAGCGCCTCATGTCCAAATACGGCTGGACCAAGGGCTCCGGCCTGGGCGCCGACGAGGGCGGCATCGTCAACCCCCTGCGCGTGCAGGTCGAGAAGCGCAAGAAGAGGTCGGACGCCGAGGGCGGCGGGTGGGCGGAGCCCGCGAACCGGGCCAAGATCCTCGGCGGCAGGCGCAAGGACGCCGCGGACGCCGAGAGCAAGTTCGGCGGCCCGATGAGCGAGGTCATCGTGCTGCAGAACATGCTCGACGGCATGGAGGACCTGGAGGGCGAGATCGAGAACGGGCTCGGGCAGGAGATCGGGGAGGAGTGCGGCGAAAAGGTAAGTCTCGGAACCCACCGGGCGTGCGTGGTCTGGGTTTGGTGTAGTTTACTAACCGACGTTGCGTAGTACGGTCGTGTCGAGAGGTTATACATCGACGTGGGGAATCGGCAGGTGTTCATCAGGTTCACAGATCAGGTCTCTGCCCTTCGCGTAAGTCATTTCTCGCCAGCTTTCCCCGGCTTGACACGGCGATACTGATCGATAGACAGGCTGTTGGCGAACTGGATGGGCGCATCTTCAACGGAAACACTGTGGTGCCCAAGTTTTACGACACGGAGAAGTTTGAACGAGGAATCTACAAGTGAAAGCCATAGTTTCATATTACTTAATGACATGAGCCCAATTACTTGGACTCGCAAACTGTTCTTGCAGGCATCTGGCTGTTTCCCAAAGCATAGCATTCCCCGCGGCGGGATAGTCTGGAACTACGGTCAGATTATCCTTCATTCACTCTTGGAGATGATTATCACCCACAGGTTGCACATGTCAATATGCACACAAACATGGAACAGACGTAAAGTAAAGGTATACACATCGTGGTTCTTCAGTACACTACAACCCTCTGTCTTCGTTGCCTAACCGTCTCCATAATCTCACGCCTCCGTCCGCCACGTATCTTCCATTTTCACTTCCCATCCAGCCAAGATCATCCAAACACTTGGCATGCCGCCGAACCAAACCGCTCTATTCCCAAGGTAGTCCCGGACGGGATGATGAGCGCGGGATGGTCGGGACCAAGCGCCGTAGTGACAAGGACGCGACGGGCTGCCCTGTGCTTTTGGTTCGTCACGCAAACGGTAGTGAAAAGTCGACGAGGGTATTCCGTACCCGCCGTCCAGTATTAAGTCTAGAGGTTTTCCTATACGTAGGAGGTTCCCGATCTAGGGAATGCGTGGGGGGTGTCGCAAGCTGTTAGAACAGAATTGCCGTAAAGAAATTGCACAAACTGAAAGATTGTATGGAGAACGCCGCCATTATCCGAGCCTATTTCCCATTGAGAGTCCTTTACAACATGAGCTGAGCCAGGCCACCAACAAGGGCCAGGGAGAGAATGGCGGTGTTGACAGAGACGATGCCGGCAGCACCCTCGCCAGAGCCGTTCTTGGTTCCGCCAGCGCTGCCGCCGGAGCTGTCACCGTCCTCGTTGGCGCGGGTGTTGTTGCTGCGGCAGGTGTACTTGCCCTGGATGGCCTTGCCCTCCATCTTGTTGAAGGTGTCGCAGGAAGTGTCAATGTCGCCAGTGGACTGGGTGTCGAAGGCACCCTTGACGTCGTCGAGAGCGGGAAGAGAGACCCTGAGATATCGTTAGTCGGCAAATCGCAAACGATTGCAAGGGCAAAACTTACTCAGAGAAGTTACCGCGGAGGAGAACGGCACCACCAATCTGCTCGAGCTTGGGAAGACCGTCAATCTTTTGGAGAAGGGTGTTGTTCTGGATGGTCAGACCACCACCGGTCTTCTTCAGGAGAGGCAGAGACAGGTTGGCGAGCTCGACGTTGTTGATGAACGAGACGTCACCGTCTGTGCACTGGGTCAAGTTGGGGGCGATGAACTCGGTGAAGGTGTTCTTGTCGAACTTGATGGAGGAGTTGACGGTCTCGAGAGAGTTCATCTCGACCTTGGCGGCATCGGCAATGATGATCTCGTTGGCCCAGATCAGGTTGGGAAGGGTGATGCCCAGGTCGGGGCCGTTGGAGTTGATCTCGATCGTCTTGGTGGCGTTGGCCAGCTGGTTGCTGTAGGAAACGAGCTGCTTGTTGTTGTTGATGTGGAGCTCGTCGACGGAGGCAACGTTCAAGCCGTCCAAGCTCTTGAGGAAGGTGTCGCTGATGAGGATGTTGTTAACCTTGGTAACACCGGCGGTACCGAACTCGATTTGGCCGAGAGCGGGCAGAGTAACCCAGTTGATGGAGCCGACGGTGGCGAGCTGGGAGAAGCGGAGGTCGGAGAGGAGGGTGAGGCCCTGCATCTGGAAGATACCCTCGATGGAGGCGAGGGAGGAGGAGGTGAGGCCAACGAGTTGGGTAGCGTTGGTAACGATCAGGTCACCCTTGATGGTTCGGGGGCCGACGATGTCGACGTTGCCCGAAATGTCCTCGGCGATCTTGACGGAGCCCTGGATGGTGGTGCAGGGGAGGTTGGTGGCCATGGCAGCATCGGTAATGGTGACCGTCTTGGAGGAGCAGAGGTTGCTGCTTTGGGCTGGATTCGATTGTCAGATGGTCCCATTCACGTTCGAAGTCGAAGGAATCAAAACTTACCGGACGCGAGGCCAGCACCCACGGCCGCGAGGGCGGGGATGAGCTTGGAGTACATTGTGATTTGATCTGAACGCTGGCGAATCTAGGTCAGCGTTGTGTAAGAGAGCAATGGCTCGCGTGGATAGTTTGGCGGAAGGATAATGGAAGCGTTGATTTGTTTGGGGAAGTCGACGCGATCTGCTCAAGGTCGATAACTCTGAAGCGGTGGTCCAAAAAACGCGACGTTTGTTGGAGGGAAGATGGGAAGGGGGAAGAAGTGAATGATTTCAGCCCTCTCGGAGTAGAGAAGTGGACTGGACGAGGATGTGGCTTGGGTGTGTTTCTTGTGTGTTTCCGAGGCAAGAGCCACTGCCTCCTTTTTTGCAGGCGTCGACGATGGCTGATGGTGGCAAGCGATAAAAGGTGGTGGATGTGGGCGGAGGGAGAAAGATGGAAGACGAGAAGCAGGCAGGAGAAGTAGGTGAACTCGAGACCAAATGGAAGCGAGCAATGGATGGAGATTTCCTGCCGAGCATTGGCAGCAGACACCTTCATTTTTTTGCTCCTTTCCTTCGGTTCCCTCTCGTCCTGCTGTTTCTGCGTCGTTCCACAAAGTCACATCACGGCAAGCGGTTACGTACCTTTTTCCACGTGTGTGTTTTGTTTGTTCTTCGTTTTCTTGGGGGATCAGAAAATGAAGCTTAAGATAGGAAACGACAGCCCTTTTGGGAGAGGGTATTTGTGGTGAACGAGAGACGGGAATTGAAAGGTCAAAACGAACAGAATGAAGCTGTCACGGAAAAGGAAGAGGGAGAAAATGCGATCTGGGGAGGGAAGGGATAGGAATGGTCTTTGTGTGGTGCTTTCGAAGGAAAGAGGTCCAAGGTCTTAGCCTTTTGGTCGAAGGAAGACGGGAGGGAGGGCGTGGCTTGAAGGGGAAACACTCTGCAGGTGAAGGGGGGACTGGACTGGACCTGGCTTGCAGAGAGCGAGACAGGGGAAAGCCAGAAAGGAGGGGGGTCAGGGCAATTATCACGCTGCTATTCGTGGTGCCGACTGCGGGTACGAAGTAACCACGACAGGGACCAGGGCCAGGAAGGGCCGGTGTTGGCGTGAGAGGAGCCAAGCACCAAGAACCAAGCACCAAGACCAAGTCCAAGACCAACTTGGTTGGACTCGCTCGATAGAAGCAGAGAAGAAACCGATGGTGTTGCCGTACCGCCGTTGCGTTGCGTTGCGTTGTGCTGGCCACCTCACTTAACCGTCAGGTACGAATACTTTTTGCCGCGTATTAGAGTACTATATAGTAAGTACACAGACATGGACTTGGCATAACTAAGACTGAGGTAGCTGCTGTACGGAATACATGACGGACTGTCCGTCAATGTCAATTCTTTGGTCATGGCAGACACTGGCAGCATCATGACGGCAAGCAATACGAACTGGCGGCCGTCAGTGGGTTGAATTGACTTCCCTCCATCTGCATCTGATCCTCGCCTACCGTACCTAGTGAGGTAAGAGCACGCCCCCTTGCCGCTTACCCCTTTCTTGACATTGACGACTCCAGGATATTTATTTCTATCTGCCATCTGCCGACTCTGGACCGTTCTGCGAGAGAGCCAACATGGAAGAAAATTCGAGTGATGATGGAATCGCGTCTGTCAAGACTCAGCGCTGGCAAGGGCCATGGCAATAATTGTCCTGCTTCCCACCGGTCTGGCGAGATTTGAACGTCTTGGTTTCTGGCTTAGCTTCGCCCATCGGGAACCACTTTGGTGCATCCAGGGGCAGGGGCTTGAGATGAAGAGTGGAAGAGGGTGTGAAGCATGGAGAAAAGGGTGTGGCAATGGGAAAAACTGTCTGTCACCTCAGGCACAGGCACAGGCATAACAAGCACAAACCGAACAAAAGTCACCAACCACTGCCAATGCTGGGCCTCAAAGTCAATGGGCATGCCAACAGTCAGCCAAACTCTCTTCTTTTTCTCGTCTTCCTCGTACAGTTGACTGACTTGCCAACTATATCGACATAGGACGAACTGCAGTCACGAGGCAAAACCAAAGTCGAGACCCTCGAGAAATCCAGAACAGGCAAGCAGCCTCGTAGGATGGAAGTTTCTCAACTCAAATTATTCAAGTGCAATCGCCTAGACGCCGGCCATCGTCATCAGTCAATGCGCCATCGACGGACCCGAATCAAACCTTCCACTTATTTGCCTCTCTTGCAGATAAAGTGCCAATGATGGCAAGTACGCCGACACATCATGACAGAGAATGGATAACACGCTTTCCACGCACATATCAACAACAAAAACAATAACAGCAATCAACTCGCTGGTCGCCTCCACTGATCAGCTGTCTGTACCTTACATAAGTTGCAACACGATTCCCTGTGCAGTAGGGACCGGCATTCATATGGAAATGGAGCTGGAGGCCGACGGACTCTCCCACTCTCCATGTATCCGCTGTTTTCTGTTCACTTCAGACACGAACCTTGCCAAGGTCAGACGCGATAAACTGCCCGGTGCCCACCGCTGGCCACTCCGAGACCTTCCATAGGTTCTCTGAGAGGGTCGACAGCGCCTGAGGGCCCATCAGACGCACATTGCCGGCGCCTCACTGGCAGGAAGGTGCTTCCAGCTGTCTCCAAACCCATCCCGGGACTTCCTCTCCAGCTTCAAAAGTGTCACAAACCAAGGACTCCCAATCCACACATTTTCCCATTCGAGCACCAATCAATACCGACTCTTCCGAGCCAGGCCTCTTCCGGCAATCAATCTGCGGTTCGACCTTTCTTTGTGGCTACACCCCTGTCCACGCACGCCTCGCTCTAACGACTCCAACGACTTCCCCAAACGCTCCTCCCACTGCTCGAATCATCGAACAAAGCCAACCAGCCAATAACCCACTGTCGCACACGTCGTCTGGTTGATCGGCCTTTATCCCAGGGAAAAAAAATCAAAATGGCGAGCCTGTACAGAGTACATTGCAACAACTGCCGGCGAACGCGAGCGAGCTGAAAAAGCATCCATCCGCTATCCAGCAACCATCCACAGAATGTTTCATCTTGTCGCCGTCCGCTGTTTCCATTCATTAGCCCATCATTTCAGGGCTACCAGCACCACAATCGCCCGCGGCCGCTACTATCGATGACGCAGTTGCTTGGCCATCCGAATAGCGATGGGCATTGCCATGGCCCAGACTACAACGTACGGCCTCGACTTCGGCTCGACGAGGGTTTGGGAAGAAGCAAGTTCTGAAAAGGAGAAAAATATCGGCTCAATCTACGGCTGGCAACCACCCGCAGATATCAAATCATCCATTGCAACCTCCCGGCCTTGCTTCAATGGCTGTGCTGATAGCGCGACGCGTCCGACATGAACTTGAAGACCCGGAACACTTTGCGCTGCAGCTCATCATTCGTCGAAAAGCATGACAATCGCGGGAGTCCGGGGGCCGTCCGCTAGTATTCTGCATTTTTTACGCACTATTCCTGCCAATCCATGATGCGTTACATCCCATCTAGTGCTGCAGTCAGTCCATCCCATCTGCTGTGCAGCAACTGTGCAGCAGGTTTGCCGCGATGGATGAGACGGACTGCATACCCGGCACCAACCACAAGTGATACGAATCCAAACACCTGCCACCACCATCGCCGTTCGTCGCCTCGATTCGCATTCATCGCTTGTTCGCGTCTCTAGCCACTTCAACACCGACCGGCGACATTTTTCTCCCACCTACGCTAAAACTCTCCCAAGAAAACGCCAATCATTCCAGCCAGTCTGGTTTGCGAGTTGGCGGACGGGTGCTGACGACTCTTCGCCTCCCACTTGCCCGCCAGCGTCTAGTTGATGGGGTTAGCTCGCGAGCTTCAGCTGCTCTCTCCGGCGTTCTTGACCCTGAGTGGCTGGACTTGAGGCTCCCTCCCGGCCGTGTTCCTCCACGATGCCGTGCCGAGACTGTGGTTCAGAATTAGATTGAATCGTTGGCATTCTTTTCGTTCTTCTGTCATTCCACCAAGCGCCAGTGGCTCTGCCGTCTGCCTTGAAATTCATCGGGATTGTCGAAATTCGCCTCTTGGCCTCTGCGCAATGCGTATCTCGCCATCTGATATTATCCTCCCAAATACAGTAGGTCGGAGACGAAGCAGCACGGGCGGAAGATGGGCATGGCAGGATTGCGCCGCTGCTAGCCATCGTATTAACACATGCCAGTCATCCTTTTCGATATCTTACCTCGCATCATCTTCACATCTTCACGGTCAGGTTGCCCGTCCTCGGCGGGCCACGCTAGCGCCACGTCCTCCCTCCCCGGCTCATCCGCGCTCATCCTGGCTTCTCAATCTTGCAGACCTGCAGGGGCTTCCAGAGCTTCCAGGCTTTTTGGTGGCTTTGCCGTGGCTGCCGTTCCTGGCAACCGTCAACGGCACGAACGAATCTGACCATACGGATACAGCAGCCCTGGAGATACGGCGCAATTGATCTTCCTTCGCGGCTGATCTATCGCGACCTGGTCGTGCCATTGTCGGAATCCGGTACTGGTCTTGGTTCTCAGACGCCGGCGCGGCAGATCGCCTCGGCCCTCATCTCAGTCTCGTCTGTGGTAGTCATGTTGGCTGGCCTTGGAGACAGTAAACAAAGTACAGGCTCTACCCTGCGGCCTGTGACGCAATTATTTGGTCTTCTGCTCAGATGCTCCAGCCGCAACACCAATAACGACGAACGACGAGTTCATCCTGCGACAGGACTTCAAACATCGACATCCTTGGCCGACGCACGTTCAGTGTATCTGTAGGCGGTAAATGGCGTCCCTCACGGCTCGCCCGCGTGGAGAAGCCTCCAATCCTGCCGCAAACCGTCTTTTTTTGTCCTTCCGCGGGTCGCGGCAGCTATATGCCGTCGCCCTCCCGCACGTGCGATGCTATTTGTTTGCGGCACTCGTGCTGTTTGTGTCGTTCAACTCGCGGCGCCTCACAACTCCAGACACAAGCGCCGCAGCATATGGGCTGCGTCTGGGGCTGAGGCGGTCTGATGACCCGGGGCAGACCCTGGGCCGCAAGTTTAATTCTGACTGTCACGCGAAGAGGCTAGGAGCTATCCAAAAGCTTGTTTACGTCGGGGCGAACCCAACTTCATGAACGAAATTGGTGCGGGACGACAACACGAACAGAGTTCTCTGGACCTGCGCTGAATTCAATTCCCGAATACTAGGTTGACTCGTCCTCCGCCCAAAAGGTTCGCTTTAACGTTTTCCGTCTTCGCCTTGTGGCCCGAATCAGAAAGATCAGAGGGTCAATATGCTCGTATTGACAGGATTCGTATCCCGTGCTCTCTCCACAGGTCAAATTATGACACCCGCAATATCGCGGCATTCGAGATGAATACGCGAGGCGACCCGAGGCAACATGGGGCTGATATTGATGGGGAAGAAAAGCTTGACCGCCAGCTACTCCAACGTGCTTATATCGGTCTCCTCCACCCGCCACATGTACCACATGAATACACTTCGGTACGGCGCGAATCTACTCGCGATCTCGGCCATCTCCTTTTCGGACATGTACTTCCACTTGCCTCCTTTGGCCTTGAGCTTCTTTACATCCCGCCCTTCGAACGCCGCCATGCCTCTTTGAACGCCGAGATCACCCAGCGAGAAGACGTCCATCCTCTTGAGTCCAAAGCAGGCGAACATCTCGACAGACCACAGGCCCAGACCTCGCACCGCGATGAGCTTATCGCGAACCTCTTCGTAGGGTGCCTCAGCCATCATCTGGGCGCTCAGCTCGCCGCTCGCGAACTTCTCGGCTAGGCCCTTGACGTACTCGGCTTTTCGTTGGGACAGGCCGGCGGTCCGCAGGCGTTCAATGGATGTGGCGGCGACTTCTGAGGGATGAGGGAACCTCTTCTTCGCCTCTTCGTCGGCCTCTTCGGTGAACAGAGCAACGAATTTGTTCTTGATAGATCGAGCTGCAGCGCCGGATACTTGCTGTGAGATGATGCCGCTGCAGAGGCTCTCAAACGGGTCGACCTTCTCCGCGAGGCCCTCCGGAGAGAAGACGCGACAGTGGTTCTTCTCGATGAGGGGCTGCATTCGAGGGTCGACCTCGATGAGATGACGACATGCCTCCTCGAGGATATTCGCCGTCGTCGTCTGCTTCGCTCCTGGACCAGCAGCCGCTGTGACTTCGCTGGATAGCTTGGACGGCGATGGTGCCTCGACGGGATCAGAGGCGAGGACTCTTGAGCTCTCCGGAGAGATTACCGGCGCATTTGTTGTCTTCGGGTCAGCAAGCCGGTTGACCGCCCTCGAGCGGGGCTTTGCGGTGCCGTTTGCTCTCTCGGCGATGAACCCCACGGCGCTCGGAGTGGGTGTTATCGGCGGCGGAAGCACGGGGGTGACGGGAGCCGCGGCCTTGGTGCCCCGTTTCCTCGGAGGTGTGACCGGGTCCGAGGCCGGGGCTGCACCGGTAGGTTCTGCGGGAGATTTCCTTTTGCGGGTTGGCTGCTTGGGCGGAGGCTTGACTGCGGGCGGCTGGATCTTGATATCCGGCTGTGCGCTCAATCGAGCGGAACGTCGAGTTGCCATTTTGGCCGCTGTGGCGGATGTCGGAGACGCTGATGAATGTGATGCAAAGTGATTGCCCAAGTGACGACACGACTTCTCGAATCGTAAAAGTCGGCCAGATGTAAGGACTGAAATGCTGGACGAAGATATCAAACAGCCTGCGAAAGGAGCGACCTGTGCAAATCTACGCAAACTTGAAGAGCGACAGACCAAGTGCAGCTTCATTCGAAGGCCATTGGCTCTAGATCGAGAATCTGCGAGCTGGCCACCGCGATCAAAATGCAGGATATCGAATCAAACGGCGTGCGGAAGGTGAGTGTTGTGGCAAGGCTGGTGAGATTGTCTACGGCGATGTCGTTGTCATTCACACGGCATCGACGCCTGGATCCAGCCGCCCGCGCCCCTCGAATACCTACGGACGTGCTTTGTCATCCGGGCAAGCTTTGGGGGAAGGCATGACGTCCGTTCTCACTGCACCTCCCAGAAAGTAAGATCAGCCAGCTTTGCCTATCGGGCAGCCTAGCTTACTTAAGCTCGTCCGAGGATTCTTTTGCACCAACGGCCCCGTCGTCTGAAGGTTTCCCAAACTGTGAATATCAGATCATTCGGACGAGGAGGCAGCGATGAGTGTTGCGATGCGATGCGATGCAATCACTGCGCTTCCGTGGTTTACGCATGGTGTGATTACCAGCCGTGCGAGTTGCAGTGTGCCTTGAGATTGCTGCACCGATGTTTCTTGATAACCAGTTTCGCAAGCCCTATGGGTATGTTCCAAGTATCTCTATCTCCCGATGTTCTTGACGTCTTGAAGCAAGTAATTATCCGCGTTCTCCTCGAATGGAAAATGATGTCCTCTGGTGTACATGCAAGACACGGTCTACGACTGGATTGCTCGATCGGGGGAAGTTGGTACGGGGCAGGAACTGGAGAGGCTTCCCACATTTTTCAACACTCATTCTTGGATGGCATGTTGCTATATTTATTAAAGACGGCGGATCGACGTCAATCGGCCGCGCCGGTCCTGCAGCGTAGAATGGGGAATTAAGACGGAGAGAGGCGGGTTTTCCTGCTTGTTCCTCGCTGGTTGGTGGTTGGGTCGATAGATGCCTTCTACTTCGTGTTCGGGGGTGCTAATCACTGCACGCCATACGCTTGCGATATCGTATCCGGGACATCTGATGTGAAGAAGTTGGCTCATCGAGAGATACCTTGCTTGCTTGCATGCCTTTTTTTGCGATTTCATGTTTCTGGTCTCTCTTTCCGGATGGCACGCGATGAAAGGGCGGAATTGTGGGGGAGGACCGTCCGCATCGTCGTCATGCCTGCGGTTGATGACAGATGACGACGACTGCGCTCCGCTTTCTTCCATCGCGAACGGGCCCTGGGAAAGGGTTCTTTCTGGGAGTGAGTCTGAGGACTCGAGGCAGGCAAGCAGCAGGGTGACAGATGCCCGCGCGCGCGCAGCGGGAGAAGCATTGTTCCTCCCGGTATCCGTGTGAGGAGGGGAGAAATCTCCAGTTTTTGTACCTCTTTTGCCATCGCGACGGGCGAGAGTGGCAATCGCGTGCGTGTGTTGCGCGTGGGAATTGATGGGGGGATTTACCGCCCCATGTCCAGTCCCAACTTCGTGCTCTCAGTGAGAGTCGCCCCGTTCTGTATCATGATATTTTCTCCGTGAGACTCTGCCCAGACTGTCGCGGTTTGTACTAGGTGATTTGCGATTTCCGTCGAAGGAAAATCTGGGCACACGCAAATGTCTTGAGCTCCCTTTTCTCGTACCGCACGTACAGTAGTGCCGCATGCAAGAAGAAGCTTGAACGAGGAGGAGAAGATGTGCCGTGCCACCACAGGCCACACTGGCCGCAGGGGGAAAACGGTTCGAGTTGGACCAATTGGCCCGCGTGCGGGTGGTGGAAGCAAGCAGGGCAGGCCACCTTCACAGGCATCGGGGAACCGCTTCCTGCGATGGTATGTGGTGCCGTGACATCGGATATTGGAAGACGCAGAGGTGGAGCTGTCTAGCAGGTTCGCCCAGCCCCAGGTATTGAATGCCACCTCGCCATCGGGACGAGGGTATGCGAAGGAAGACGATGGAATCGAGAAAGTCTTGCGGAGGGTTTTATTCTTCTTGTCGAATCTGTGCCTCGCTCGAGAGGTCGGACAGACTATTTGGACCCTGAAGTTGTGACCGACGACCTAGTGAAAGACAAGCGTCAGCGTTGACGCTTCAGCCATCCAGATCCTTTACGCTGGCCTGACCGAGATCACGATTCCTCCGCCTCGGCTGGCCGTGTGTGGCTTTCTGACTGCTGACCCCCTGGAGAACACTGGGGTAGGCCTGCAAGTTTTTATGCTTTCCGTGAGATAAACCATTTCTTGGCGGGCGCTGGCGTCTTCCATTTCCCTCTCGAGATGAGGAGACGGGATCATTTTGCGATCTTTCCGATACTTTTGGTGACGGATGGAAATGCAGTCGATGTCAGTTGCGGAAAGAAAAGGGGGGAAATGCATTTGCTGATGGGATGGAAGATGGAGCAGGCGCAGCAGCAGCAGCAAGATCGAACGTCGTTGATCCCGGTTTCTGTTGTTGGCGGGCAGTGAAGAAAAATGTCCTGTAAATTATCCCCAATGGCGAGCGAAACCTCAGGTTCCGGCCAAGTCACAGTCTCTCTCCTGAGTCCAGAAGCGCTTGGCGGTTCTCCCGGCAATCTCGCGTGCTGGAGAGCAGTGGCTCACCTTGCCATCGATACATTGCGATACTTTGCTTTTCTGATTAACCTTTTCGCAGTGTCGCAATTGGCTGCTTCTTCGTATTTTCTCGCGTGCTGCAGCTTCAATGCATCCGTTCTGAGGTAGCTGAGGTATCCTTGATCAAGCTGCCAACCGTCTGCCCAGGCCCTGACTTGGAGAGAATCTGGGCCTGTGGCACCTGTAATCTGTGGGCTGTGCCTGCCTAGCCATTTGCGTAAGGTACTTGCATGTACCTCTCATCACTGGCTGCCCGTGGCCTGCGCTTCCCTCGACTTCCTCTCTAACCTATCCCATCCAAGCCTCCTACACCAGCAAACCAGGTCTTTGCTGTGTGCTCCCGGTCGACCCTTTTTTTTTTTCGGGGGTTCCTTCTGCGTGGCTCCTTTCCCCAATTCCATCCTCCTCTGGCTGGGCTTACCCGAACGTCCCTCGTTTCTTGTTCTCGACAAAAACTCTGGCCAAAATCCATTGTCGCATCTCAAAGACGCACGAAGAAGTGAGATTTGGTTCAAGGGAAAGACCAAATCATTTTCCCCCACCAACGCGCCAGCGACACACATTTCCCAGAGAAACGCGAAATCAAATCGATACACCCTTCTCTCATCTTATCAATCCCTATCGAGAGTTGAGTTTCGCCAGCCTTGGCCCACCCCCTTCTACAAGCCAGTGTGTGCTGCCACGACTGCTATCTATCGGACGACACGAAACCGCCCAATCAACCACCTCCCTTGCCCGACTCGAACCTGTCTATTCGGACCTCATCTTGGGGAGGCTCGTGTCACCCTTTACTGCTCCGCGCGAACCTACATCACTGCCCGCCGAAGCCGCCGCTGCCGTCAGCTACACACCTGTACCCCCAAAACCCGCGACCACGATAGCGACCAGACCCGCGATTTTGACCTCCCCGTCACGTCGAGGAAGCTGATATTTGGGACGCCTGCCGTGCCAAACGTATAGCCGGTCATTCTTTTTATTTTCTTTGTAAAGAGGTTTTAGGGTGGTGTCCCAGGGCCACCCCCCATTTCTTTAGGAGCCATGCTTCTCCCCAAAGGCGGAATCAACTGGAAGTCAGCCCAGGCCAGGCTACCTCCCACGAGAGCGATATTGGCCATCGTCACCAAGACGCGCTTCCTGCTTCTTCTCGCCCTCACAGGTCTGATCCTGCTACTATGGCGCGGCATTCGCACCTCGGCTTCTGAGATGCAGAGGTATGTTGTTCTGCGCCCTGGCTGCCGGCGCTCGTCAGGGGTTGCGAGAAAACTGTCGCTCCGACGATGCGCTGCAGAAAACAAACTGGACAAAGCTCGCTAACATGTGACGCCGCTACAGCTTCTACTGCTGGGGCCCCGCGAAACCCCCGATGGAGATGTCGCTCAATGAGCAAGCTTCGTGGGCCGGTCACCTCCAGACCCCCGTTATCTTCAACCACCACGAGCCCCTGGAGATCAACCACACCTCCATCCAGCACGTCGACCTGAACCCCATCAAGTCCACCCGCAAGGCCGTCAACAACGAGGAGCGCGTTCTGATCCTTACCCCTCTCAAGGACGCCGCTCCTTACTTGTCTAAGTACTTCGAGCTGATTGCCGAGTTGACCTACCCCCACCACCTGATCGACCTCGCCTTCCTCGTCGGCGACTCCAAGGATGATACCCTCGCCGTTCTCGCCTCTGAGCTGGACCGCATTCAGCGCCGCCCTGACAAGATCCCTTTCAACAGCGCCATGGTCGTCGAGAAGGACTTCGGATTCGATCTCGGACAGAATGTCGAGGAGCGTCACTCCTTCAAGGCTCAGGGTCCCCGCCGCAAGGCCATGGGTCGCGCCCGCAACTACCTCTTGTCCGCTGCCCTGAAGCCTGAGCATTCTTGGATCTACTGGCGCGACGTTGATATCGTGGACAGCCCCAAGAAGATCCTCGAGGACTTCGTTGCGCACGATGTCGACATCCTTGTTCCTAGTGAGTAGTGCGTGCTCTTTTGTGGGATATGAAGCTAACCGTGACAGACATCTGGTTCCACCGTTACCGCGATGGTCGCGACATCGAGGGTCGCTTCGACTACAACTCCTGGGTTGAGTCTGACAAGGGCCGCAGACTGCAGGCGTCCTTGGACAGGGACATTGTTCTCGCTGAGGGTAAGTATTTCGAGCTCCTAGTGTGAGAGGTCCTCTCTAACCAAATGCTAGGCTACAAGGAGTACGATACCGGCCGCAGGTACATGGCCAGAGAGGGCGATTGGCGCAACAATAAGGATGAAGAGCTCGACCTCGA